TACCTTACTTTTTGATCGAAAATTGAACGGTTAAAAAGTGGTAAATTTTTGAAAATAGAGCCTTTCTTGCAGAACTAAGATCAAATTCTTGCTTGCTCTAATCATATAGAAGAGAATTATTTGTCTTTGGAGAAAAAATTTGTTCGATTTTTTTTTCGATTTCTAAGTCTACAGCCTTACTTTTTGATCGAAAATTGAACGGTTTAAAAAGTGGTAAAAATTTTGGAAAATAGAGCCTTTCTTGCAGAACTAAGATCAATTCTTGCTTGTTCTAATCATAAAAGAAGAGAAATTATCTTGTTTTTGAAGAAAAATTTGTCGATTTTTTTTCGATTTTCTGAAGTCTATAGCCTTACTTTTTGATCGAAAATTGAACGGTTAAAAAGTGGTAATTTTTTGAAAAATAGACCTTTCTTGCAGAAATAAGATCAATTCTTGCTTGTTCTAATCATATAGAAGAGAATTATCTTGTTTTTGAAGAAAAAGTTTTTCGATTTTTTTTCGATTTTCTTAAGTCTATAGCCTTACTTTTTGATCGAAAATTGAACGGTTAAAAAGTGGTAAATTTTTGAAAATAGAGCCTTTCTTGCAGAACTAAGATCAATTCTTGCTTGTTCTAATCATATAGAAGAGAATATCTTGTTTTTGTAAGAAAAATTTTTCGAATTTTTTTTTCGATTTTCTTAAGTCTATTAGCCTTACTTTTGATCGAAAATTGAACGGTTAAAAAGTGGTAAATTTTTTGAAAATAGAGCCTTTCTTGCAGAACTAAGATCAATTCTTGCTTGCTCTAATCATATAGACGAGAATTATCTTGTCTTTGGGAGAAAAAATTTTTCGATTTTTTTTTCGATTTTCTTAAGTCTATAGCCTTACTTTTTGATCGAAAATTGAACGGTTAAAAAGTTGGTAAATTTTTGAAAATAGAACCTTTCTTGCAGAAACCTAAAGATCAATTCTTGCTTGTTCTAATCATATAGAAGAGAATTATCTTGTTTTTGGAAGAAAAAATTTTTCGATTTTTTTTTCGATTTTTGATCGAAAATTGAACGGTTAAAAAGTGGTAAATTTTTTGAAAATAGAGCCTTTCTTGCAGAACTAAGATCAATTCTTGCTTGTTCTAATCATATAGAAGAGAATTATCTTGTTTTTGGAAGAAAAAATTTTTCGATTTTTTTTTCGATTTTTGATCGAAAATTGAACGGTTAAAAAGTGGTAAATTTTTTGAAAATAGAGCCTTTCTTGCAGAACTAAGATCAATTCTTGCTTGTTCTAATCATATAGAAGAGAATTATCTTGTTTTTGTAAGAAAAAAGTTTTCGATTTTTTTTTCGTGTTTCTTAAGTCTATAGCCGTACTTTTTGATCGAAAATTGAACGGTTAAAAAGTGGTAAATTTTTGAAAATAGAGCCTTTCTTGCAGAACTAAGATCAATTCTTGCTTGCTCTAATCATATAGAAGAGAATTATCTTGTCTTTGGGAGAAAAAATTTTTCGATTTTTTTTTCGATTTTCTTAAGTCTACAGCCTTACTTTTTGATCGAAAATTGAACGGTTAAAAAGTGGTAAATTTTTGAAAATAGAGCCTTTCTTGCAGAACTAAGATCAATTCTTGCTTGTTCTAATCATAAAGAAGAGAATTATCTTGTTTTTGAAAGAAAAAATTTGTCGATTTTTTTTTCGATTTTCTGAAGTCTATAGCCTTACTTTTTGATCGAAAATTGAACGGTTAAAAAGTGGTAATTTTTTTGAAAAATAGAGCCTTTCTTGCAGAACTAAGATCAATTCTTGCTTGTTCTAATCATATAGAAGAGAATTATCTTGTTTTTGGAAGAAAAAATTTTTCGATTTTTTTTTCGATTTTCTTAAGTCTATAGCCTTACTTTTTGATCGAAAATTGAACGGTTAAAAAGTGGTAAATTTTTGAAAATAGAGCCTTTCTTGCAGAACTAAGATCAATTCTTGCTTGTTCTAATCATATAGAAGAGAATTATTTGTTTTTGTAAGAAAAATTTTTTCGATTTTTTTTTCGATTTTCTTACACGCAAAAATAAGTTTGGCTATATCGGTAGTTTGTGACAAGCAAATTCCGGGAACGAAAAAAATTTTTAAATCACAGTTACCGTTTTTGAAATACAGGCGTTTTAAGTTGAGAAACGACAATTGTTCCGACAACTTGAGACTCGAGGCGAAAATCGTCACGAGTGGGCGATCATCTTTGACGTCACAAGTGACATGTTCTCGGCACGTATTGTGTTTCTCTATAGAACCTTTAAGAAAATGCTGCGGACAAATGTTTATTTTGTGCATGTGAAAGGAGCTAATTTTGCATTTTTGACACATATTTGACTTTTTCAATGGTTTGTGACTCTAAATCCGAGTTTTATTACACTGATTTCGAAACAAATGGAGAATTTCAGCCGTCTGAGTTTTTGCTACCAACCAGCGCTGCCGCTTGGGCAGACAGTCGTCCCATGGCTCAACATTGACGATGTTATGAACAAAGAACAGACTGGAAGTACAAACTGATATGGAACTTCTATTAAAAACAATGCTATTGCTACAATCTAAATGAGATCAGGTATCCTAAAATTGAAATTTCATTTCAGATTGAGGCGTCTTTGTTCACACTGCTTTGTCTGTATGGCCTAATTCGCTGAAATGCCTATGATGACCTAAACGGAACTGCAAGTTATTTATTGTTAATATAACATTCTATGATTGTTTTTCAATGTTTCAAACGCGTTAACTGTATCGTGATATTAAATAGTAAAGGCGGGTTAAAAATCGACTCCTTTTCAAAAGTTGTGCGGATTATATGCCATTTTCACCGGGCGTGAAGGGTTTCGGGAACTGATAAGTTACCTGGCAGTCGAAAAATCTGGAGTTACGAAATAGGCTCTTAGCTCTTAGTCAAAGAACTTGATTTCTTAGTCAAAGAAAATGCTGTTTAGCTGTCATAGGAATATCAACTAGCGCATTATCTTCTTTTGCAAACAATTTTGACTTGGGTGGGGGATGGTCTTTTTCACGACTAGGTTATCCCTAGTATCTTAACCTCTGTTAAAATACAATAATCAAGTTCAGTGAAATTATTATTTGGTCACACTCGCAGCTCCCATCAACCAAGATTTTTCTTGAATTCATATTTCTGCACCCAAAGCAGGTTGCAGGATCGCTTTTACCGCTGTCTCCATTAGATTTCGTTTGTCTTTTGGATATTGCTTCAACCACCCCCCCCCCACCCCACCCCCATGCTTCGATTTTTTTTATAATTATAAAAATAAAAACTTTGAAAAAACGGTATCAGTTTTCAAACAAAGTCGACTCCTTTTTTCACAAGCTAAGAGGTTCTTTCAATGTTTCCAAGCATGTGGTTCGAAGATATAATGGTATAAAAATAAATTTTATGTGGATATTAGCGTCCTAGCAGACATGTAGCTAGGATTTTCTAGCTTGTTTATACTTATAAATGAAATGCCTGACAATTTTTTGTCTTTTCACCGCGGACTATTTTCAATAAAACACGAAACTTCATTTGTACTTTCACCGTTGCGGTGAAAGCCTTTACAACGGCATCGTTAACATGTCACTTGTGACGTCAACCGAGAATTTTAACAACTCCTGGCGATAATCTTGTTTCCGCTTCGGGAAATTCCCGAGTCCTGGCTGTGACGTAATTGACGGATAAAAGTGCAAATATCAGAAAAACGGCGAATCTAAGAAGAAAACTTTTTCCAGATTTGAAGTCAGCGACAAATTTTGCATCGAATAAGCCAAAGTTATTTTTGCGTGTCAGTTCTCCTTTAATACTTGGATAAGCCTTAATTTTTTATCGGAAATCGTAGGGATAAAAGGTGGTAAGTTTTTGAAGGATAGAACTTTTATTCGAGAACTTTGTTCGATTCATTTTTATTATGATCGTATAAAAGAGAATTATCCTGTTACCGGGACAAGATCTAACCAAGTTCAATACTTTGCTGTGATTGCAAAGAAGCGAATTAACCTACTGTAGGTAGTCAGGCAGAAACATTTTTCTAAGGTTTTACTTTTAAATTTTTTTCTGGAAAATCAGCTAGTTTAAGTCTGTTTTTATGAATTAATCTGTTTAAGGAAGAAAAATGATTCGACAATTTAAGACTTTTGTAATGGCTTTAGCCTTGATTTTTTATCGAAAATAAGCCTTTCCAAAAAGTTGTGATATTTTCAAAAAACCCAACGCTCAGTCTAGAATTAAGATAAATTTATCTTTGTTCTGATCGCATTCACGTGAATCAATCTACATTGGAAAAACAAATTTTTGGAAATATTTTCAGGCTTTCTAAAAAAATTGAAGTCTAAATTCTGGCAAAATGTAAACATGGAAAATCGAGCATTTAAGAAGGAAAGCCTTTGAATAAAGTCACGTCCAAATTGTCTCAAAGAGTTCAAAATGAGGATTAAATTTGATTGTTATACCCAGTTGTGGATCGGAAAAGGCCAATCTTGGTATATGTTTCCTAGCGTAGAGTTCTCGATCTATGTTCTAACGTTTTATACTCTGCGAAAGAGCTGGGTTAAAGGCTAACTCTATTGAGAAGAATTTGGATTCAGCCCCCACAAGCTACAACGCTGTGCTGTCCCTGCAGATGGATTGAGTATCCAGTAGACCTTGCTTCTGATCAAATCTCATCATCATTGCAGCTATGAATGGTTTAAAGAAAAGCCTTATTTTGCAGACAGTGTTTTGAAAAATTAGGGCTGCGATTTTGACTTCTGGAAAGAAGTTCTTAAAAACAGTCAAAGCTACGCCAATATTCTAGTAAATGTTGAACAGTGTTGAACATTGAGAGAGATATAAAATCAGGAAAATTTAGAAAGGGACAGGAAGATCTTACGACTTTTATCGCGTAATGAAATGCTTAGAAACCTGAGACCACGCTCAATTGGCGGGGAAAAACTGAATTCAATTAAAAGATAGGGCAGATGCTTTAGTTGCCTTTAATAGCAACACTTAGTCAGATATCACCACAGTTTTCTTGGGTTCAATCTACATCCGACGGATATTCCGTAGAATTTCAGTGTGAATTCAACTTTCGATGCAATTCAATTCGAAAGACAAGGCTATGAAATATTCGGTTGTGAGGCCAGTCCGTCCCGATTGACCCCCTCAAAGACCATACTAGGGTTCAGAAGGCAGTAAAAATCCGCTTTGATTAGCCTAGAATACCTGTCTTATCTCCTCTGTCGTGGATCACGGTTCGTATTTACTAGATTTGCAACAACTGGCGGTCGAGGTGGGGTTTGAGCTGCGATTTGTTGAGCTAATCGGGGGTCTTTTGGCTTCTCTTTGGCTCCATTAGTGCCCTGTTTTCGCAGCAGTCTCGGGTCTGCTCTACTATCACTTTTGATTACGCCTGGATGACTGTTTTCGCGTTGGTATGGGTGATAACGTCCAGAAGACGGAGCTATATGTTGGGGTAGCATTGCGGATTGAGACACTGGACTCGGTTCAGCCTGTATTGTGTTGCTTGATGCCTCAACATTCGTTTGATGTTTATCACCCAGATTCTAAAAGAAATAAAAAATCAAGCTTCTAAATTGCTTCGGAGATACAAAGCTTCTAAATTTTCAATTAAATCGCGGAAGCTTCCCATCATGCTTTAAAAGCGTTTACTTTTTGGGTTCGACTATCTAATTTATCAACACAACGGAAACTAAAAATGTATTCTGTTGGTACGAAAAATACTTTTCTATAATAAAATAATATTACTATCAATATCTGCTAAGATCGCTTCAGTGTCCTGAAGCTAAACGATGGAATGAGATCCTTGCCGAAATAAGAAATGCCTAATCAAAAACAGTCTTTGAATCCAAATAGAACAAAACAATTAAAAGTTAATCTCCCACTCAATGAAATCTCTAGCTTTAAATAATCTCACATCCCTGAAACTTCGCATGATTGGTTACAAAATGAATTCTAAGCAAGGAGGTTCTTTCGTCGATGAGTTTACATACTGTGATGGTTCCTCCTTTAGGAAATCACCGACAGATATCTACAATGGCTAGAAAATAGTTTTCTCTCGTTTTCTGTTGATTTTATCAACACACTTTACAAAAAATTCTTTAATGGACTTCACATAATTTAAAGTTGAATTCATAATCATATTATAAAATGAAAAATTCTATGTAAAGAAGTTTGACTAATGAAGCTAAAACTCATATAACAATTGAAAAACGCACCTGTTTGGCAATATTTATAAACTCTGGATTAATATCACTCATGTTTGGGTATTCAGAAAAAAGCATGCAGAACCTAGAAAAAGAGATTAGAATGACTGCGTTGCTTCAAATTTGAGAGCCATTTGAGGACACCCAACATCACTATCGTCATCATCTTAATTTTTATCTTAACCATCATTACTGTCATTCTTTTATTGTCAGAATCATAGAAGCTATAGTACAAAAGACAAGCAGAAAATGGAAAAGCACACAGAGACGGTTCAAGTCAAAAAATGTTTAAGATTTGAGTTCTGCGTCTTCTCGTCTCTTCGAGCGATTAGATACGACTCTGTCATTATGCTATTTAAAGGAAACATGGTGAGGAATTTGTCAACACAGAACACTATTGCAACAGATTAAGAATCCTCATAATTTGGTTTTCAAGCCAAAACCAATATACCGTTTAGCTTAAGTTAATCTGGGGGTGTTGATGCATAATTCATCAATGGATGATTTGCATTGTTGAATGGTGCAATTGTACATTTCCTGGCTGCCTCCTGACTTGTCTCTTATTATATCTAAAATTGTTACTGTCATTGAACATCATTTAGATGGCAGCATGTCCACTGAGCAGCTGAAATTATCTCTATTTTAGGAACAAGGCCCTAACGCAATTCCCATTCATCAATCTCTGGCAGATAAAAGTATGCTTCCCATCTTGCATCAAAGACCTTTTCATATTCTTGAAAATGGGCAAGCTGTTTTTGAATAGAAATGTGTACTATTAGGGCTTGTCTGTTATCTTGGTCTCTGTCAAAGGCATCTCCAAAGGATAGGTGCAATGTGCGACAACATCTTGTCTTAGTTAACCAAAGTCTTCACAGTTTAGTGTATACTTAGGCCAGCTAAGGTGTCCGGATCGTCATCAATCAACTATTGCCATTATCACCAGCTTTTGTACCAAAATTCATAACACAGTTATATATTTTTTCTTACAAAATTCTCACAGTTTGTTTGATTTGCTCACTTGACAGTGTTTAATGATTGGCATGAAAGGTTTTTTTCTGTATGATTTTCAAAATTAAAAAGTAATAAAGGAACTTGGGCACAAGCAGTAAAATATTAGATAAACAAAGTACACCAACACATGATTGACTGACAGAAACAAAAAAAACCAAAGTTACAGATTATTTCATTTGTAACTCAACTAACAATGTTGTGCAAAAGACCTTTCTGGTTATAAGCAAGTTGTGAAGGCACCAGTATATTAAGAGATACAAAAATGAAATGATACATACTCCCCAATTTTTTCAAGATATCCAGTCCTTCCAGTGTAAATTGTTAGCTGGTTTTTCCACACTTGTGCATATCTTGAAAGAAACAAAAAGAATAACAAAGAATTTAGTTCAGGAATCTTGCAGCAATTGTCCCCAAACATTAGATATTTCTATTAAAAGTAATAAGGCCCTCATAATTTCCTCCTCTCAGTTCACATATGTCAAATGGTTGCTTGTATTGAGATCATCAAGATCACAGTGGTATTGAGAGACAAACCTATTGGTATAAAATGTCACCTAAAGCTGATCATTGACAAATTTCAGCTGGGAAATCAGATACCATGTTTACAAACTATTGCAAATATTGTTAGCTAGTAAGAACATTGTATTCTTCCTAGATAGCTGTTATTTAAAAATGCCAATATCAAACTCAAAATCTTTACCCTTTACAAAATCTAATGATATCACCAGCCTGTAGGTGCACACCAAAATCATCCCATATTGATGCATTTATTGATCCTGTTCTGTCTGCAACCTTACAAGAACGAACTTCATGCCCATCCTTTGTTTTTGTTGGTTTACCTATATCAGGATATAATCAGGAAAAATTCTTGAATAATATGTTTAAAAAAATGACTATAGTTGTGGGATTTATAAGCCAAGAACAAAAACTTTGATCTTGTAAGTAGCCTTGGATTAAGACTTTTATCTGTTAACCATGCAGTGCAAATTCTTTTTCTCAAATTGTGCTCCAAGGAGTAAGAAACCAAGCTTTTTGTAATATATCAATTAAAAAATATGATGACATAGGTAATGATAGAACAAGGAATGATGCATACTATAGCCACAAAGTACATCTATATAAATGACTAAAATGAACATCAAAATTTTGTTTCTATTTCAGTTTCTATATAAAATATTAGAAAACACAATTAGTTAGCATGAACAATATATTGCCCGTTCACAGATCTAGGTGCTTTTGCATATTGGCTGCCCAAAATCCCTGGATAATAATATTCAACATTATTAACTTTCAAAATAACTAATATTATATGATGTCAGGCACCCAGTCTCAATTTTTTGAAATAAACTTGTCTTTGCAAGAAACAAAGTTTCAAGTCTGAATCATTTGCAAATAAGAGAAACATGATTCAGTTTTCTTATAACTCACTGTAATTAGCTTCCCAACTGCAGAGTATGGCAGTTTCCAACGAGATTTCAGGTGTGCAAAGCAAAATTTTAAGTGTGCAAGTGTGCACTTTGGTTAAGTGTGCACTTGAATTGTACACACAACTAGATACATGCATACTACACACATCTATGTTAGACCCTATTGAAACTAGAGTGTTTTATCCGCATAAATGTTTATCCGTTTACGTTGTACCGGATGGAATTTTACCTGTTTAGCCCCTCCATTTACACAGTGAAACAAATCGGTGACTTTTTTATTTGGCATGCGCACAACCTTTGATTTAGTTCTGTCAGACCTTTCCCAAAATTGGCGTGGTCTTTGATTTCTTCTTGAAGCCTTCAGAATACCACTTATTCTTTGTAGTCATGAATTGCTATTTTTGAGTGTAGCAGAGTGTTTAGGAGATACCAGGTATCAATGCTAAATCATGCAATCATGAATAAAATAATTGCAAATCATGCTTACTCGCTACTGGAAGTTTAGTTTCACGATCATGCCCCCTAGTAGTTCTCTGATTTCAATAACTATCTAATAGGAGTAATTTCTTGTTGAAATTTGCTTGGCAAGTTCGCTTCGAAATTCATTTTCACGCAATCAGGCCATGAGTAATGCTGGTTCACAGGTCACGTGCCAATGTCTATTCAGGCATTCACAAATAATAAAAAATTTGTTTCATGAATTGACGAAAATACACTGATAACGCAATCACGTCAAAATACCTGGTACCCCAAATGTTTAGCCTTGCTGCATCAGCTACAGAGCTTAAAAATGCAAACAGAGATAATACGATGTTTTGAAGAAGTTCATCATGATAGTTCAAGAAACAACAACAATGATCTGAAATATTTTCAAAAGTACGCCAATTTTTTCTCTTGCATCGTTTTGTTATCATATTCAAATGGCCTCAATATGAAACAGAAAAGACTCACTGTGCATGTCTATGTGTATAAAAATTTATCCGGATACAACACTTTAGTGTAAACAGGGTCTTAGATCCTGAGAATATCAATTAAGATGGGAATATGGGTGAAATACAGAAATGTACATGACTGATAGTTATTTTGCTATCAAACCAATGCAACATTATGTTGGTTTTGAAGAAACCTAAATTCTTCATTTGCCTTAAGCAATCGGTCACACCTAGGCCTTGCCCAGATTTAAAAATGCCTCACCCTTTACCAGGTGTGCAGGGACAATTTATAAAATAGCTCGGGTGTGCACTTGCCATACTCTGCAGTCAGGATGGGTTGATATTCTGGAAAAAAGTTGTCATCGACTGTTTAATTACAACATTTGATGTAAACTACGAGATAAACAAAAAAGTTAAGATAAACAACATTTGATTTCACTAAAATAGCTGATGGACACATGGAAAAACCCAAAATAGAGCTATCAAAGCAATGTGCCCTGTTGACGTGATTTGAAGATATGGACATTTTACTTAATTTTTGGTTGAATATCAGAAACTAAAAGCATACCAATATCAAGGACAACAAAAACCAAATGCAGATTCTTTGCGCCTGGTTTTAGGTCCCTAATGTTCATAACAGAAGGAAGTCTACTTTCAGCGCTATCAACCATGATACTTAATCGATAAAAGTCATCAGCTCACGAAGTTGAGTTTCCTGTGTATGCTTAGGCCACTGGATAAAACTATCTTTGTAGCCTCGTTGTGACAGCTGAAATAGTGCTGACGTCAGCCGATGTTTTCTTTGAATTCGTTTATAATCTTTGATACTTTATTTCAGGAGATCCTCCAAGTTGTTTTGATACTTGAAGTGTAGGATACTAAATATTTGAATAACTTATCTTTGAAGGGCGAGTGTTTCTTGAGTATTGCAGTTGAAAACCAATGTTTGGAACAAGTTTAGACGTTTTTTCAATGCCAGAAATACGCAAGCACGTAAAACTGCAAATATCAGATTTCATCATACTTTTTCTGTAAAACCAGGCACTTGATGACACAAACAACTATTTTCTTAGCCTTCTCATTCCAAGCTTTCAACAATTCAAACATTGCCATAAAAATGATAGAGGTTTTTTGTAGCAAAGCAGCTCTTAGAAATAGCAGCAATAAATTACGTAAGAGTTGCTTTGATGCCTGCCATGGTAACCAGGACACACTCCTTCATAGCAGGCGAGAACAATGGAAACAATACACTAACATCTCATTTTGAAAGACGGATCACAGTTTATGAATTCCAAAATATATTTCTAAATATTCAGCTAAATATAGAATTAAGGAAATTTCTTTTAAGCAGCAGAAATTATCATTTTGCAAGATTACAATACTAAACATTATAGGAGTAATTCAAAAATATCTAATTCAGCGTTTAAAATTCAACACGTTTCTTTTAGAGCATGTTAACAAAACGAGGTCATAATTCGAAAGGGTCTCCCAAAGGGATATTTATTGGACAGAATACATTCCAGTATCCATACAAACCAACTTATTGCTAAAATTTTCTTACACTGTAATGCGTCAAAAGTTACAAACCAACTTATTACACTGTTTTCACTAAACTTTTCTTACACTGTAATGCGTCAAAAGTTGAGTATGCAAAGCATTGACATAAATCTGATTAAAATATACTAGAAAATGAAGTTGTAATAAAATACAGATGACATTATACACATGAACGTCAGTGCGATATGGTTAAAAACGTGCGAAATTTTGAATGTAGATGTATTAGTGCGTGTGTAATTATAAAATTATAAATAAAGCTAATGAATGAGTCTAAACTAAATAACAGAAAAAGCTACTAAAGCAACCAAAAATCATCTCGTAACTTCAGATCTAATTGTTAAACAACCATTTCTCGCCTGGCTTTTGGGCATGGTAATCATTGGTTTTGTCACGCCTGACGTAAAGCGAATATAAAACGGAAAGATGCATGTGGGACTTAAAAAAAATGAGTTTTCGCCTGTATTGCTAGTTGTTACAAATTAAAAAGCAATTTTCAGTAAATTATTGAGTTAATTCCCGAAAATCTAAACATGAACCAGAAAAGATTGAATAGAAATTTGCTAACCGAAAAACGTTTTGGGGAGGTGAGGGTGTAGTGTGCGTGTTATCAGCGGGCCGGTCTGGAATGGTAGCAAGCGCACTGTGTTTCAAAGCAGCGGCGGACACCTGGGAGGCGAGGAAGGTGGGGGAACTCCAATTTTTTTAGGACAATAGCATTTTGTTCTAAAACAATGGAAAATATGACGTCATCTTAGCAAAACAATAGGCTTGCCCTCCCAATATTTGACCAAGTGTCCGCCCCTGTTTTGAAGATTGAATATTTCAAGAGGTTCTGGCAAGGATTAAATATCTATTGTGATTCCAAACAGCTTCAGCATGTTCATAAACTGGATAAAAGCGTAAATGTTTTACGTGATGCATTATTCTGATAGTGAACAGGTAGGAAGATTAACAAATCCAAAAATGTTAAATTCTATGAGACTTGAAATTACTATAAATATGAAATAGGCAACAAAAAATACAACACCAGTCTTTCTGTCAAGTCTCCATTTGTTAAAGTGGATTGATATTATCTAGAAAAAAAATTGAGTAGATTGATTAAATCTAGAATTTGATGCAATGACATTCAAGGGAGAGAAATGTTCTCGTGATTTGGAATACCAATTTTGTCGACATGACTAAATGACGCTAAAACGCTGACTGGTATTCTTCGCGAGCAGAAATTCTAATTTTGCTTACAGAGAACTCAATTTCTGGAAAATTCACAAACGTTTCAGATTGATAAAAAAAATTTGTCTTTTACTAGCGCACATTCTCTCAGAGTGCCATGATACATGTAATGATTGCATGTGATGATTGCATCTTCCGAAGGGTGAAATCCTAATTTTGAATATTGTATTGGTTTTTCTGGTTGAAGATAAACAAAAGTTCCATATGCAAAGAAAACAAAATGAAAGGCTGATGAGAACAATTACAAAATCATTGTTATGGGTTAAGGGTGTTGTCTGGAGGAAGGATTGACGTTATTGTTAACTCTGAAGGTTCCTGGCTTAAAACATCTTACAACGTCATAAGCAAGAGAGAAATTTCAAAAGAACTCAGAGGCGTAGCTAGTGGGGGATTATATGGGGGTGTAACACCCCCAATTCTTCATGAATTCGTCGGTAAGTCTTCAGTTTGTCTACAAAATCCTTGGTTTGTCGGTAAAATCAGCTATAAGTAGGTAAAATGGTAGCTAAATTCTTCTCAATCTATGTCTTTGTCGGTAAATTTTTCTATTGACGACCCTCCACCCCCCTAGTCTGGAAGGTCAAGCGACGCCAATGTTGGTGCTTTGCTATTATCCACTTTCGTAAGAGGTTAACTCAACTCACCGTGATAAAGACAGTTGTAAATAGAAGGACAACAGAATATATGAGCCCACGACTGTTCACTTTGACCTGTTGGTATTAGAAAAAATATATAAGGAAATTATAGCAACATTGAAATGCCCAACTTCTGATAGAATCCATGGTACATTCCCAAGACACAAGATACTGATTTCTATTAATTTCAGGGCTTTTGTGTTGCCAAGCTGATTGTTTACGGGTAACTATAATGGCGAATTCAAAAAGAGGAACATTTTTTGGGGAAGAAAAGATGCCGTTTTCGTCTACTCTCATTTCGGTAGCCGCATCAGTTTGAATTTTAAGCTATATCCAGTTTCTTTAACTTTTCGTACTTCTGCTACAGAAAAATGCTTTCTAGAATGTTATAAATTTCTAGATCTTACGATGATATAAATTTAATGTCAACTTCGTGTTTTGCGAAGAGGCCCTATAAGATAAATAACGTGCTTGCATTATGCTGACCAAAAGGATGCTGATTTTTCTTGGTTTCATACTTCATAAAGCATTACAAAAACTAACAAAAACTGAAATCTACAAAAAACAGTGCTCATGAATAATTTGAAGAAATAAAGGCAGAACCTAAACGCTGTCATCAAGAAATGCTGATGTGAAGCTAGCTGAGACAAAGAAATATAAGCTTAAGCGCATGACAATTTTAACCTTTGTAACTTAGAAAAGGAAAAGAAGAAATAGAGTGGTCTTGCCATTAAGATCCCGTTTACAAAGGAGTGGATCCATATAGGATAAGCTTTTTGCTTACAGAGGAAATGCTGGATCTATATAATTTTGGATCCACTATCCGAAAACGCCCTGGGTCAAATTCAGGGGCAATCTTGTATGAATCCGGTCTCTTCAAAATCAGATCCATTTTGTTTCTACCCATTTTCTTTCGTTGAAAGATATATAGAGGTATCTCTATGACACAACGTCTGGTGCGTGTCAGTTTTTAAGATGCGCATGCGTGTAGCACGTGGATATCATCTGTGTCCGATCCCGTGTAAAAGGAAATGGTTTTGGATGGGATCCTGTGTAAATGCATATAAAGTATCTCTATATTGAATTTAGATACTTCGGATCTGATTTGGTCCTGATCTCGTGTAAACAGAGTCAATTTAGCGTGATAGAGATAAACTTTCAGATGACAAATCAGAGCAACTAGCGGATGATAAGTGGAAGGGGGGAGGGGGGGTCTACCTCTGTGACAAGGCTGTTACTCAAAGGCATGATCATTGACAACTTTGATAATATCTGATTGAACAAGAACCTTTTATAATGAACTAAGTATAAAGAGAAACATTTACCCGCGAACCAGGATGCAGCAAAGCAGTTTGGAAAAACCATGGCAATGCAAGACCAATGAGGATGTCGAAAACATTGCTTCCAATAGAATTTGCCGTCGCCATATCTCCTTGACCTTAGATCGGGAAATAAGAAGTAAGAAGTCTTAAACATGAATGGACAAAATAGCAAAAATCTAATATTTGAATCGTCTCCGATTCCAAGAATAATAAAAAACACTTTTTTGTGACTTGAATACATGGTCACTCTCAAAAGATTTTCAAAATATTTATATGAAAGGAATATTTCTATCATAATTTTGAACGGTTTTGTAGGCTCTTCCTGCATTCAAAATACCTTGTCTTGAAACAATAAGGCTCGCAAGGGCATCTGGGACACTGGATCCAGCTGCAAGGAAGGTTATCCCCATGATAACATCAGGTATTCCTAAAGTGTATCCAATGATGACGACCTGTTAAGAGACAGCGAGAAAGATGCCAGATTTTGAATTTCTAATCATAGGCAAGATTCAAAGCAGCAAAGGCAAAGGTGTCCAGGAAAATAAACCTCCTGCACTAAATCCACAGGAATCCAAGGCTAAGTTAACGATGAATCTATGAACACATTGCTAACAAAAGTATCCAAGAATGCTTCCCCTTGGAACAAATAACGTTCCGAGGGATTGATTCATATGCTTTTATTTTTCAATGAAACACAATAAAGAAGCAAGGAATGTTTAAGAGTAGTGTTTGGCCAAAGCTCCAAAAAGGCAAGTCAAAGGGGAACACCCTTTCCACTAAGAAAGGGGATATCACCCTGGATGAAAACTAAAAACATTCATAGAAATTTTTTTAAATTAACCCATGAAGGTGTATGATATTTGATTTGACCCTGAATGAATCTGAATGTAGCGAGGCCTTGTGCAGCTAAATGAATTGACTTACAAATAAAAACAGAGGTAAAACAAAGTGGTCTCAAACTAGAAAATCAAAGGAACACTGCAAACAGAGAAGACTCAAAATATGCAATCGTCTTAACAATAGTTTCTTTGGAAATAAATACTGACACATTACTAGAATAACGAGGTTTGTAAACAAAAGACATTACCATCCAGACCATGATGTAAGAAAGAGCTCCAATCCAAATAATTGACATAAGAAAAGTTACCATGTACCATCGAGCCCATCTACAAAAAACAAAGAAAGTCTTTACAGAGCATGCATTTACAGAAAGTGAAACATTTCTCTCATTTTGAACATACAGTTGAACATAGTTAGGAAGTCCCGCAAATAACGCAAACATTGTACCCCGAATAAGTCGGACATTCACTAAGTCAGACCATTTCTTTACCTCCTTTGTAACCCAGATTTAACATGATCTTAGGTCGACAAAAGTCCTTTCATATTTGGCAGTTACATACAGTGGCTGACAATACGATGTAGCCTCAACATGAGCTGCAAGGTGGTGCAAAAGCAACTTCATTAGACAGAAAAGATTGTTTTACACCATTAATCGGCAAGGGCCTTCAAAAGGATTTTAATAGGTCTTCAATTCGGTATTTTAATGTAAACAGGCTCAGTGTGGAAAAGAGGACAGACAGATTTAAGTTCATGTTCGTAATCTCAAGCTGAATGCAATTTTATGGTAAGAGTTTGTTAATTATAATGGTAGTTATAATGAAACAACAAGGATGTTTCATGCATACTTTTCCATCTTGCAATCCGGTATTGTAAAATGTAAAATTAATGCAATTGGTCTTGATATTATCCAGAATACCATGCCAAAACATGATCTATCTAGAAAATTTAACAATTTACATTAAAAACTGTCCATTTACAAAAAAGCAATCAGTGACGTATATTCTAAATCTGGCAGATAATCTATCAACTATCTTCGATTTACCATCTCTAAGATTTTAATTTCCATGATGAATATGTCACAGAAAAAATCAAACTCTACCAAACAAGACAATGAGCAACAATTTACTTCCAAATCCATTGCCAAATCTTAATTTTATTAAAACAATTTTGACAATCAGCTTCTGTAAATGCTTTCTACCTTGTGGGTAAAATGGTCCAGCTTCAATCTTGATATCTACATGACCACTTTCGCTATGGAAAAGATATTATTGCATTAGATTCCATGTACATCAAATTTTTATCATCGAAATGAAGGATTTTAGATGCTTTGCCATAAATAGCTATCACAGAAAGTAGCAATGTTTTAGCAAAATTTTGATGAAAATTGATTTTAGAAAATCGTTTGTGACACCAAACCCCATTCAACCCAACTCCCTAAATTATCAAAATAAACCAAAACAGACAAAAGAACACACCAGCAATGATTGATCTAGTTTTAACGCAGATGGAGGGACGACATCGAAGAGAAGGCAGGAAAGAGGTGGATGCAAGAGGCCATCTGCCAGCAGTGGCATTACGGGCTGAGATGATGATGATGATGATGATGACTAGTTTTAACCGTACCTTCAAAGTCATATGAATCGAAAGATCCAGTGAAAAGATTGAGGGAAACTTAAAGATTGAGGGAAAAGTTTATACTGAGACAAAATATCAAGCAAAAATGTCAAGCTTAAAAAAGGTAAAAATTTGTAAGATTTGAAGAAAAATTGAGGGATGATGTAACTATGCGAGGAGAAAACCAATCAAACAGAGAAGCAAAAACTTACTGTTTAAAGGAATTCTTGCTAACAATGTCGGCAGGCTCATTCTGGTTGGTGTCACTCTCATTCTGATGCTCGTGACCATCATCCTGCAGCAACAACAAAATAAAAAACAACCCTCCAAAACACCATAAAGATTTTGCTTAAAGACTCATCGCCAACAATGAGCCATTGCGCTACGCAAGTTTCCCATAATGCATTTCTAGACAGTCTGAAATTAATTTTGGTTTACCCGTAGAAGTTTACTGCCATTGTTTGGATCGTCGCCACGCTCGCAAAGGCGCATTGTTAACAATGAGTCCTGAATCTTTCAGGCATTCTGTTATCTTTTCATTAAAGTAGGCCGTCAGAACCATAGATGCTACACCTATTTTGCACATAGAGCTAATTTTAAAAACTTTCCACAGACAACATCATTGATTGTGTAAGTTTTAAAGTTTGTATGCTTGTTGTTTTCCATAGAAACGCTGACCATCTGGTCTTGCTAGGGTTACTGCCTTAATTTAGCTAAGGGTAGCCATTAAAAGCTTAAAGGGTAACATTTGGAAAATCTTTGTACAGGAAATGACAGCGAAAATGAGGAAAGTATGAGGAAGTCAGATAACAACTTGGGTGCATACAGAACAACAAATCAAAGGAACCAGAAAAGTGGTCCAATATCAGCTCTTAGGATTTAAGAGGTATTCTGGTTATTCATGGTCACATTGCACATACTGTAACATACGTTGCAACATAGCTCGTGAAGAATTAGTCAATTGCATGCAAAAACATAAAGATGGCAGTATTCAAAGGGTAAAAGCACGTTTGCGTGCCGTTAAAGATAATCGAAAATCATTTGACTTCGCCTTGAATGCGATAGGCTTCAGCGTATGAAAACAAGGATTGTTTTTTAAGCCAATCAGATTGTTTGTTTACATTTTCACAAGCCAATGGAAATGCACAAAATACAATAAAAACCAAAGGAAAAACAACGTTGGATCGAAAGCAACAGTAGCTCTTGCTACTCATATACAAAGCTTTGGAGAAACGACTCACAAACACCCAGGGACGCCTGCACAAGATTAGGGCAGGAGGGGCAGTGTTGGTGCCGAGGGCAAATCGTTGAAGTTTTCTATTAACATTATCGAGCATTCCTAGGTAGGACGGGGGCGAGGGTGGGGTAACATAATAAAATATTAACTTTAAAATATGCCACCCATACAGAAACATAAAGAAAATTTGGACGAAATTATCCATAAATGAAAATGGTTATTAAATGGCCTTATCGCTATACCCATTAATTGGTTTTTACAAAAATCGTGGCTGTTATAGATGGACTGGTTGTAAAATTTTGATTGCCCGCTAAGTTTTATACCGATTTATCCTCCTTAGGTTCCTGGAGTACTTCTGAGGGGAGTACACATCTTTTGTTTATCATATATTATGTTAGCCGCTCTCCCTCTTATGACCGACCTTGTCACAGACAAACTTTTCATTCTCTGAATTTTTGTGCTGGTGTTATCATCTTTCTAGTATTTTCTAATAGATATCAACATAATGAGAGTAGTCAAAGTGGTCAACATATTTCAGGGCACTTCTTGCCCCCTCTGCCCCTCTTCGAAGAGGGCAGGAGGGGCAGCTGCCCCTCCAGCCCCCCTGTGTAGGCGCCCCTGCAAACACCACAAAAAGTGAATTTTGAATACAAAAACCGTCGTCAATCAATGATCTCATTAGTTTTCTCGCCTGGTTTCAAAATGTAAACAAACAATCTGATTGGCTTGAAACAATTTAAATAGTAGTTGCTTGTCCATACCTGTCGCATTGTTACCATGTAACATGCTGCTCGAAATCGCGTGGCTGGTTGAAATCTGTCACTCAACATAACCATCATACCAACTTCCCTCCACGTAAGCTTACGAATTCTATGAAACAAATATATGAATTCCAATCTATACGTTAATATCACGTAGCTTAAATTCTGATGAACTCTATTGGCATGATTTGTATTATGCTAAAAAAGACTCGAAGATTTTCCAGCAAAGACAAATACAACCTTTTCTTATAACAAAAAAATTAAGAAATAATAAAGAAATTTAAATTAATAGAGATTTAAAAAACTGAGGCTCAAAATTGGTGAAATCTAAGAATGGATCAATATCAACGGCTAGGCTTAAATTTCACCTACAGTTTAACTTCTTATCTTTCTCTGTACTTCAAGCAAGTAAGACAAGTGTGACGTATGGAAAAGTTTCAGGAACAATCATTAAGCTTGCACTGTCATCGTATGATTCATTTTCCGAGGCTGATTTCACAATAAAGAACTGCAGGAGCAAAATTTAAACTTTCTGTCTCGTTTCTTACCAAATTTACACGTTGTCTCGTTGAAAAACGATTTTAGAATAATTTCAGGCCCTGAATCATAAATTTATAAGACTATTAAGGCTTGGCATGAACTAAGGCGTTCTAATATAAATATAGATTGTGTTCTTAATAATAACGATACTATCAATCGATAGCAATCTAAAAGCCATAAATTATGAGTGATCAAGATGTAGATGCCTTGTAAAACAGGTGAATACTTTATATTTGCACCGTTGCAGGTTAATGTCTAAGAGTCTTTTGCAAGCAGTACCTTTCCTATACAAAAAACCTTTTAAAATGTGAAACAAACTCAGTACAAAGAGCTATAATACAAACTCACTTCTTTGTCACAAGTTGGTAACTGTCAGGACTGCCGCAATACGCTGCAAAAATAAAGTTTTCTTATTACTGGGCCATTTTAAAAAACATTAGACGATTTATTAAAATTGGTAGAAAAATTCATGCAAAACTACATATAAAACAGTTATTTTCTTTGGGAGAAGCAGCCACATAATCATGCCAACAACTCATAGGTTATCCATGAGGATTCAGTAGATATTCAGAAGACTGGTGTGAATTGTGACGTCACTTTCAAAGGGTTAAACAAAGCTAGTGACCTAGCCACAAAACGATTATGAATTTCGGAGTAGACAACGTAAATGTATATTCATATCTTACCAGGAATATCTCCATTTTCGAGCATGGTAGAACCATAATCAACTGTACCATTAGATAGAGGATTTTTTTCTTCTTCCTTCACGTAGACTGATTCTGGCTGAATTATTTTGAGAACTGTTGAATTGAACCTGATAAACATAGATTAGACAAAAAAGTGCAGCATGAGTGCCGAATCTCATCCTAAGATTGCAGCGTTATTCAAGTGTAGCCTTGTATGGGTCATGAAGGGTTGGTAAGGTTCTCTATTAAGCTGTTACTCTCTGAACTTTAAGATAGAATTGCCCTCTAAAAATAGGAAATCTAAATGTGTCTTGAAGACAATCAAATAAGAAATGGCCCATCCGTTATCTTGGGATTACTTTTATCAGACTTGGGGCTTTCAGGTAGGTAAATTATGTCAAATATTTAACCAACTTAAACAGCCTAACGCACATTGATGTACATAGACTCGTGAAGAAACTCTAGAACATGCCTGCTTAAAGAAAAAGATCTTAAAGCTTTTAAGGAAAACGGCCTTTAACCCTTTATGTTTCTTATACATTGGGAATTTCCAAGAATTAAGAAACTGAAAAGTATTTAAGCGAAATAAAACTTACTTCATCAAAGTAATGTACCCGGCATATAGTAACAACATGATAAGACTCTCGTACCTAGCAAGAAACAATTTATGATGATACTTATAAATAATTACAGCGAATTATTTTTACAGAAATCAAATATGAATTAACTCAAAGCATTTAAGATAGAGTTTTGTGGATTATGGAATGTTGTAGGGACTTGGTTTACACCCCTGTCACAGAATAATCCCTTTAAAATTTCGGTAACATTTTCGACTTTTAATGATCAACCATAATTAGTTCTATTTGTCTTTTTCCTTAAAATTTAGTCTCGAGAATGTAGTTTTAGCCTATACGGGTTCAAAGATTTCTCTTTAGGCCTTAATTACAGGTTGGATCGGAAGGGTGGACAGTGTATGAGATACAAATGATATTGCAAGTAAGAGCAAATTGAAGAATATGTAACACGAGATAAAGTTATTTATGAATGATTACACACTTTTTCGAGGGTTACATTAGTAAGATAACATTTAGCCCTACCCTGTGTACCCCACCCTCTTCCTTCGAAGAATTATTTCTTATACCATTTATATTCATATATATTTCTAATACAATTTTTATTCAAATCTACACAATTTAGGAGAAGAAAAAATGACTTTCAAAATGGTGTCAAATAAAGCTATAATATGTGAAAGGAAGTAAAACCAATAACGAACGCTAAAGACATCGTTCTTTCAAAATTTGGTTTTTTCTAGACAAGCTAACAAGAAGAGCTACACAGAGAATTTATTGAGCCTCTCGCAAATGTCGCATATTCTTTGAAGATTATTGTCGCTAATACCAAATGCTTTGTGAAACATGCAGAAGACTTTATTACCTATTAACAAACGGAAATACAAGCTCTCCCTAAACATTTCAAATGCTGTGAAAATAATCACAAGGTTGCATGCAAGCCTTTTTCCCACGCTGCTTCTGCATAGGTTACAATTATTCCCAGTCTAAAATACAATGTGTGCCTATAAATCCAAAAGTCCACCGCTGAAGGTGATCCACAGATCGAATCAGACTTGGTGTTACACGTGCTTGCGCGTATTGAGAATAAAACTAGTCACGTGGCAAAAATTTGAACGTGATGGATCGAGAAACAAAATTATGTTAACTATTTTCGAACTGTTCCTGTACAGCTTTCTATTATCATTGTTAACAAGTGGGATAGAAATGATGATGTACAAATATTCATGTGACAACAAATTCTGACGTCCAGTCAATCTGGCTTTTACACAGCCTTTGAAAGCCTTCCTAATACGGCAACTCATGTTGTGTTCCTCGACCTGTAGAAAGCTTGTTATAGGATGTGGCATGAGGGTTTTCTTTACAAGCTAGAGCAAACAGAATCCCAGGGAAATTACTGCTCTTAATAAAAAAGCTTATAACAAAACCGCTTGCAGAGTTTTGCCCTGAATGGTACAAATTCAGAGTTGGAAACAGTAACTGCAGGAGTTCCGCAAGGATCAGTTCTCGGTCCCCCTGTTCTTTCTTGTTTGCATCAATGATCTGGCTGATAATGTAGCCTGTGATATTAACCTATTTGCAGATAATACTTCTCTGTTTACAGTTTTTCATGATGAGGCTAAAGATTGTCTCGATTCAAATAATGATCTGGAAACGGTTCGATTATGGGCATGGCAGTGGATAATGCAGTTTAATGCAGAAAAGACTGAACAAGTAATATTTTCCACCAAACAAAAGAAACCTCAACACCCGTCTCTAAAACTAGGCAACAATAAAATATCAAGGAATAATGAACATAAACATCTTGGTGTAGTTCTCGACTCGGGACCATTAGGGGTTCAAAATTGATGACTGGGGACAAAGCAACGGCAAGCATGAGTGGCAATACCCAAAATAGGTAACATTCTAGGAGTACCTAAAGTATTACTTTACTGTTCTATTCCTATGATGGTGGTAACGGTGAACATGGCTTGTTATGATTCAGGCAACACTTACCACGTGATAAATCCATCGTACATAGCCTACAATGAAAACCGAATGTATTGGTAAATTATCAAACACCGATCTACGTATAAAGCTATATAAGGCAAAATCTGATCTTGCTAATTATTTCCGTTGGGAGATTTATTAATACAAATGGACAAAAAGATGAGAAGAGTAGATGATGGGAGGGAGCCTAACAATAAAGAAAATGATTTTATGCATGCACCAAAGCCAAATCAAACTAGATATTGTCGCCACTGCTAATTCCTTGGTGCTTAAAGGAATGCTTTACAAGAGAATCCAATATTTTTAAAGTTTTATGGCTATGGACATGGCATGAATCGAAAGAAAAAGAGCATTCGCAAAATATTGAGCAGTAGCTTAAACCTACACAAATATTTATAGTTTCAATTGCCACAAATCTATTTAATCAGATAACCGTAAACCACAATTTAACAATGAATTGGATATGAAATCACTTTTGCGGGACCATGGTGGCGCATAACTTAAAAGCAAACGAACGCCGTTTTCAATGTGACTTTATCTTTGCATGGGTTTACGGTTATCGTTCATTGACGATTGACCAGCCCAGCTAATTCTTTTTATAGTTCTAATGCATAAAGTAAAACTGTAAAAAATACAAAGCAGCACTCTGAACTACCATGTGCGTGACCGGGGGATTATTTGTCGAGAGAGGTCAAATAGTCGGTCAACTCAATTCCGTAAATCCTCAAATAAGCCCCACGTTCGGATAAGCTTTCCCCTCGAATAAGCCGCCACCTAAAAAGATCATTTTTGCAAAGAAGCATAATTGCAGAATAATATCTTATTTCAAGAAAGCCCCCACAGGACAATAGCTATACAGTATTACCTCTTTTGATTGGAGACCAAAAAGCAAATAAGGAACTTTTGTGATGATATAAAAAAACAATATTTGTTAGTTCTTTGTTAGATTTGTTAGAAAAATTATGTCGTTTTTATGTGGACCTTTGAGGAAAATACAAAAATATGAAATAAGCCCCCCCCTCTCAAATAACCTTCCCCTCGAATAAGCCCCCCACCCAATTCGAAGATTTACGGTATGCTTAATCATCCGTCTTCGCAAAATACAGAACTGTGGATCGGGATCTCAGTGAGCGGAGTTAACATCGGCCTCCAAAAAGCCTCCAAAAAATCCAATTTGCTTTTAAAACAACAGTTTATGAACACAATCCCCAGTGGCCTTTTCGACAAAATTCAAAAAATCTTCCAGAAGAGGTAAAAAATAATTAAATAAATTCTATTTTATTTAAGCATTCATAGTTCTGGCGTTATATTCAAATATTACTAGCAAATAACTTCTAAAAACTGTTTTATTGTAGGCTGTACATCCATAACCTGAGACTCTACAACAATAACTGGGCCACAAAAAAATATGATAATTCACTATAAGTTCTAGGAAAAATCATTTCTTTTTTGTTTTTTTTTTAATATCATACTTCAGGCCTTTTACTATTGTATTCATATTTATATATTGTAAGTTTGACACATTAAGGAAAATATAATTCAAAAAAAGTAAAAAAGTATCAAAAATTTCGAGGGTAGGGTGGATTAGAAGGAGTTGGGTAGAGAATTCTATCATGTTTAGATATATTCCAACGATTTACTTTATTCTATTTTAAGTTTTTCTTTTAGTTTAGGTGCATGGCCCCTTGTAAACCAGCATTGCTGAAACTTATGCTTAAACAATTGAAAATGAATGAAATGGATGAAATAAAACAACGTTTCCTATACAAAAGTATAGTCAGCTGAAGAGTAGCTTGAATCACTTAAGGTACACAAAGATACTACATTAATTGATATATGTACCCCAAAATTCTTAATGCGGCCCTGGTAAAGACTTCAATACAAAGAGCTAGCAATTTGCTACATATGTTTGTTTCATCAAAACGAAATGATAAGTGTATTAATTGTTCATACCCCTATCAAAGCAGCAATGGCTACACTGTATGAAAGCGAGTCTCGTAATATTGGCCAGCGGGTGAGTTGGGTGACCTGGGAAGAGCAAATAACAATGCTTATCAAAAAATGCAGTGATCATGACCTATGATGATAAATGTCTCTGATCTCTGAAAATGATAAAGATGTTGACGATTATGATTATTATGATGATAACGATTTTTGTTCTAACAACGATCAGATATATACATAGAAACACAATTTTAAACTAAAATCTTTGATTACCTGCCCCGCAAAGAAGCTCACAAGTCCTAGGGCAACGAGAATATTGAAAACGGCCGATCCAACGATTGTTCCTGGGCCAACATCTCCATACCCAATGACAAAAAGACCTGAAAAATGATGGATCTTTTAATAAATATATATGGAAAAACTCTCTGCAGATGAACGTTACTTTCAATAAACAGAAAACCACAGTGTGTTGAGTAAATACCAGCAGCTTGTTTTTAAATCAACATTATTTTTAGGGTTGAAAATTTGATCCATGAAAATTGTATAAAACTAAGTAGTCAATCAACAAATCTCTCAGTATTTCAAATAAAAGATCATATAATTTTCCTGAATGGTGTTTGCTTTTCTAGTTAATGCAAATTCAATGATTTCACATATACAATGGGTAAAAATCCTAAAATAGTGGCCTGATAACCAGACCCCGCTAATCAAATAGCAGCTATAGACAAATCTGATTAAAACACAACAAAAACATCAATGTGGATTGAAAATACTAAACGCATCCGGAAGGGGGGTACAAGCAGACTCTTGTGCTGACTGGAACTAAAACACACTTGGAACAGGACTTCTGTGCTAGAACTGGGATTCTTTTAATGTGTATTGGGAAATAGGATACACAAAAACGAAACTGTGTATGAGATTTCCTAGGGTTTGAGCCACTCTTTCCAAAAAGCTAACGATATCTATTAGTAATTAGAACAACAGGATTATTGTGGAATTTGTACTCTAAAACAAATTGATTTTTGTCAAAGGCCTAGTCATTTTCTTGTGCCCTGGGTCCCGGAGCCCTAGTAAAAGAGATAGTCGAGCCGACCCACTACTCTTTCACTGTGGCTATGGCACCAATGACATTTTTCTTGGAGATTCCATCAATTATCAAAATTTCTAATGAACTTGAGAGACATTGCCCGTGAAAAAGGTTGGAAAATAGAGTTCAGAGTACCTTTAGGAAACTGGGTTAAAATGGATAGCTTCTCACCCTGATTTGTTCCAAATCTTGAATTGCAAGGCAACACCCTTTACACATTATACACACTATAATTTGCAAGATAGCAAGCAAAGATGATTTTTTTCGCCCGACCCTCCTCAAAGTTCAAAACGCCGGGCAATGGTCAATAGGTAAGCAGAAATTTATACCAACTCATTGCTAACAATGAGCCTTTGCGGGGGTGGCAAATTATCCAGGCGACAATCCAAACAATGGCAGCAAACTTCTACGGATTAACCATAATTGATTTCAGACTGTCTGAAAATGCCTTATAGGATGCTTGCGTAGCGCAATAGCTCATTGTTAGCAATGACTCTTTAAGTTACTTGAGAGCAGTGGTGTCGTAGAGGGGAGGCTCAAGATGGCTCAGCCCCCTTTGTCAAAAATCCAAAAAGATTTAGAGGGGGGCTCAGCCTCCCCTTAACAAGTGTGTCCATATTTAGTTGAACAAATTCTGTGTTGGCAACTCTTTTTTTTATAGATTTCTCATGAATGAGTGATTTTTTATCAGTTTGTTTGTGTCATCGAATAATTTGAATGTTTTCTTCACGCAACGGAGATTCTTTAACAAAAATGCAAGGTTTTTGAGTGTGGTAAGGGTGTGGTCATTGGCGAGGCCTTTCAATTTGCCAACAGAACAGCCCCCCTTCCTAACATTTTAGGACGGCAACCCAGCTTGAGAGGAGAATGGCACCTTTGATTGGCTTTTTGTTTATGACCAATCGGCAACTGCATAAAATTTGGATAGTTGAAGAGTCCACGAGAGAAAATGAATACATCCCGTGTACCCAAAAATGCGTTTTTCTTATAACATAGCGTACCAAAGAGATGACGTCATAAAATCTACTTTTAGAATTTCTGAATTTTGATCCCAGAACCTAAAAGATCATCATGAAATACCTCTTAATATGCAAAATCAGTTAAAGGCATCACGAATAAGCTTAGATATGGCCTCATAAGGACAGGCTCTTGCCTCATCAAACCTCTGTAATTTGGTCTTGGTTCATAACTTTAGGAACCAGGCCAGAATAACAGTAATCCGTTAGCAAACTTGAAATCTTTCATTGGCCATATCTCGTCCAGTTTCGAACATTTCTAGCTAAATTTGCACAATGAGAGGTATTTTATGCCGTTCTTTAAGATTATTCGCCAAATTTTATAATTCTAAAAATAGATTTTTGGTGACGTCAAACATCGGTACTCTATAGAAAGCTGCTTGTTCTGCCCATAATTTAATTGTTTTTATCATTCATGCTGGCATGCTTGGAATTCTCGTTTTTAATGCCTGAGTCTTCATGCGCGTTTATTTCGTACTCGTAATAAAAACAATTTCTAAAATGTTATGTGCCTTAACCTCAATTTGTTGCAGTAGTGGTCAGGCAACCATGAACGTATTCTGGATGAGCAAGTCCTTTCCATTTCCGAAAAATCAAAAAATTCAGGAAGATACAACTTACCAATGACGGAGGTGAACAGCTCCGGGGCTGAGCCCCCCACTGCCATAAACGTTGCTCCGGCAACATCTTCACTTAGATTCAAGTTCTAGAAAACCAAATGACAAAAGTCACCCATAGAAATTCATTTATAACCAACAGTTCAAAATTTTTGTTACAAACGAGACAAAACATTAATTCCCTGACAATAATTTTTGGTATTGATAACTCCTGGACAGGCCCCAGAAAATAGCCCCCAGAATGCCCCTCTACGTACACCATGCGTACAGAATACCCTACTCTACAGCAACTGCAAACATTCAAACAGGGACTGGCCAACGAGGGGTGAAATAGCAACCTTTGGTGCCTTTTTTCCAAAAGTCCTGTCTTTTTTGAAGCGTAGAAATTAAGTTTAGAATATGATAATGATTATATGCAATAAAGTAAAATCAAATAGATATGTCAAAATAAACTGATGTAGGGATAGATACCTCGCATATATGATCGAGCGAAGCCACAAAGTAGTCATCACAAACAAATGCCAATGCAATAAACATGTAAACAGACTGTAAATTGAAAAATTAAAGATTGTTTATTCCTTAATACTTAACAGAAAATGTGAAATCATTCAAGCTTTTAATGCTCGTTTAATAACCAAAAAACCATTCCTCTAATAAAATATAATTTTAGCGATGTAAAATCGGAGTTGTAAGATCTTTTGGAGAGCTTCACTTTATCTGTTTAGGACGAAATCTAGGCTCTCTGTGCACTTACAACTGACCCTTATACAATAACCTGTCAAGTTTTACTTTTATTACTTCTATATTGAATTACATAAAGCAATCGACCAAATATTGAAATTTGCGACTTTTAAAATACACTTGTGCAAGTTGGTTTTTTTAAAAGTGCCACAAATCCATCTAGATTTGTTCATAAAACTGGTTGCTTGCATCAAAATATTGAATTAAGCCTTCAACTCCTAGACTCAGTCACCAAGAGACCCCATACCATTGCTGAATATTAGTTATTTGGATTTAAAACAAATAAACAAGCCTCCTATCACCAAAAACTAATTGAAATAGCAGTTATGTTAGCACCTGGAAAGTCCAAAATACACGGTAAGGCGGGTACCCAGTTTTAGCACAGCAATCCCGTTATGACAGCGGAGATAGCTCATGGACCAAGTCATTTATTATGTCTGATTTGAATGTTTGTAATATAATAAAGAGAGAAGATGGTCCATAGTCCGTTTTTTCGTTGAGAAAAGCTCTGTTGTCCCAAAATGACTATAATTGACAAGACTAGGCCTATACAGGGCGAATGAACAATTACACTTATATTTCTATAGTATTTTAGAATGAGTTCTAGCTGCTTTTCCTTCTGGCAACAGAGCCTGCTCCTTCTATTATTGTGAGGAACGGTCTATTAACAATGTACGAGGATCGAGGGATTTAAGTTAGGATATCTTAGTTCTTAATTTTATTTTGATGTTTGCTATAATAGTTATTTCTGGATCCGATCTTAATTTTGCAAATACTATTGGTTATTGAGAAATTAGAATATAGAAAGGGTATGGCGAATAACCTTAAGGTGCACATGGAAAACCTTATCAAAAAGCATTTCCGTGTTTTATTAATCAGAATATTGAATACTGCTTTGGTAAGCACAAAAAGGGTTATATACAATCAGAATGTTATCGTTTTGTTTAGGTAAACTGGGAAATAGCGTTTGTTTGTGCTGCACCGGGAGCTGCAGTTTAGGTAAATGGGAAAATCATTTGAAGCATGGGAGTTGCATTTTGGTACTGTACAGTACTACTCAGAATCAGTTTAGCAAAGCCTCCTGGATGAAGTCTTGCTTAAAAATGGCTGGGAGATGGGATAAAGACCCTCCTCCCCTTCAGGATCTTCGGCCAATGAATGAATATGTTCTACGTATATATTGAAGTCAATCCATATCTATCTACATTCAAATCAATGTAAATAAACCAAATTAAACTGTAAACATACAACTAGAATGTGAACTATGACCGCTCCTTTCCTTCGCTGTGAGTTTGAAAAAAAATCTTTAGGAAATTCTTGGATACCTGTGAAAAAGGGCTTGTGGTTATATTTTTGAAAAATAATAGAATTAGGAGTAGGCTATTGAAGTATGAATGATGAAATCATTTCAATAAAAAATGTAAATTTTCAAGCTTCATTGCGATAATTTTGACACAAAGAACCGAAATGGACTTCGATTGAGGACTGTCCATAATAAACACAGGGGACCAGCAACAATGTATTTTCCTCGTTCAGTAGCAACCCCCAGTATGATTGTCCCGAGGCTCTTTACAAAAAGAGAATATTAAGAGTTTCCTTTTCATTTTCTTTCGGGTTTCTCTGTGCAATACCAGAAAATTACCAAGAAAAAGATAAGAAATGTTTCGATTCATTTTTGAAAAAAATTTTAGATTTGATAAAATTCTTCCCTTAGGGGAAAGACTGGTTATTAAAAATTCCAAAGGAAATTCATTAGTTCATGTTTCCTGCTACATTTGGCAAACCAGTTAGCTATAATTTTTTCTGTTGCACGTTTTTGAACCTCGTTTTAATCCACACCTCCTCCACTACAACTCGTAGAGCACGTTGGGGTATAAATGGCCTAACTGAATCAAGGCAATCAGCGCTTACTAGGTGGGCTACATTCAGCAAAACTATCATTTGAATCAGCTCTCTTGGAAGAATTCGCCTTTGTAAAATTGTCAGCTAACTCTGATGACACCCAGACTGATCTCTTTTGCACAGCATGACCAGGTCCATCTGGATCCACTAAAAAATATATGATATCTTAATCACTGAAAACCTTAAGAAGCTATTTTCTCTTTGATACATAGGTTTAAAAAAGAAGAGAAAGTAACTTCATTGCATTGCGAGCTGATTTCAGTTGATTGTAAAGACCAGTTCTATATCAAACTTAAAAGCAATCGCATCATTAATTTAAGAAGTTTGTGAAAAATCTTGCCAACTGTTTTCAGAGTTGTCCGGATGCAAGTAGGCACACGTCCAAGATTCAAGATTCCTGTCGTCCACAGTTACGCAGTCAATTTTTTGCGTGCAGAGCTGAGCATGACGCGTTGATACTGAGTATCATTTTATCTGTTATCGAGTTTATGAATTCATCATCCCTATGGAATTCATGCTCTACCAGCAATTTAAACACAAAGGCTTAACATCATCGGCTTGTAAGGAATCACAAAACAATTTATTTGCACTTCCAGCACTCATCGAGCCATAATTTCCGTTTCAACGCCACATTCAGGAGAACGTCCAGATTTTTGTGAAGAAAGCAGCGGCTTCTATCTCTGAACACCCTTGTGTAACAAGCCGTCTTTGGGGGAAGGGAAGGGGGGTTCTTCCGTAGTAAAGTAACCTAGGGATGAGTCGTGGGGATAGGCACTTTTTCGGAATTCTGATCTAGTCAAGGGTATCCGTTGTTGCAATTTTGGTCCTAGCCAAGGGCATCGTAATTATTGGACAATATTGGTCTAGAAAGCAGCCTTTGAAAGTAGACATTTCATCCTGTCAACACGGGATCAGAACACGAACAGAGGCATCAAGCCCAATCACAAAAAATGCCAAAACGTTAAATAAACATGGTGCCTACCGCCTACCGCCACAACTACATGCTATCACCATTAAAGTTAAATTTTGCATTGCATGACATTTTAGTAGCAGGATTGGTTTGCAAATAAGACCTGCTCTGTTTTATTAACACGAGAGGAAGTTTACAAAAATAAATTGCTTTTTCTTCTAACTGAAGCTTGGCATAAATTTAATTTGAACAATGAAGACCAAATAAATAAAATACCTCTTTTTCATAAGAACCAGTAAATCAATTTGTTCCTAAATTAATAGGGTATAAGCAGTGTGACTGTTAGCTTTTTCGCTTTAGGGAGGTATTCAGGCTTCATTTGCCAACAAAATGAGAGAGACGAATTAGTTTGCTGCCAAGTCTGAACATTCATCGAAAAGAACCCACAGATTTCTAAAAATCCTCTTTTTGAGATAAAACGTTGTTCAAAATTGCATTTTACAGTAACTCAGCCTCAGCTTGTTCGTAATCTGATCTTAACTTTTGAACAATTTTAAGTCTCATGTTCTTATAAATTGATGTTTTAAAAAAGAATGTAGTGTTTACAAGATATTTCCTGCATGGTATATGATTTCGGGGGCCACACCACATTTCGTTGTGTGGCGCAAGGTAGACACACCGTGCATGAAGATCTTCGTTTCGCTGATTAACAAAGACTTTCGTACCATCAGCGTGAAAAGCGAACCATTACCAGTACCGTAAATCCTCGAATTGGTCCCCCTCGAAAAAGGCCACCCCTCGAATAAGCCCCCACCCTAGAACTACAAATTTCCAATAAGTCTCCCCCCCCCTCGTATAAGCCCCCACTGCTACCATGTATTCTCGAATTGGACCCCTCAATTTGACGGCTTTTGCCACTACCACGACAAATTCGTACTTCTGGTAGTAATGAATTAAATACTCATAAAGAAATTTCTACTAAAATAAACAAGGTCTTTTAATAATGTCTTCTTTTTGTCTACAATAATTCTATAAGCCCCCCCCCCTCGAATAAGCCCCCATCCAAAAATATCAAAAATAAATAAGCCCCCAGGGGGCTAATTCGAGGATTTACAGTAATTAGAGATTACCCAAATCATTTGGGGGTCCTTCTTGGCAAGGGTTGGACATTATTTAAATAGGAAAATTGACTTTCGGCGATGCTGCGGCTCATAATCTTTCCCTTTTACTTATTAGATATTTTGATGCGGATTTTGTGCATAATTTCTTTGAAACGTTCAAGAAGGTGCACTTTTCGGAAATCCTATCGAATCTAACCGCCGATCATCTAAAAATATAAATCTCAACTTACATCTCGTTCTCTCCTGCAATAAGTTGAAGCTTTGAGAAAGAAGTAGAATCCCGCAGAGACCAGAAACGATCAAGAGAGTTTTGTTGAAGATGGAGAATTTCTTTCCGAACTTCAAACGTTTGTAGCGTAAAGAGGTCACTGGACTGCCGTTTTCCATTTCCATTTGGACGTCCAAGAGCACTAAAGTGATTAGAATGCAAATGCAGAACGCACAACAGGGAAGGATATCTAAGGCCAACGTGAGCAGTCACACTCATCAGGGGGTAACTGACAACAAAGACGAGAAACATGCTATTAACCGGACTGGTGGACCTGTGGAATTTTGATATCAGTGTTACATATTAAAGGTAATTTGGAGAAGTTAACGGCGCGTCTTTAGGTTTCAGTAACGAAAAAGAGAATAAAGGCGTTGAAGCATCAAATTCGACTAACGTCTAAAATATCGATACTCCATTGGTGTCAATTTTTTTATCTGGGATAAAATATGGGATTTTTATCTGTTAATTCATAGTGAGTGCTGACCATAGCAATAGTACTTTTATGGTGCTGACATTTAGTCAAACCAATTTACATTTGGTCAAACCAATCTCTGGCCCGTTAGATGAATAAAAAGAACATTACATTTTGACGTCCATAGCAAATCAGTAGTCTCGAGCTAAAATAAGACACACCGATAGTCTTGATAGTCTGCAGTCACTTTGTGTGCCTGCATGTGACATGATTTAGTCATGAATGAGTTAATTTAAGCTAATCTTATCTTGTTAGGAACGGCTACAAACAATGGATTAAAAGGATTCCTTTGGGTACTAGGGTTACCTTATGAGATAAAAACACTCTTGTTGCGTTTACCATTGTTGATATTTCTTTGAAAATTAATACTTCATGTTATCTTTTAAGAGCCTGTCTACACGAGAGCGGATCCGAACCGGGTCGGATCCAAAAGAATACGGATAGGCCTTGCGTTTACACGGGAACTGATGGATCCGTATACTTTTGGATCCGCTATCCGAACACTTTTGGGATCGCTTTCAGAGGTGAACCCGTATGGATCCGATCTGGACCGGATCCCGCGTAAACGGGTACTTTAAAAAAACACGTAGAGGGTCTCTTGCAAATAAGTTCGTGGAACGATGGTTTGCCCTCCTTAAAAAATTTGGACATTAACAATAAATCGGAATAAATTCTGCACGATGACAAAAAAGGAGGTAGCTTCGCACAATGGAGTAGAAAGCTTCCAAAAAAATGGAAATGTGGACATTATATAGTTAATACATTACATGACCTATATTACACGGGGCACTAATTATAACAGGATCTTACGACAGCTGTCCTTAATTTGGCTGGACTTTTCGCTTTAAACACAAGCTCTAAGTTTAAGGTCAGTTGAGGGCTTTAGATCTTGTAATTGAAACGCTTTCCTCCATACAAACTGCATCTCCCTGGCATTTTAGCACAACTGCAATCCTTTGAAAATGGGTACTGTACTTACAATAACAAGTGCTTTCTGGGGCCTGGGGCGAGAAGAAAGATATGGCCCGTGATGATGACATCATAAACTGTAAGTTCTTGTTATTGTAAAGAACTTTGCTATAAAATTTTGGGACCCCTTTCACCTCAAGGCCTGGGGCAATCTCCCACTGCCCCCCCCCTCGGTGGGCCTGCTTGCCGTACAATCACTATTGCTTTCGATGGATTGAGAATGGTTCGATGAATTTCAAGGCAGACATCTATCTATATCTTAAGTTAACAAAAAGCATACATACATCATATTCAGTCACTAATTATTACAAAAACTGCAGTTATGTACAGTTTAGAATTTAGAATCCTACAACGTTATCAAAAGTTACAGAAAAAGCTTTGGAAACAAAAAGATTCTCCCTTTCTTGCCAGGGAAAAGTTAAAACATAGCCGTTGAATAGGTTCAACGTTATCAAAAGTTACAGAAGATTTAAAAACTTAAAGACGCTCTCTTCCTTGTTAGGGAAAAGTTAATTAACGTTTAATAAGTGTTTCGATTTACAACGATTTTAATAATTACTCGCGATCTTATTTAGAGTGTATGATTAAATGGAAAAGGACAGATTAAAAAATCATACCCCACTTCTATAATAGTAGTCTTATCAAATACCCCTTACCGCTTGTATTTTCACGCAAATAATTACTAGATTTTCAGTAACGTTCACACTGTAGGAAAATGAAATCATGTATGTATGGAGTTGCTGAGGGTAGGTATAAACTTTTAAGGTGGTAGGTGGGGATGTCATGTTGTACGTGGCAGTACTGGTCCCCCCGGATATCATAAACGCTGTAAAAACATCACCGGGAAATGGACGACCAAGCAGCAAAAGAAACAGTGTGCTCACTAAACCCATAGAATCAATCATAAGGTGTCATTTGCGGATGAAAGGCAGGATGATGATCATAGAAATCATTTCGTGTTTCTCTTAAGATAAACTATAAATTAACTGAATATATTCTTAACATAAATGAATCGAATCAAGATCAGGCATCCTTTAAACTGACCAAACTTTCCACTGGGTATTAAATCTGCATCAGCTTATACGCATGGACTGCATATAAGATATATCTTTATCTGTATGAAATTCAAGCTAGGGGCTTGGTACCAGCAATCAGATTCAACGAAAACAACGAAAACAAAATAACAACATGTCGATGAATCGGGGCTTAATTCAGCAAGATTGTGAAGATTTGCGATATGATTTCGAATTAGATGCATGACAAATTAGAACCACTTGCCTGTTTTGAATGAAAGCTTGATATACCTTGATAAAATACCTTGATAAAATGCTTAAGCTGCAATTTCGGAACAGTAAAAAGACATTAGATAATGCATATGCCTTGTCATTTTTTGTTCAGCCCAAGAATAAACTAAAAGTGTAGAGTGTGTAAGTCTCTGCGTTAATATACCAACGAGCAAACGGGAAGGTTTACGAATCCAAAAATGTTAAATTCTATCAGGCATGAAATAGTTACGAATATTAAGTACAATAGTGTGAAAATCACACCGGTTTTTCTGTCCAGTCTCCATTTATTCACATGGATCGTTAGTACCTGCAATTTGAAGAAAATGATTAGCCAAAGGCCTGCTTTGAACGAGGCTAAAAAGACATGGCTAAAAATTCAGATGTATCGTCATTATATGTTCAGAAATGGTCACTCTCATTGAAAACAATGCGCGGATGAGAAAGGCAATTCTGAACACAAAATTATCTACACATTCAAAATCACTTTATTAAGATGTAAATAAATTAGACTGATTCACATACCGTCAACAAGACTGAGCCGAGTAAAAGAATAACCGAATACTTCAATCCGCGGCTGTTGACGCTAACCTACAATTGGCAGAGGTAGCTAAGTCAATAAAAGACACTTATAAAAAAGGTTGGGTTGCATCTTTCGGACGTTTAAATGAATTGCTTGAACCTATTCCATGTTGTAGCACATCTGAAACAAGAACTAAAATATTCTTGTTGCTTCTTGGTAGCTACACAAACAGGGCACATAAATGACAGTGCGTTCAAAAAGTATTAGGACACCTTCGAAATTTCGAAGACTACTTTGGAAGAATCCTTTCTCATTAAATACAAACGACAAATTTTAAGCAACTTATAACTTAAGCATTTTTAAGGATATTTATACCAAGATAACATATTTGACTGCGAATATTTGACAACTTTCCGTTACATAACCTACTCGAATGCAATGCCATAATACTTTTATCGAAGTCTCCCTATATCTTTTCGAGCGTAAACGTAAGCGTAAACGTAAGCGTAAACGTAAGCGTAGAATAAAAATTAATTGTGATGCAACAACAAAGTGTTATACAAAACAAACTAGTAGCAATTGCAGGTAAAACAGCATATGTCTCAAGGTCACAATCAAAGAGAAAGTTGTTGGCTTTTATTAGATATGCTTGTAAATATTTTATCTTATACATGTATAACTATTTTATACCTTTTTTATGCCAACATTGTAAATAAAGAGTTAATAAAAAATAATGATTAATAATGATAACAATAATAATAATAACAATAACAATAATAATAATAATAGAAGAAATGGTGAATTCACGACTAAAGGTGGATTTACATGAGTAAAAATTTTCGATCAATTTTTCTCTAGCAAAAATCTGTTGATTAAGGCCCCGTTTATCAATAAACAAAAAAAGAACGGAACTCTTTGGTTCCGCGCGTGAAAAAGCGATGACAGGCCTTGCGTTTACACTAGGAATTTTAAAGGCATTGAGTCATGATAAAATGGATTGGGTATACCCTAAGTGCCAAAATCAGCTGAGTCATGGTTTTCATGACTGCGATGCTATTGGATGACCTGGAACTGGTCACATGAACTCACCTTGTACTGATTGACAAAACAATTTCAATCAATCGCAAGTTGTCAACAACGGATGCAAGTATCACATGAAGCAGCAGCGATCACGTCGGAACCAAATGGCCCCCTATAGAGAAGGTCTATTTACCATGACTCAATGCCTTTAACTCCATGCTAGTTTGGGAACGGTTCCGTTCTTCCTTGGTTGCACTAAAATGCGAAACTCTTCGGTTCCGTTCCCAAACCTTGCTTGTTTTTCTAGTGTAAACGGTCAGGAACGGAACTTTTTGGTTACTATTGTAAACTGGGCTTAATCTAGGGCTGAGGAGAGGCCTTCTGAAAATGCCAGACGTTAATGCCGCGTTGCCGCGCCACTACGCACGCATCACCCGAAAGTTCCGTTCTTTTGTTCCTTTTTGCTTTAGTGTAAACGCGATGAAAAAAGTGGCATCCTGCTCAAACAAGAACGGAACCAAGAGTCCCGTTCCTTTTTTCTGTAGTTAAGATTCCATGGAAGGAGTAGGGTTGAGTTCTACATTTTCGCTGCAAATTTTTCGCTTGTTAGCTTTTAGCCTATCAAAGTGTAATATTTATAATTATTGTTGAAATAATCTTTGACAGAACGAATGATTGCTAGGCCATTGGTGAGAAAACTTGCAAAGAAAGATTCGATTCACAGAATAAGCCTCGTGTAAATCCATCTTAAAGATGACGGTCGTTGAGCACAAAGCAAATTCAAGTTTAGGCGCATTATTCACTCATTTCCAAAGTTTAGCCTTTTGGCCGAAGGACTTAATTTGACACAAGACCAAATTTTGGGCGATTTAGTGACAGATTTGATAAAAAAAGTCAAGCAACATTTGCGCCGATCCCGCTGCTGTAAACAACCGCTTTTATCCTTCTTATACACACAAAAATAAAAAAAGGCTGTTTGAAGTGTGTTTCGCATCATCATGAGTAAAAAAGAATGTCAATTTATAATCCTGCTTATGAATGGTGTGTGAGCGAGAACATAACATAGTCACGAATTCACCATGGTACCTTGCAGCACTGGAAAACTTTAATTTGCTTCACACTGGGTATCTGTGAAGGTATATTAATAAAGTACAGCATTAAGAGGTAAGGATTACCTCTGACCCTGGAGAAATGATTGCAGTATGGATGAACCACGGAAAGGCAAGGCCAATCAGGATATCAAACACATTGCTACCAATTGAGTTACTGACGGCCATGTCGCCCAACCCTATCAAAGAGAAAAAGAAAAACAAGTTGAGGCTGGCAATTCTATTCGAAAGTTAGTTAACACAACTAAATCTCTCTCTGTTTTGCATCATATTTCAATCCATGCGGACGTTGAAATAGGGAAAGCTGTAAAGTTCACACGAGTTTAATTGTCTTACTTTAGATGCTGCAAAGACTTACAGGTTGCTAACTAGTAAAAAGACCACAAATAATCCTGTCCAATTGTTTCAATACAATCAAGACTACTTTTGTTTTAAAATACTATAAAATAACTATGAAAAGTTGTCTGATGATAGCCCTCGGCGTTAAAGTTGGGTTACAACCTAGAACGGCCCAACTTAACTCTGCCTCTATGGCATGGAGCACTATAACAGACCAAATAAAAGTAATCAGCATTAATTTTAGCTTTGGCTCTGCTAGAAATTTAAGGCCAAGAAATGAAGGACTGTATCGTATATAAACGGTACCATAGTATATTTATTCTCATCTAAATACTATATTGCATACATCTTCCCGCCGTATTTATGAATAATATTTTCAGTCGTATTCTTGTGATATCCGTCTTGTTTTATATCGTCAAACAAATACTTAGATGAAGATAAATGTGTGGAATAACGTTGAATAACAGTTAAAGACAAAAGAACGAAAGAAAAATGAAGAAGAAGGGCCATCAAGAAGAGTATGATTAAGTAAGTAGAACTATAATTTGTGAGTAACCAGATGAAGATTTATGCTCGAAACGCAGTAAAAGATTGTAAGTGTTCCTGTTTGTCAAGAAGATCAATGCCGGAATCTTCCACTATCAATGGTTCTTGCTAATTCACGGATTTCAAACGATTTCTTCGCTACACCACGTTTGGTTAAAAATACTTGCATCAATAGGTATTAGTCCCAATTTGTGGCAGCATTGATTTTGATAACTTGGTTTTGAAATGTAAAATTAAATGACGTAAAACATAAAATTAGTAACATACATTGCTTAAAAGAGTATGATTAGACCTGTAGGGAAAACGTAAAAAGCAATGAATACAAAAAGGAGTCCTGTGGAACAAGTTGTTCAAATGCAAGAAATTTAGAGTTTGTCTTTCTACGATTTGATTAAATGATATTTTCAAAGCTCACAAATAATCACTTCAGCTTGTATAAGCTGATTTTCAATTTATATTGTAGCTCTCATTTTTTCAATATATGAAAGTTAAAGAAAAGAGCTATGAATTCATATCCTATAAATGAAACTCCAGTTAATAAGTGAGATTTTTAGCGTCTTCAGAGCTTTACAAGCTTGCATAAAAAGCAATGCAAACAAAGCGAAGAAAATTCCGAGAAGCAAAGAAAAGCAACAACTAACCCTGTCTTGAAACGATGAGACTTGCAATCGCATCAGGGATGCTTGTGCCAGCGGCAAGAAAGGTGATTCCCATGATTACGTCAGGGATGCCAAGCACAAAACCAACAACAGTTACCTGCAGATGTCACAATAATTAATGTTATATGACAATCAATTTTGTTCCATGAGATAATGAGTTTGGCGTGCAAGCAATCCGCCATTTCACAGAATATCTTTGATGCCCATGTGCATATCATCTACTTACAAATCTATATTCATACAAATATATTAACAGTTTCTTATTAGTTTTATGAATTCAACATAGAGACACCAGTTCTACTAACAGCTGAACCATTCACGAAGGACTGTTAAACTAGGTATCCCTTTCAATCCTTGAATCGTTGGAGGCCCAGCAAAAAATTTTTAGGCAATAGAAGGTCATTTGAAGTGATAGTTACTGAGGCAGGAACGGGTATCTGAAATTCTAAAGACGAAATTTGGTAGACAGGAGAACTGCATGTTCTTACAACCAAGCCACATTGCAATTTGAAATATACCTACTACATAATCACTGATTATTTCTTTTTTCGCAATTTAGCACAAGGGAGGAATTTTATCGAGACCCTGTGACCCCGGAGCGAATAATGACTTTTCTGAAAAAGAATGTAAACAGCAGAGACAGGCGCTCGAGAAACAATCTTACCGGGGGGTTTGCAATAAGAAAAACAATAAAAACTTTATATTTAGCTTGAACAACTTGTTTAATTCCTTGGATTAACAACTGTAAACATACAGGCATGTGTAAAGTCTGATTGCTATTTACAGAAAATGTTTGCTTTGATGATTGCAACCAGCAAACTAAACATGTGGTGTTAACAGAAAATAATAATCCCAACAATAGCAAAAGATTTCTTCGCTCAATATAAATGTTTTTCTAAGAAACTGTTCATGCGATACTTTACCAGTCATTTCCAAAATAAACTTCGTTAAAAAAATTAAAAAAGGACTAGAACTTAAGAAACTACCTCACTTAAAAAATTTAAAAAAATAAATTTTACATCAACATGTTGCGCTGAGATGAATTAAAAAAAATCTAAGAAACTTTTTACTACAGAGATTGTGCAGAAGCCTAACGAACCCAAGCAAAAGCTATAGAAATGAGTTTTATTTACATACAACGTTTCTGCCTAATTGGAGACATGCAAAGAAACAAGTTCTAAACATGTATAATGAGAGACTTTTTTCAAACTAACAAATAAACGATAAAAACTAAAAAGTGATAAAATAAACACTTGGAGTTGTATTAATCGACTAAGGCAATACTAGCTTTGGAGGGAAAATGTGCCAACTTTGGTCAAAGGCAGTCACCTATTTGACACAGATCACCTATTTTGCTGGTGTGCATACTTTGAAAACGCTTAAAATACTTGACGTAGCAGTTATGTGCTTTTTTCAAGTTAATAAACATTTTAAAAAATCAGAAAACTTACCATCCAAACCATGATATAGGAAAAGACAGCTATCCATACAATCGACATGAAAAAAGTTGCAAGATAAAACCGCTCCCACCTGTAGAGGAGCAAAAAGCTTTATGAAAAATCATAATAAAAAAGATGTCAAAGTAAAAGCGGAAGAAACAACATGAATAAATGAAACTACTCTTTTGTCGGTTTACCATGAAAATATCTTTATATGCTTTTAAAAGGTATTTTGGTTAGTAAATACAGACGAATGGAGAAAAAGATAAAACGGAGGCTGATAAAATAATGTGATATACCATGTTGAAGCACAATATAATGGAATAAATGTAAAACGATACAACGAAGTTAGCATGCTATGATAATATACATTGAAATATGTTATATTCAATGAAACTTTATCAGAAAGATGCTAGTATAAAATTGCAGAAGATATATAAATATAAATAGATCGTACTTTTCTTTCTTGCAATCTGGAATGGTGTAATACAACAATATGATGATTGGTCTGGAAAACAGCCAAAATGCCAAGCCAAAAACAGATCGATCTGAAAATAAAACGTTCAATTCTTTAATTCCTACATTTGATTGGCATTAAGAAAGAGTCTGCTAAAAAATTTTTAAGTATTTTTTAAGTAAGCTATGCATTCGAAAAGAATTCCGATCGTTATTCTACAGTTGCAGTATATAATTCTAGAGCCACTTGTAGAAAATATAATTGTTACGATAGAAATACCATATTTGCTGGAATGAAGGAATCAATTTCAAACCGACAAGAAGAAGAACACTAAATAAACAAAACCTGTCTTTGAACCCTACCTAATTATAAGGAAGGAAAATTTATCACTGCACATTTGGACAAAAATGGCTGCATTTTGGGTAGGGTCCCAAAGATACCTTTTCTGACCCCACCCTTTAACTTTGCTTTTAATACGAGCTTCAGAATTTTGCCACAAAGATACTAGAGGAGCCAGCAATTCATCAATGACTTTTATCGAAATCGTAACTGATATATATCAACTGGTGCTGTTTATAACAGCTTCAATTAATAAAAACAATAAATTAATAGTTGAAGTTTAAAATTTTCTGCTGTTATATCTTTGATTTTTCTATTTCTCTAATCAGTTTTATTGTCTTCTTCAGTAGGAAATTAAATTCGAAACTACTCTTTTTTTTGCAGAATGCCATGGAAAGTCCGGCTAACATTTATACAATTGAAATTGAACATATAGTTTTGCAAGCAGTTTTGATTTCATCATCTATTTTGTAGGCATTCTTTTACAAAGTTTGATTTACACAATTCCCTTAAAAGGTAATTCATTATTTTTTAAGCCTCCTAGACCTTGAAGCCCTGGGGCGATTTGCCCCTCTATACCCTGGGCCTTGGCTACAAAATTTCTTTTCATCGTCCAAAAAATGTTTAAGCTTGTAATAGCGTAGAATTTTTCTACAATGACTATAAATACTAGATTTATCGCTCAACACTGCCCCTGTTTATCACTGCAAAAAACCACTTTGCAACTGCACAAATTGGTTGTCACTGCACCTTAAAATCGGGTATGCTTTAAAGAATGGAAATGGTCTGTCTACAGATTTTGCCTTGTCAACGAAAAAATTTCAAGTAAAGGAATGAAACCGTGGCTCTGTTTTAAGAACTGCACAAACCTTGATCCATAAAAGGGCCTCCTTCTATTTGCACATCAATGCTTCCCATCTCATGTCTGTGACAAAATTGTTATATTATATAATATGAGGACATTCTGAATTTTCTGAAATTAACTCCGAACGCATAAAGCAAATTAATCATGTCCTTAGTAAATCATTCTTAATTCCCTAACTTCGAATCTAACTACCAGATAGTCTTTCTTAGTAATCGATTTGCTTCAAAAATAATAAAGTGAACATTGCGAAGCATGAAATCTTTGTTTCATGAAGGTACAGATGACATGCTGTGACATAAATTACAAATGCTCTGAAAGTTGAAACCTTAAAGGGCAGTTTCCTGCACAGAATTCTAAAGAAAATTCATTCACTTTTTACTTACATACTGTACTTTATTTCAATGCGAAAGAACGATAAAAAACAAATTTGGAAGCTCTCTTCGGGAAAACCTGCAGTACGTCCTTCTTTTCCTAATTTGGCTGAGAGGCATCCATGACGAGGATATATATTGATGAAGAGCGGAGATCTATCAAAGAACTAGCAGAGGTGAATTAAATGAAAGATTATTGGAACAAGTACTATAACAAAACATACTCTTTCGCCGTTTTCTTCGAGTTGTTTTCAGTTTCACTCTCCCCGCCACTATCCAGCAACCCTTTGTGCTCATTCTCCTTCAGAAAAAAAAATCTTTTTTGCCTTTTTTGCAACTCTTTGGACTTTTATTCAAAACTGGTGTTAAGTAATTTCATTTATTTGATAATTGATAACTAACCGTTAATACTCAGCAATACCATTTTTTGTAATGGCAATTGAAAATAATTTATTGTTAAAATTTGAAAAGGAATCAGTATAGAATACAGCACGACATCTGAAAAATCAATATCTAACTATGTTGTTATAATTAGGAAGAAGAAATGAAAACAAATGTGAAAACCCCGAGGCAATGTATGGAATTGCCCCCCCCCTAACCCCGAGGCAATGTATAGAATAACCCCCCCCCCCCCTAACATGGCTTCAAACCCTACTCATGTTTTTTAAACAGAACTTTAAATACATTTTTTCCTACGAATATTTTTAAACTATATACAAAACTTTTTTTTCAAATTTCAAATGTATCTTGTGACAATAAGGAGATCTTAGACATCACTAACATTAACCCACCTGGCGAAGGGTGATCATGTAGCAGGCAGCCCTGAACCTTGTGGCAGGAGGAAATTGACTGCTCAACATAATCATCATACCAACTTCACGCCATGTCAACCTTCGTAATCTAAGCGAAAACAAAACAAAATCTAATGATGGTAGACGCCTATCAAACGAAAATTAAAGCAATTAGGCTAAAAATTCTATTTAAGCAAAATTTACTGTGAGAATTTAGGATTCTCGGGACCAGAGAGTAAAGGATGAACACAGTGAAGTAAGGAAATACTGTGGAATTTTCAACTAACTTGGAGACTGATTACAATTGGAAAAAACTAATAAATGTTGTCTGTTGACATTTCGAGATTGGAAAACGATTTGGTAATCCCTTCCTACATGTGCAAAGAGTAAACTTTCCCTACTAAAAGTTATTTGAAGGATACCGGCATTAAGAATTTTTTTTCTTGTCAATACCACGGTCAACATGGCATTCAAACCATTTTTCTAACTTCAATTTCTCACGATATTCGAAACTTAAGTTGAAATTTGCAATTTTTATACCAAATTCACTTGAGACAATATAATTGGAGTAGAGGGGGTATAATAGAAAAGACTCGAAGATTTCTTCAACAAACCTTTTTGCCACAAGTTCATAACTTTCCGGGCTTCCACAACGATCTAAAAAAAATTGTTAAAAAAATTTCAATTTTAGCTGATAAAGAGCTAAAATGCAATATACAGTAGCGGCGCCCGGGGAGGACTAGGGGGACGTGTGTTTGGAGGGGGGCAATATTTTGACAACGTACTTTTTGTGATCTAATGCTTTGATCTAACGCTGCTTTTAAGTAACCAAAAGTTAGTCGTGGGTCTTCTTTCAAGGTAAAATTGGCCTTCCATGTTGGTAAATAGACGTTTTCTGGTGTAAAAAAGGTGTGGCCTAAATGTTTTTGTTTTGTCCCCCCTCCCCAGAACCTTGTGATTGGCGCCGTTATTGCAATGTGCATCTAATGAAGCCAATTTGAATTTCAATACAAACATGTTTGTAGGAGGTAGAGAAAGATTAGAAAGCCTATATTGAGAATACACCTGTTTGTAGAGCATGTGAGACTGTCTGTTGTGCTGAATGGCATGGCATTAAACTAACTGGTTAGACATGATAGGAATGCAATTAAATTAACTGGTTTCATGCATCACGTGCAGCACGCGAATCTAGGTTTGAAAACTTAGGCTGGTCATAGGAAAATGCTTCAGGAAACTAAGGAGGCCGATTGTAATCACTGCAAAGACACGCTCGCTTTAAAAAAAGTAGGCGGCAAGGATGTAAAAATGTTCAGGTGAGCGAACCAGAAGTAGATGAAAAGTGGCTTTAGAAAAATAATTTTAACGGATTAGGTGAATGAAAAAAGCTATATAAGCCATCAGAAAAGCTGCCAGTTAAGTCCAATTTAAATATCTTTGGCACAATGGCGATACATCCATCGATGTAGACAGACTTATTTGCTCACAAGTGACATTGTTTTGATCTGTTAGACTACGTGACTTGCTACTGGTCATCAGAAGACATTAGAAATTAGTGAAATCAGTGTAAAATATCCCTACATTTTAAAAATTGTAAGAAAATGGGTCAAGTGGAAAAAGGAATAATTGTCCAAGAAAGCTTGCCTGGACAACCCCTTAAACCTCTAGGAAACCTTCCTCGAGAATGAAAATGAAAGTGAGGCGAATTCTGCCCACTTTATTTGCTTTCATTCAAATGGGCTTCGACGGTTTTTTGATCGTATGACTCCATGAACCATTTGGCTCTGCAATCAAATCACCTAGAATTGGTGCAAAAACATTTTGCTAACAAAAAACAGGTCTTACAGATAGCCGCTTCATCTTCCCCTGGAGTGCCCTCTCTCTGCTGATCAAGAGCCTGGTTCCCTTCTTCAATTTCTTCTTCAGGAGACCTGACTTTGAAAAGCTTCATAAGTTTTTTGTTGAACCTGTCAAAATGAAAGAAAAATTAGCTTCCTGGTGTGATACTATTCAATATCATTCCAAATCAACAGAAACTTCTTTGGCATTAGGGATATTTGCAATCTAGTTGGTTAACTGACATACGAAAAGAAGGAAGTGTATATAACAAAGGCAAGTTGCTATAAAAACTAAAACAGGGACTTCTATGGAGATATTATCATTATGTCTGGATATACTTTTACTCACTTCATCACAGCTAAATAGCCTGCGTATAACAGCAACATGATTAAGCTCTCATACCTTCAAGAGAAATAGACTTAGTTAAGCAGATATGAAATTTAAACGCCAGACAAAGAAAACTGTTTGAGCATTAAATCAATAAGTAGGTTTATGAGACCTCTGAACGATTGAGAGATTCTGGGAAGATTGGCCTAGTATAAATCCCTTAGAGTTCGTTTGATTGTTACAGGGTGAACTTTAATAGACCATAGGCCAAAACTTATCAAGGCCATTTACGATATCATTGGCTTCTTTAGATCGATTACAGACGCAAACATTTTTTGTCAGACTTATAAAGACGGTATAATAGTTAGCATCCTACAGACTTTATCACTGGTACTGCGTAGAAGGGGGTAGTTGAACCCTTGAACTTGATTGGTAACATTTTCAGTAGGCAAGCAGCACTGACTGGACAAACTGTACAGTCAAGTGCTCGCATTTCTGATTGGCCTATCTCGACCCATAACCGGGTCTACATTTTTCTTATCATAGAATTTTGACCTGTGTTCTGACGTCTTATACATCAAAGAGTGTCAGACGAAAAGCTTTCATGTGGTTCAAATATTTGCTTTTTAAAAGCCATTTGTTACTTTTGTACCACCAAAATTTGTCCAAAAATTACTTGCATCATTCGATAAAATTTTAAACGGTAGATGACGAACCTGAACTATTGCTTCAATTATTCGTGGCATTAGAACATTTTATTCAGAATCAATGAAAACCAGAGCAAATTTAGAAAACATAATCAAATAGCAAAGTTTCCTGATGACTAAATCTAAATGACAATTTGATGTTGCACTGATATATTTTTCAACAAACCCACCAAGTAATCTGACCATTGTTCATCACCTAGAAAGCAATCAGCTCCCTTCACTATCTAAGAACAACAGCACATCAAATTTGCCTCGTAAACTACTTTGACGATCATGCTCTAAACGGGCTGATTTTTTAGGCATAATATAGCAACTGTTCACTGGCAACGACAACAAATTAGCAATTTTTACAGGAAACAAGAATTTTTAAAAATAGCTTTTACAGTAGGAAAACTACATCACCAAATGTTAATGCCACAAGTGCAAAACATCACTAGGCCTATACGTTTATGTGGTAGACAGAATTCCCTATACTAGGGTTCCAGCAAACTGTCTATAGGCCCAAACTAAGGGTCTTTAAGTCCTTCCTTAAGAATTTATAACTATGCTGCGTACAGCAGAATGAAATCAAGTAACAAAACTAAATGAATTCCATGGGCACCATAAAAAGCTTTATAATTAAAACTGAAATTGCTAGGAATCATTACAGTTCATATTTTAAGATAGTCTTGAGTCTGATATGCTGTTTTGTTTACAAGGAATATACTATGCATGTAGGATATTTACCACAATCAAAGAAATAACTGCGATACAATAGGAGATGCTATCCCTGCATAGCGGCCACCGTGTGAGACTTGTGACCTATGAGACATGGAAGAGCAACATCTTTGGTTAAGTTACAAAAAACTAAATACACTAACATAAAAAAATATCTAACAAAACAGCATGACAATTTTAAACTTTGTAGCGCTTTTAAATTGCAACAAATTATTTCATTTCAATTTCTTTCTTTTAGTGGCCTTTGAGCAATCTGCGCACCCACCTCATTCAGAGAACAAGTACAGAACTTTGAAAAGCTTTGCAGGTAAAGCAACAAATCCCAAGGCAAAAATATTAAACTCGAGGACATAATTCTGAACACAAAACTCTAGATATTTACAAGGAATTAAGGAATTAACTGCTAACATACCTGGCCAGCCCAAAGGCTCACAAGAGCAAGAATAATGAGAACGTTAAAAACTGCCGAGCCAACAATTGTCCCAGTTCCAACATCACCGTGCACAATAAACAAACCTAAGAAATAAAAAACGTTTTATTATAAACAAGAGATTGCAATAAATAATTAAAAGTCAAGATTTGCATGAAACAGCACAGATTTTCCCAGTAATAGCGCCAGTTTGTTGTAAGGTTTCTGCCATTTTCTGTAAATTTGAAAATTCGCAGTAAGAACGTTCATTAAGCAATATTTTAAGAAAATTTGTTAATGTGGTTTTAGCAGTCAACAAACAAAAAGACTATGACGATGTAAAAAGTTCATGAAACGTGAAACTTTTATGGGTTGTTTTTTATTGCCTACGCCCTTTGATTGGTTGCGATGTTTTATGCTTAATGCTGTGTGAATTGTTTCTTTCACTTGCTTCCATTCTTTAATAACGAACCATTGCAACAATCAAGAAACGGTATACAAGTATATACTTGCTTTATCTCACGGGGACCTCGGTTTAACGGTGCTTTCAAATATATCATGTAGCCCTGTTTATCGACTACAGTTTTTAAACCCGACAAAGAGCAAAGAAATGTTTTTTATTAGAATAACTCTTACTTTATGTTCATAAAGAGCAGTTTACTTACCAATTAATGAGGTGAACAATTCTGGTGCTGAACTACCAGCTGCCATGAAAGTGGCACCAGCAATATCTTCACTTAACTTGAGATGCTGTGAAAACATAAACACGTTTCACAAATGTTTTCATGTCAGCTGTTTGATTAAAAGACGACTTTCCTGGGGCTATAAGAAGATAACGACGCAGTTACATCGATATACGGCTACATTTGTTTAACCCTGAACTTGGTCAACTCATTTGTAAAAAGGGGGGGAGAAACGGCCGTGGCCAACCCCCTTGAAGTCTGCAACCAGAGTACGACAGCTGTGAGAAGCAAAGACCCTATACACATTTAGAAATAAGCGAAATATGAAATATAGATGCAAATTAATCTGAATATAAATATAAACATTAAATGCAGATAATCTCGACTAAATGGATATCAATTTGGCCCTATCTGTTCTCGTTACAATCTCAACTTGTAGATCGAAGTTTGCAGCCAATTTCGGCTATCTCGAACAAGAACTGAGGTACCAGTCTATCTATTAGAAGATACATTATAACGGCGACAAGACAAAATTTAACACAATTCCTTCCTAATGCTGTTTTAAAAGGTTTATATGCTTGCTGGTAACTGAAATCTCTGTAAGAGATACCCAAAAATAGTGACGTAACAGTTTCTTACAGATATCTAACACATACGTCTAAAAAATTGGCTTTAAAATGATATGTCGACGCTCTTAATTGATGTAATTCATACGAGGGTATCTGTATGAAAATTTTGATAAGACTCAAAACCCACCTCGCAAATCTTGTCGAGGGATGCCACAAAGTAGTCATCACAAACAAATGCAAGAGCTATAAACATATACACGGACTGAAAAAAAGATTAGTTTTTTGAAAATCAATACATTTTTAATGACGCACTTTATATCCACATGGAATATCAATGACATTTCACTTGGTATAATTAGATTTATGTTTTACAAGAATGCACCTGGGCCCCATCATTTCAACATGTGCTGGGGTTCTTGTCTTTTTATATAATAATAATATAAGTAGCTAAGGGAGTGAAACGTCATTAAACCTAAAAGATCCTGTTGAGTTTTATCACTTGAAAATATCCAAGTGTGAGAAAACCTGCCTATGTGTTTTAGGTCGATCATATGCTTGCTAAAACTGTGGCACTGATGAACGGTTGATAACTTCACTTGATAAATTTTTTGGTATTTTATGACTTGTTGCATGAAAAATGTTTTACAAACGTTCAAGTTGCACCATACTTTGAATATCTTTAGTTGGATTCCTCTTGAATTTTTTCCTTTTCAGTTCAAATAAAAAGGATAGTTCAATGCCCATAAAGCCTGTAAATAGTTAAAATATCAAACCATGTCTCGACATCTGTACACTAGCAATGGCAAGTCTGACCTGTGTCAAGACTGCCTTTGAGCAATGGCGGCGCCAGCAACTAAGCTCTGGGGGGGACAAACCAAAAAAATTTAAGCCACGCCCTTTTAACCACCAGAAAACGCCTTTTTACCAACAGGGAACGCCAATTTCATCTGAAGGGAACGCCTGTGACAAACTTTTGTTTGAAAATTGGCAGTTTGAAAATCATAGGATTAAATCGCAAAAAGTATGTTGTCAAATACTACCCCTCCCCCAACATTCTCTCATCGAATTTAGATGAATTACAAAATTGATTCTGCTGTGAACTGGATCTGACGTGTCCCCCCCAGTCTCCCTCGTGGTGCCGCTACTGTCTTTGAGAATTAAATGCCATTAAAGGGCAATCACATCAGTAGTTTCTTTTAGTGCTATAGCATGTATGTTTGTTTTTTAGGAGATTGTGATTTATTAGGTCTCTGGTGAACTTTGGTTCTGTGGAATCTGCCCCACAAGAAAATATTGCGGTACCATACAAAGGAATGACAAATCTTTGAATATATACTTGTTACAAGCTATTTTTCTTCAGCTTCTTGGGGTATGAGGGTTTGAGATTGGGAAATTAATGCTGCCAGTTCTTGGATGTTGAGAGCCAAAAAATCTCAATTAACTTTTATATAAATACAGCACTCAAACAGTTTCATCAGGATCACCATAGTTCCAATCAGGAGTTATCATAATGACTACAGAAACTATAGCTGAAATGCTGGTTCCTTTTGCTGGCAGAGCATTTTTAAATACATTTTCAAAAAGGGGAATTTTCAGCATTCTGAAGGTCATGATCTGAGATCAATTTTCTTTGGGAAGGCCCTTTGCCCAAAAATCTTCTTATTTTGACTTCCACCATATGGCAAAAATGACTTTATTGGGCACATGTGCACTAATCTAATAGAAAAATGCCAGAATCTGCAGACTGGGTCAAAACATGATTATTATCAAGAGCTACATCAAAATTTCAGTAAACTGAGCAAATTTTTATAATCTAAAAATTTGACCAATAGAACGAGTTACAACCCAGTTTGGCAAAGAATGTAACAATTTTGTGATTAATAACAGTACTAAACAGATAAAAAACTCACAACAGCAATATGTAAAAGAACACCACCATGCTTGAGCTGCCTTATTGAAAAGAGCTCTGTTGGAAACTCTTGAATGCCTAAAAAAAGACAAAAAAGATAACAAAATAACATAGATATCAAGATAATAAAAACCTAAAATAATCTGCTTATAAAACAAAAATTATTCTTTAAAACATTTATTAGGTATAAAACAGTTTCTTTCTAGATAAATGGGGGGTACCGTTTCTAGCATATGGTCATATCTGAAAGAAAAGGGCATCTAACAATGACACTCAAAGACTATCTGTTTCTTATTATTCTGTTTTATTTACAATAAGGGGGCAGTTGATATTGTTCAAGTATGAAAGATGGACAGTGGGAAAAAGCATGAAACCAGCTGAGGTCTTGTAATTAACTAAAAAAGGCTTTTGTATAACAAGGTTTATTATTGTGTAACACAAGTGACAGTAAGCACATCTCTTATGTGTGTGACCTTCTATTGTGAATTGCGGGACACTTCAAGTCTGACAAGACAACAAGAGCCTCAGATTAACTATGGTACAACAGAATGAAATTGGCTAAAATTGTTACAATTCAAACCTTTTCTAGATCTAAGTAATCACTCAAAGATGTGTGCTTTAAAAAGTTCTATCTTTATCTAGTAAATTTTTCATACAATTTAATCTCCCATATCATGCTGCCTTTCCTGGCTGTTTGATAAAAAACGACCTCAGTTCATAGAACAATTGTCATTAAATATGAGGTATTTTAGAGAAATTTTTTTTCTAATAAATCATTTAAACAGCTGACAGAACTTGTGAGCAGCCAAAAGCAGGCACTTGACAAATTGAGCACCTTGATAAGTCTAGGTTCTCAAACTTGACAAACTTGACAAGTCTAGGTTCTCGACTGAGCATTATCAAATATAATCAATATCAAAATTTGGTTTTCCCCATTTAGTTTTTAGACAGCATAAACACCCTAGGTACTCAATCAATCAAGCTCCTAGAACTTTCTAAGCAGGTATGCTCCTTGCAATGCCTGATCCTTGAATTCTCTATTTTTTTCAGAAGAAATAACTTAAAAAAGATTTTTGCATAGTATTGCTGCATAGTATTCTGCTGGAAACAGATATTTCCATTTTTAACAAAGCAAGTTTCCAAAACTAAACTCATTTCCCACTAGCAAACAAAAAGAATTCACAAAACATACTTGGTGGTGAACATTTAGTTTCATTTTCTCCTGCTTGCCACAAAATTGAACGTGATGTCACAATATGGGAATCTAAAACAAACAAAAAGCAATAACATACTGCTTCACAAAGAAATTCTAACAAAGGCATTAATTAGCACTTTTATGATGCACTCAATCCACTGCCCATTAAATGCCAAAAACATTTACCTCCCAAACTACCAGCCCCCAGGCCAAATATAGTCACTTGGTGTTGCTCATTGACCTTGAGTTTGACACTCTAAAACTCTAAAAGTCAACCTCCGTTGATCAACAGATTTAATAAATAACTGCAATTCAACATATATACAATAGAGACTAAAAATATGTTTCTATACATAAAATGCTAGCTGTTCAACTTTTTTATTACTTTTACAAAAGTATTACAAAAGCAAAGGAACACAAACAATATGCGTGTTGTATGGTTGCTTTCTCAAATCTTATAAATTTTTGTATTTGCTGTTTCCAAAATTGCTCACAAAAATTGAGGCAATCTTGAAATTTGTTAGCCTCATGTTGAATTTGGAAAATTAATAGAGAATTATCTTTAAAATGAAATAACACATGAGTAATTTACAGAAAATAAATAGAGATGCCAAAACCAGTACTAGTGTTTGAACGTCATCAAACCTTTTGTTGAGTGGATCTTTAAAAGAAAGGAGATGAATAATTCACACTGGAATGTTTTGGCTCCACAAATTATCCTAAGGTTGGATTCAGTCCAGATTTGTAGCTCCAAAGTCCACAATCATGTGACACTAACATGATTTTGGGCTAGGTAGGAGCTGGGGTGTAGGGTATCAATTTGCCTTCGAATTTTTAGAAGAACAATAAATACCACTCTGTCCACAACAAAATAAAATTAACCGAGAAACAAATCTTGGCTCTAATCGCAATAATTTGCCAATGTTTTCCACCATTTATATGAACATTTAACAAATACAAGGAGGGGGTATTTAGAAATTATTTGTTTTATGGCTTAAAAAAGCATGCTAATCTTGCAGATCCATCTACTAGTTTCTTGTTATGCATCATTCTGCGGTCTGCTAAGACTCGAAAATTAAGCAGAATATCTAATTAACTCAGAAATTATGTTGTCTGATTGCAACCAATTCCACGACATTTCCCACAGCAAAATTTATGGGTCTCCCGAAAAACTAGAATTGTATCATAACTGGCATTGAAATAGCCGCTGCTTGCAATAAACGAAGAAGTAAATTTTTGCTGGCCGTGGTTGTTTTGCTAAAGTAAGGAAGTGTAGCTTACTTTTGTTCCATGCAAGTTGATCACTGGATGAGCCCCAGATCTGCTCGCAAAACAGTTTAAAACCGAACAGTAAGATAATCGTCCCAAAGCCTACAGAAGCAATATAGGTGCGAGCTGCTTTGCGAATCCTATAACGAGAGTTTGACTTCCTTGTCTTGTCTTTGTTGCTGCACACAATTGCTCGAGCATTTCGCTGCAAGAACGACTTCGTAGCTACACTGTATGCAAGCATGCTTAAGGCTGTGTTGGTTTTTTTAAATGCTTTGATTTCAAGCTATTCTGTTGCAGGACAGGAAGTATTCTGTCTCTGTCCTCCTTTGTCCCAAGTCATGTGCCTTGGTGCTGTCAAAAAAGTTGCCAAATTTTCTTGACCAAAACAAATTTTGTTCACAGCCGCGGAGCATCCACGGCAACCTTCGGCAAACAGATGCGGTGGCTGTGGAGGCGAAGGGAGGGGAACTCTGTTTTGAGAGTGGGGATTTCGCAGAAAAAACAAAACATATACCAGCGAAAAATGAATTGAAGAGAAGAGCAATATTACCAAAAAATTTATTTAGAAGAATTGCCTTCACTAGCTTGAATTGCTTTCATCCAGTTCACGTTTTCCTTTTTTGCTTTGCTAATATTTAGAATATAAGCTTCCTTATAAAACTCATTACTGTGTTCCTGAGAACTGAATCACTGTTCAATTTATCCGAAGAAGTCACGAGACATATTTTTCAACAGAAGCGATCCCGAGTTATGTTCAGCCGGGAGGCTTAGTAGCATGTGGTTCTCGCCAGCCACCGATTCCCCCTTTTAAAATAGTGTCTTTTAATGTTAACAATGTACTTTTATCATAAAGTTTTCCTTCTTATCGTAAAAAAACCCCTTTTACATGCCCCTATATTGCAAAAAGTGCCCTTTTTACCGTACCCCTTCGCGTTTCAACATGTTCGTACACCCGCGGGAATGCCTACATCAAAACATTTTGAATCAACTTTGTGTGCAGAAAATCAGCTTGCAACTAGAAATATACTGTTTTTGATGAATTAGGATTCGGATTCAAACTTCAAATTTCTTCAGCTTAGGTCCAGGTACCCCATTCTAAATATAGCACTTGGGGCACATTTTAGTTTGGGTCTTACTCTTAACTTTTCAGTGCATCAAATTTGGTGGGTTCTTCTAGTTTTTATGTTGGTATCACAAACTGGATGATCGGTCGATGTTTATGAGTTTTAAACTTATCACATAAAACAAAGGGGTTCCTAGCTGAGAGCGACCCAGAAACATTTCAACACTTTGCTTTAAGTAAGCTAAACATGAATTTAAATCGATATTTTTAATCTAAAACTCAGAAATAGAATGAAATTCCGTGAGCTCCTCCGACATATATTATATTCCAGCATTTGCTACCTAAAGAATTAACCCAAGCCCCTTTGCATTTGATTTGTCTCCTGAGTTTTTTTAAATTTTCCTACGAGACTATGAGGTGAATAGCTGTTATTGCAGCTGGAAACAAGTTTAAAACAACAAAGCCATTATAAAATAGAAGATTCTTTAGGCGACGAAATGGGGCCCTGGGGGAAACCTTTAAATTGACTAATTAGTATTTCACCTTTGTTTATAGCATTAAATTTTTTGGTTTTGGATTGGGAAACCAATTGAAATTAAAACTACGCAAACAAGGCTAGTGAAAAAGCCTTACATCTGCCATTTATCCTTCAATTCAAAAATTTTGGTTAGAAATTCCTATGCGACCTATTAGAAACTCCAAGAAACATCATTAATGTATATAAGAATGTTCTAGGCTACCGTGACAAATCTCGATTTTTGCGCTCAGTAATGGGGTAGCTCAAAGGGCCTAGTGGGACGAATTTTCTCACCACTCAGCATATGAAAACGTGCACTGGCACAACCCTTCTTCATGGCATTTTCTAAAAACTTGACATCACATGCTCATACTTAATTTCAACTTTAGTTACATTTTGTAGAAAAGCGAAACATCTGTGTGCCTTTATAAGAAAGTGTCTAAATTTCGAAAGGCTATACTCTCGATTTTCAAGGTAAATTCTTAACTAAATCATCATTATCTTTGTTTTAACAAGGTTCTGGGTAATATGATGCTTTGGGCTTGACGCCAGTTTTATTAACAAAATATCCGAGTATATTTTACAAGGTATATCTGATAAATACTTTGAGAACATCTTTTGTAAATATCTTAAAAAAGTTGTGATTGAAAGAGGAAATTTATTTCAAAGATAACGCGATCTTGGCTGACGCTTTATGAAACATGAATATCAGCATGTGAAACGGTCCAAATGTTTTGTCCCTCAGCATGAATAATCGGATCTTTATATTATGCAATGGGGTAACGAAATACCCCACAATGCTCACTTTCATGATACACTCTTTTTCTATAAGAAGCAGTAAATTTAAATTCAGGCTGACTGTTCTTAATGTTTTTGAAAATCTGAGACTTGATTGTTCTTAATTTGTTTTTAAAGTAATAGGGTGTAAGCAGTGCGGTTACTAGCTTTTTCGCTTTAGGGAGATATTCAGGCTTCATTTGCCAACAAAGTGAGCGAGACGACTTAGTTTGCTGCCAAGTCTGAAAATTCACCGAATAAGCACCCACACATTTCTAAAAATCTTCGTTTTTGAGATAAAACGTTGTGCAAAATTGAATTTTACAGTAGCGTAGCCTCAGTTTGTCCTTAACTTGTTCTTAACTTTTGACCATTTTTGAGGCTAGTGTTCTTATAAAATTGATCTTATATTAAAAAAGAGCGTACCAGAAAAACAGGACCAAGGTTGAATTCTAACGGTGGTAAAAATTCATTACCAGCAGCCAATCGGCAATGCGACATATGCCCTTTAAAATATAAATGAAGCCAGGCTTGTGCTAGACAAGTTTGTTTGCTCCGAGTAGCCAAAAGGCAATTACTGCTTGATAGGCCTTTGATAATATGTCTAAACACCGGGCCAGTTAATCATCGCAAAATATACAATGTAACTCTGTTTAAATACAGCAACGGAACAAAATAGTTGTATGGTATCACCTGCAGTTCAAATACTCGCCTCATTTCCAATGAGAGGCCATGATATTGTTTCAACCAATGGGAATATCGGAATCATCTTCCTTTCGCGTTGGACAGTGCAACAGATATTCCCCTGAGAGGGAAGCCTATAAAACGGGCTCTACCTTGAATTAAGAAGTACATTGAGCAGAAATATACAGCAAGACGAACAATTTTGAGACGAATTTACGGTCTAAGTCGAGAAAAGACAAAACAGATGAGAATTTTCGCATTTTTTTGGATTCATGAAATACAACAAAACAAAGCATCGAAAAGCTGTAGTTGCCAGATCTGTTTTAGATTTTTTAAATTTTTTTTTAAAAGATTTTTAAAAGAATGAAAGATTTGGGATTTTTTAAAAGGAGAAGAAGAAAAAGTCTCGAAATTTGTTGGGTCATGTATGGTAGGCTTGTTTGTTAGAGTTGACGAGGTTGTGCGTAAAACTTTTTGCCCACTAACCCTGCCCCATAAAAAGTATGCCAAAATACGGCACAATTATGCCAAAATTTACCAGATCTCATGATATTTACCATTAGCAAATGTAACTGAAACATGCTCATTCTAAGGCAAACTCTAAAAACAGAGCAAGCTGTTCTCACGTATTTCTTTTTTTATAGACTTTTTAATTTTGATACCCTGCTCAAAAATATGATTCAATTCATAACACCCTATCCCATACTTTTTATTTGAAAAGGATGCCCTGTCCGTTAGGTCAAGTATCGGAGTGCACCTATATGAATCAATCATTGCTACAAATTGAATTCCTGAGAAAACTGAATACACAGTTGAGCATTTGGTAGTTACCAAGTAAGCAAGCCTGTAATATTGCGAGCTTTGATAGTTGTTGGTAAAATCGTCAGTTTGTCTGTAATGTTGCCTAAAGCTAGATGAAATTGGGACAGTCTTAATTTTTGCCCATACAGAGAAATCTTGCTTTTGCATCTCCGCTTGTCAGCGTACTGGAAGCAGGACCAGTCGCACGGGGGGTGTAGGGAGTGTAATACCCCCAAGAAAAGACATTTGTGTTTTAGTCTGTAAAATTGGGATTTTAGTCGGTAAAATTGGGATTTTGACGGGTGGATGATCTTTTTAAATTTTCAAACGAAAAATTATCCTTCATGTAATTTTTAAAAACATTCAGAATATTTAAAAGTTCTGCAGTTTAATTTTTCCGTTGATCCTGAAGAAGATTTTCAGGAACATCACAGAAGAAGATTAATCCCAAGAAATTTGACAAAAACAGAGATAATTTCAATCTGGGAGATGCATTTTTAGACTTAATTTCAAAAAATTTCTGTCGCGTCGGACCCAACCATGGTGGGCCCTCCTATGTCACTAAACTTGAGTCTAATCCCCCCTCCCAGGCTCAATTTTCGCGGGCCCCCGTTTCTGAAAGTACAAAGCACAATGCTCCAGGATCGTCTACAATCTTCACGCTGATTTTGTGCGAGAAATACTTTTCACAGAACCCATCTGTTATCAAGAAGTGGGTCCAGTTGAAGAACAGAAGAGTTCGATTCTGTGTTTCTGAAAGTTGAATAAACTACGTGACCATGGAGCTTACTTTAGAACTTTCATAAAGCTAATAGTTTTACAGCTGAAGTTGCTTTGTAACAGCTGAAATTCAAAAATTAACAATGCTGAAATATTTTGATTGCATTAACGTAGTGTACGCTGCCAAAATGTACTCGGTAGATAAAAACTTGCACCTCACCCCCCTCCCCCCTTTTAAAAGAATTTCCTGAAACCGGGCCTGACTGGAAGGCAGACCACTTTTTATCACATCAGCTGTACAGTGAGAATGCAGGGCTAGAAAGTTGCAGAGGGGCTGGAGGGAGATGCTCATAATTGCAAACATGATCTAAAACTTGAAAACGAAGGAAAGCTATGTCTACGTAAACCTTTCCTGTCTTCGCTTAAATAAGTTTTGAATCTCAAAAAGGATACGTGAATTTTTGCTTTGTTCTAATGAATAATTTATGTTAGTTTTCTCAATTGATTGGAATAAATTCCAGTTGATCGATTTTCCCCTGCTTTCATACTGACCATTGGTGATAGTCCTTATCAGGGCCCACGCCACAGGGGGGCTAGGGGCCATGGCCCCCACTTTTTTGTGAAGCAATTAATTTCAAAGCTGCAATAAAAGGTGAAAGAATCCTAGGTTCCATTTTTCGTTAGCCTAGCCCCCTCCCCCCCCCCAAAAAAATTTAAAATTTGTGGCGTGGGCCCTGCTTATACTCATAAATTGAAGTCCCAAGCAGTTTCACAATCTTAATCTGAGACATGGGCGTAACACAGTAGGATTATTTTGAGAGCAAATGAACCAGGAAAAGTTTTAACAAAGTGCAATATTTTTTCAATTGACCGATCGTAAAACCAGAAGTTTAAATTAAGGGTTATGATGGGAGTTTTCTATGTAAGCAAATGCTTTGTAAACAAGAAGCCTCATCCCTACTCCTACGTCATGCAAAGAAGGAGCATGGGAACGACATCAGTTAGTTTTAAGAATTTAAGGTAAAGTTTCAACCAGGATGATTGTTCAGTCAAATCTTGTTGGGGATACGACCTGAAACGGCTATTGCCTTTCCTTTTGTTTGTCGCTCAAAGTTTAAAGCCAATCAGAGGAAAGTGTGCTAATAGGGCATGCGCAGTTGCTCCCAAACGGGGCCGTAAATCGAATTGGAGTAGAACCAAACGGAAGCTCTTAAAATTGCATAAAACAACATTCTTCGGAGGGAGTGATTCAGTAAAGAGTATTCAAAATTTTGCATAGTACACCAAGACTTTTGGTAGATTTTGAGTCTCATCGCTTCCACTCTTCCTTGTTCTTTTTTGCTCACAATTAGCAACAACAACTCTCATTTCAGTCTTTCACAAACCTAGAAGTATTAAGCATTTCAAAAGTGGGCGCCTATAATTATAGGCAAAAAACACCTCGTTGAGCTGCAAAAATGTACTTTACATCTGTTTTCTGAAAGTTGATGCACATGCTTCCTGTGCCACACCAGATGCTGTGATTATAAACTGGGTTGTGTAAAAGGTAGAACAATTAAAAGTTATGTTTATGTTGTTGTTAGACCAAAAATTGGAAAGGGTAGTAGCAAGATTGTGAGATTTGATAAACATGCATATTGGGTTTGATTTTTGAAGGGAATATGCCAAAAAAGGACTCTGGTACATAAAACGTTTATCATTGGGATCTTTTTATAATCCGGAATCATACATGCGGAAGAATTGCTGGAAGAAGGCGTAAAACTCAAAGCTGTCTTTGTAAGGAGTCCGTAGACATGATTCCAATCCACTTGCTTCTCGTTATGCATATTTCAAAAATAGCGCTAAAAAGCAGAGGCGAAGTGCATTAGACTGAAAAGTATGTTGAAAAGAAAACATTAAAAGCAATAGTATGCTTGTTACTTGGCTCAATGGACTGCTGGAACGAAGGGGCTGACGTGGCTTTGCCCACACTACTATACAACGAGTCGTTTTGCTCCTAGCTTAAATTTGGGATCAACAGGGCTTTCTGAAACAACGGAATTTTAAGAAAATTTGTCACGGATTACGGAAATTTGGCAATTTCTCGACGGATTGACAGATTTCTTACCACTTTCCGGACGCAGAGTTTCTCGATAATGATACACGGAACACGAAATTTTTATCACGTTTTACGAAATGCAGAATTCTTGACATTATGTCTTGTAAGAAGGACCTGGTCAAACCCTGGCTTATCAGGCTAGGTTTATCTGACCGGCAGCATATATCTACAATTTTGCGATGTAGCAGCTAACTGACACCAAAGCAGTAGCTCTCACGATTTCATGGCTGCATGGAGCATAAGTACATCTGCTGTAAATTAAAATCTTGATCGTGAATGATCTCAAAGAAATGATAGTATCTGAAATTATATCGTCTGCTCAGTAAAACATAGAGTCAAATTACAAGGCCTGAATGCAAAAAAGTCTTTCTTCCCTTTGCTCCGGGCTCTCGACTTCAAGACGAGGCTACTCTGTCAGAATTGATTCCAGATTACGAGTCTACCACAGAGTTTTTTTAAGTCCAAACTTCCTATCAAGACCACAAGAATTTACAATTAAAAGTAGAATAGCGGGGGCGGGCTTTGTTTTCAATGCAGCTTGGCTGAGCCAAGAAGCAGTGGAATGAAGTCAGGATAACTATGAATCACATTTAAGCTATCCAGGGAGGGAAATGTTTAAAGAAAATACTGAATAACAAGCAATACAGAGAAAATGGCCTCAGAAAAATCTGCAGTCAGGGGGAGACCGCTGCAGAATGCAGTAGGGTGTATTTTCGATATATCTGAGCCGTGCGGTAAGGTTCAAGAGAACTATTGCTCCTATAGCCCTTTCTAAAGGAAATGGGGGATAAAAGATTTTTTTCTTAAATTAAAGGCTCTTGGGCAACAAGCATGCTTGAGACTATATTATCAAAAGCGGCCTGAGTAACAGCCTCATGTAAAATAACAGCTACAGCAAAGTATGCCGGTTTCTCAAAGTCTTTAAGAAAGGAAAGATGAACGAGACTGGAGGGGCAAATATCCCAGGACAGGATGTTAAAATGGTCCTGAATTGCACAGTACACTTTTTGATTATCAACTTGAACCGGAACCAGACCTCAATGATATTTAAAATCAGGGCCCCTTAAAGGAAGGAAAAGGGCATAACTTGCCCAAGAGCCTCCGGGTCTAGAGGGCATCCTAGTGTAATGCATACTATTTTAAAAATTGAATTAACGAAACGTAACAAAAGTATGCCTTAAAATAGTAACACGCTTTTAACGACTGCAAGAAATTGTGAAGTTTTTAAGCTAATTTAAAGGGCGTGGTAGCAAAAAATTTTCTTTTCAATTTGCTCGCAGGGAGCCTCATCTTTCCGTTTTGCCCTAATAGGAAACTTCTCAGGGGCCCTGTCTAAATTTCTAAGTATAATGTTTTTAAGGTCTCAGCCTTCATAGTTTATCCGACCACAGCCCTGGCTGCTTTAATATTAACTGATTGATCATTGCAGAAAGTGAGCTTCAATTAGTTTTACACAGGAGAGACATTCTTGAAATTAGGACATGATCGTACCTATCATTCGACCACTCCCCCAAGGTCTCTAAAAGATAAAAAACGTTTATTTCAAATGTTTACTTCACCTTGACTTTTGTATATACCTTTTGCAACATATAATCTTTCTTCCACAGTTCAGGAAACTTTGCTTCTCCCTAAATTATTATTTTAACAAGCCCTAACATTTAGCCATAATGACCGTAAATGTTTATGTTAATCCACCCATCTTCAAGTTCATTTTATATGAACGTTCCCATTCCCAAATGCCAACAAATCGATAATTTCATCCAACAAATCAATAAGTGCAAACCCTCTCAGTTATTCAATATCAGGCACTCTAAAAATTTCGCATTAGTCATTAATCAAAAAACTAATATGGTTAGTCATAAGTCATTATTAAATTGAATAGTAATTATCCAGTTGGCAAAAAGTCTGCGAGTCAGCTAGTAAAAAGCTCTTCTACCAACTATGCTTCTACACACTCGACAGACATGGAATTACTGCAAGTATTGCGCACTTGCTTGAAAAAATTACAAGCTAGCCAGGCCTGCAAATTAAGCCGGTTTCCACTTTGACTGATGTTTGAAAAGTCAACTACAGGGGCATCCACCAATGCACAGAAAGGATTCCTCGGAGAGGGTGGGGGCTGATTTCTCGGCACAGAAAGGATTACCTGTTTGCTGGATTGTGTCGGTGCTTTCGAGCAGGGGTGGATCCAGAGCAAATTTGAAGGAGAGGCAGTTGGTAGTGGGGGCGCTGAAAATTTTTCAAAAATTGGTGATGAGAATACGCTGTATACAACAATTTCAGATCCATTTTCGAAATAAACAACATAACTTTGAGGTAATTCTTGAAGCAAATTAACCTATTGGTCTCAGAAACTTTTTCACCCAATTCTCAGTTTTCAAAAGGGGCGCACAATTTTCAAAAAAGGGGCGCCAAACTTGCTTCAACTCGTTGAGGGAGGGACAACTTCCCCTTGTTGCCCCCCCCTTAAATCCGCCACTGCTTTCGAGGGGCATTTCACTCTTGGAAACACCGTAGAGATTTCACCAAAATGATAGGACTTCCAGACTGAACAACCCCCTAAAGCGAAAAGGCTAGCGCTCGCACTGCTTACTCCCTTTTAAATTAAGAACAAATTAAGAACAATCAAGCCTCAGGTTTTTGAAAAAATTAAAAACAGTCAGCCCGATCTTAAATTTACTGGTTCTTATAAAAAAAGACTGTAAATGAGCTAAAAATGGTTGGGGATCTCTGCACCCAATTCCCTTGCCAAACATGGACACTTCCAATACCTAAAAAGGGGTGTATCACTCTTTCCAAAGTTTGCTATAAATACCGCTTAGAAGAAAAACCTACACGTGGGCAACATGAAATTAGTCTATGTTCTGTGCTTAGTGGTGATTTCGACAAAATAGGCCATTTCCTTCTTTCCTCTATAACAGCGAAGTTGACATAGTCGCCAAGGCTTACAAGCAACCTCAGCGAAAGCTGCGTTGTATTTATGTAGAGAAATGTCAAGCTGGTAGTCATTTGAATAGGTCGTGCGAAGGCCCGTCTTTGATTCAATCCGCGGATAAGACGTTTGCACAGCTATCAGCTCGCATTTCTTATGGTTTCCAACCAGGGTTTCCAACGTCTTACAAATTCAATTCACCGACACTCCGCGAACACACAAAAGCATGGAGACTTGCTGCAAAGCCGGTCCCTTTTAGTCTCACAGCACAAATCCTGTTTGTGAACTCGTTGAATTGATAATCCCAAATCTTTTCACATTATAATAACGGCGGCAAACTTCAAAAGAATTTTCGATGACCATCTTTGAATCATAAATGGTGTGGTGGGCTGATTGATCGGATATAAACAATAGAAACTCGTATTGTTTGGTTATTATATCGTGAATGTGTCAACACACGATCTCTCTATTTTAAATCAACCAATGACAGTGGTCGTTTGTCGGCATTTTCCTTTGATCAAGAGCACTAATTTCTTTCCCTCCTATGTATTCATTAGTTGACCGCCCAAATCCCACCCATTTCATCTTTGACACAATGCAATCCTATTAACGCGCGCCAAATCGCAGCGAGAGGCGGTCCATCACTTTGACATAAAAGAAGCCGCCTCCATGAATGATTGGTTTGCGGCCCTTCTGATGTCTGCTCTATTCACGCGGCATCCTTTGAAGTTTTAAGAGCTAGAAACAGCTGAGGGATCTAAGGAGTAGGAGGAGAGAAGTTGAATTCATTCGTGTTTCTCGCCTTATCGAGAGCGTACGTGAAATTCGGCATCGCATTTCTTGTTATTTTATGAAAGATTTTAAACATCAACAGACGAGCAATGTCTCCACCAACAGGTCCAGGCTGCAAAAGCTTCATGCTTTCTTGTGTAAGTAGCCTTTTTTGTTGCATTTCCTTTTTAAAAATGGGAGGAGGAGAGCAAATGAAAAGACTTTAGATAGTGAAAGGCGGTTCAGTTCAGTGCTGGAGGAGGTCATGAAATATGTTAAGAATAAACCTGTCAGTGCCATTTGCTACCTAAACTGATTTTGATAAAATATTCGCCATCCCTTTACAGCAGAAGCAACTAAAAAGAACTGTTAAACTTGGGTATTTTATCTTACTCGAGGGTGCTTTCCAGTTTAATTTCTTTCGGATATGAAAAGTTGTACAATACTATAAAGGCCTGATTGTTTGACATAACGAGAGTACTACAGTCTGTTGTTTGGTTTAGGCTGCACACATTGAGCATAAAGGCGGCGCAAGTGATACTTTGGCATTTAGCATCTAAGGTAGAAGATCTGATGCATTGTAATCCCTTTCCTGTAAAAGAACGTACACAATCCTCGCTTTCTATTGTTGCGTTGGGTTTTTGATTCGTGTATAATAATCAAAAGGTCAGTCGCCAGACAGCTTGATCGAATTGAGCATTGTCTTTCCAGTTTTTCTAATCATGGGTTTTTGAGTGAAATCCAACAACCAATTTGCTAAATTCCATCACCATTACTATAACAACACCCCTTTATTTTCAAGACTGTTAGCTGTGCAGAGAAATTGCCTTTGTACCTCGTCCTACTACAATTCCCTGCCTTGTTTACATGTTCTGAAGCTTTCAAAGGTCAAACTCCTTTTCATTTACGATCCTTAATGTAGGACTTCATATAAGAAACAGTGACAAAGTTTGATTTTACAAGAAATTTCTAAAAGCCGAATAGGCCAATGGTTGCGACGACAAACGTTAGTACCAAACATGATGTCAACAACACATTTTCACTTGAATTTCAGCCAAAGAAGCGTCCTAGGATTCTAAAACCAAATATATACGAACATGAATCATTATCAACTTATTCAGACAACAAATTGTCTTCATCTGTTGAATTTTGATGACTTTTCAATAAAATAAAGGGGAGGTTTTCATATGGACAAACGGCCCTGAAATTGCATAGAGGGCTTGAACCGGCCTAGGCTTTTCTGTTACTAAAGCTATCAGAAAAAAAAGCATATGACCTTATTTCTAGCAGTTTTTCATGTTTGTTTATTTTTCTTTCTACAGAAGAAATCCATTGACCTGCATGAGTTTGTTTGAATAGAATTGCCTCTGTCCTTAAAAATTAATTTGCTATGGCACGTGACTGCGTTTGTTCTTGATGCGAGATCCTCAGTGGTTAAAGTAAATAACCAATATTTTCAATTGATTAGTCAAAGTAATTGTCTTGGATTTGTTATTGAATTATATGTATCCGACTGTTTTTAGTCACGCCTTGATCATGTTGATTAATTGTCAAATAAATTTACTTCTTCAGGAGCACAAAACGCACTCTCCTCTGGCAATGTTAGCAGCAACATGCAAGAAAATTGGACAACAGTCGTCTATGTTTGATGTGGAACAGACAAAAAAATTGTTCCAGCCCTGGCAAACAGATGTTTCAATTCACTCGAGAGTTTTGCAGCGTTGCCATGATCACTCGTTGATCTCGCATAAAGAGTCTCAACTTCGCCCAGACTTTCCATGTGTCAGTTCACATTCAAAGGTCCCAGTCGCCCCTGTCACAGTGCTGTCAATCTCTCCTGAAATGAAAAAGAGCAACCAGTATGCATTTGAGCCAACCTCGAGAGTTTCAGCACCCCATTGCCCAGTTAAGCACAACTGTTCCCTTGCAAGCCCGGTAAAGAGCACTGCCTCGCAGCCACGCCATATATCTGTCAATCATGAACCTTTATTGCCATCATGGCTAGGCCATCAAGCTGGTATCCAAGGACATTTTCTTGTCAACCCAAACTCGCTTCTTCCTCTACCACAACTTCCTAGCAGCAGCACTCCATCTTCAAGCAGTCATCCGCCAATGATGAACATGGGTAGCGTGTCTCACTCTGGTCCAATGCGGTCATCCAACTCGCCTTCGGTGGGAGTGACCCGGAGGTGTCGCAGGTGCAAATGCCCGAACTGTCAATCGGGCAGAAGCTCGCCTAATAAGCCGAAACAGCACATCTGCCACATCCCAGGATGCGGAAAGGTGTACGGAAAGACTTCACATTTGAAAGCACACCTTCGCTGGCACAGTGGAGAGAGGCCTTTTGTTTGCAATTGGTTATTCTGCAATAAGAGTTTCACTAGATCGGATGAACTGCAGCGTCATCTGAGAACGCACACGGGCGAAAAGAGATTCTCTTGTTCCGAATGCGGCAAAAGATTCACTAGAAGCGATCACTTGTCAAAGCATATGAAAACGCATTCGAACAGCAAGAAGGGAAGCATAGCAGAAGACACTGACGAGTCAATGGACTCGAAAATAAACGATGAAAATGTCGATGTTACTAGTATTACTGAAACTGATAATTTGCTTCAAGTAGAGTAAAGTGCTGACATGATCAGCTTGTATATTAGTGCTTGTGATATTATTGTACAAATTTCAAATTATCCAACAAGCGAAACAGTAACACACTTGGTGTAAGATTAACCTGATGCAAATGTGATACACAATCACAATTTTTAATAAAAGTTCAAGCAAGGATTGACTGTTCTGAAACGTTGTGTTACTGATTTGTTTGTGTTAATAACTGTAAATATTAGATATTGTAGAATTATAATGTAGATAGAAGTCCAATGTAGATAGAAGTTCTTAGTAAATATGAGGAAGAAGATTATTGAAAACAAACAACACTTTGCCTTCAATTAGCTTTGTCTATCCTACATGAAAAAGAAAGTATTCAGAAATGTAATCCAGGAAATAATCTTTCAAACGAAAGCTCCACAGCTGGTGTATTTTATGAAAGTGGCAGAAGAAGCAATTTCAGAATACTTTGGTTACATGGTTTGTTTGGGATCTGATAAAAAATTTGAGTTTCAATGTGCTGGTTGAGGACATTCAAATGTATTTCATGCAATGTTAAGATACATTCAATCACAACACAAAAGTTTCCTCAAATTTTATTTTATCCTTCATACCTTATATCTATACCTCATATTGAATCTTTTACACACCTTAGATTAAAATTTTCTTTCTTCACTTCGGTTTTGGATGTTTTGAAAATAGAGATACATCGATGGAATATATCAGACGAAAAACCTAGATTGTTTTTTGTGAAAAGATTAATCAATGAATCTTTCTCTGACAAGCCAGAACAACAACACAAGAACATGTGCGCTAGACAAGTAGTCTGGGACCAACCAAATTTCGAACTCCTTGTCTAAATTAGGCCGCTGCTATGTTATTATTGATTGTTAGAACAAGAAGAATTGATGACGTCTGCTTTATCTGGAATATTCTCTTCTAGAAAATTAAGTTGGTACTAGGCAACAATTGGCAGGCAGTGAAATATATGCAAGCGATTTTACCAGAAATTATTTATTTTTAGAGAAAAAAACAAAAAATGCTTTGGACATTTTAACGAGCAGTAGCTGAAATTACAACAGAAGCCTAGTGGTGCACCTTTAAACGTACCGTAGGCCTTGGCTCTTCGATTACGTTGTGGAAATCAACATGTTCTAGCCTTTTTTGGAAATGTTTACCAGTTTCTGTTTTATAATTATTTTCTGAACAGGGATATTCTTTCGAGATATACTGTCAAAATATGAGATGTTTCCAATCACCGAGAGAAGAGGCTACGAAAGGAGCGGTATTTTGACATAACAGGAAATACGGAACATCGAATGATGATGTCACTTAAAGGGGTACAGTCACCTGGAGGGGTACCTTTTTTTACAAGAAAACTAGCCTCGAAATTGGTCAAAAGTTAAGAACAAATTAAGAACAAGCTGAGGCAGAGCTTCTGCAAAATGCAATTTTGAACAACGTTTTTTCTCAAAATGGTGAAATTTTTAACGATGCGTGGGTGCTTTTTCGGTGAATATTCAAATTTGTCAGCAAATTAAGGCTGTCTCACTCGCTTTGTTGGCAAATGAGGCCTGTACACAACCCTAGAGCGAAAAAGCTAGCACTCGCACTGTTAAGATTAAGAACAAATTAAGAACAATCCAGCCTCAGATTTTGGGAAAAATTAAGAACAGTCAGCCTGAACTTAAATCTATTGATTCTTATTAAAAAAGAGTGTATATTCAACTTCTGTGTGAAAAGTAAGAAACCTTAGGGATTTTCCTAGTGCAACCTCTGATAATGATGAAGGATAGGCTGAAATTGCCATTCCTTTATCGCTCGAAAGGATCTATCGAGGCTAGGATTGAAAATGACGTTTACAAAAGTAGTTGTAGACTATAGTTGTTGGAAGTATTTTGATGGAATCTCCTTCGAGCCTTACTAGAGAAGGTTTGAGCCGTGGTTGGGCAAAAGCCTCTAGAGAGGCGGTGAACAGAGCAAAGTATTCGAAACGATTATATCATAAAAAGGCGCTTACGTAACAAGTGCTTGCCTGTGTAGTATTTTCCTGTAAATACCAAGTAATACTATGGATAATACGATGATCTTGAGCAAGTAGTTTTAAGCAGCATCCAAGATCCTTAAAGAAAGGGACGCCCGCACATGTAAATGACAGGGGGACCAACTTATGTATAGAAACCAATAATTTGCATAATGTGCCTGTCTTCTTTTATTTTTAATAAGGGTGCATATTGTTCCCACAGTCACCTATCAGCTAACAGGAGGGAGTTTGAGGCTTGTTTATGGGCTCTAGGTGTCTTCCCGAAAATCTTCTGGCCTATTATTTGTGCAAATACACCCCGTTGCTCGTCGGCTACTTTTGATATCACGAAATTGATAAAAGTTGAGCAGGTGGCCTAAACGCCCATTACCTAAAGCAAAAGCAACTTGCAGTGCACAATGTGCTACACATTTGACAGCTTCCGTTATCATCGAACAATGTGAAGCAAATAGGACTTTAAGGCGACAATATTGAACTTAAAACGAGGGCATGCGTGGGGAATAGGATGCAGTCAATGGGCAGCAAGTTGTCGCAAGGGCCTTCTGGGTACCATTTGGTGATCCGGTAATTACTAAAGAAACAGGTTGCTTTAATTTATTTATCAATATGGCAGTTCAGTTTTTATATTTTTGCCTCGGTCACAAACTCACCAATAGGTGAGCAATAAAATATTCTGATGCCAATAACGAGACATATAAATGTAATTCTAAGGTCAAAAAATAACTTGACTTTATTTACTAAGCTAATTTAATTCCAATTTCGGAATTGCTACATTGCGACTCATTTCTTCGCTTTTGCCGCTCAAAGTTTGGCCTAGGCCAACAAAATACAGAAGAATTTGTGACGCAATTGGGGTATTAGAATCACGTGGTTTTATTCAAATTCATCTTCATTGCATTTTCAATTTCTATCTTCGATAAAAATTCATCAAAATCAGTGAAAGATTTCATATTGGTTTAAAGTCTTGAAAAAAGCTTGAAAAAAGATGTGAGGAATTTTTGAGATGTGTCAGGACAGAAAAGCAAGAACATGGACGAACAATAAACTTTAATTAAACGCCATCTCTAATATACGCCGGTTCAGCTGAGCCAAGACGAAAAGCGAAAATGATTACAATGCCCAGGGCCGGCGAAACGTATTTGAAAGTGGAGGGGCCAAACTATCAAAGTCTTGAAAGGGCTTAGGAAAGGCTGCCACCATGGTTGGCGGCAAGAAAAATTTTAGAATTATGGTGTCTAAGGGATGGCCAGAAACTGTATCTAAAATGAAGTCTGACTGAAGGTGTCGCATAGTTCTTTCCAGCTGTTTCTTTTCCTTCAACAGCTGATTTCTGTCTTTTTGTAATGTTTCTGAGAGCGCTTTCGTTAACAAATAGACCTTGTGTGCCAAATTTAGGCATTGGAAAAAGCTAATCTTTGTGCTGGCACCAAATTATTCTAGACTAGGTTTCTCGATCTATTTGCAAAGCCAAGCTGTTACTCGTTACAAAACTTAGACAATGACCGATTTCTTCGATCTAATTCCCATATTCAATTTTATGTATGTCTTCTATGGTAAAGACATAGCAACCAAGGTAAAGCTAAGGACACATTTAAGAGAATACTAGGCAAAGTTACTTACAGAATCATACTACATTTATTTCCACTTTTGCCTAAAATTTTTCTTTAGCTCTGCAGAAAAGTGGGAGTGGGGGGCTATGGCCCGATGCCCCTTTTCCCTAAAAACAAGTTGCATTAATTTGAAGAAGCATCACTTATTTCCCTTTACGTTTCATGAAACCTAAACCGTTTGGTCAAAATGCTTGGCAGCTGTTTCTCAAGGGGATGATCTTGAAAGCCCCGTTTAAGATGCGAGCCATTAAAATTTCAATGTAGATAACTTCGGAGTGATTCTAATGTCCTTCCGATCAAAACCAAGATTGCTTACAGTGAGTGTTTTTTCATGAGAGCGGGATTTCGACGGGGTATAAAACCTTAGCTATTTGAAATGGCAAGATAAAGAAGAGGCAAAATCCATTTTTGCCGAAAATTGAGTTGCAATACTACTGGTCCTTTTGTCACTTTTCATATAGGTATGAATATTTTAGGACCATCTTTTTAAAGATTGATATTAATATTTTATGCAATCTTTTCGTTCCATTGTCGTGGACCCCACATTCTAATTTCAGAAAGAATGACATCTTCGCTACAAAATCATAAGAAAATAGAGGCACAAGAATCGCAGGTCCATTCGTAGAAAAATTAAAAAATTGAGCGTTTCGTCTGCTGGTTTGGCTTCAAGTTCCTATATCGGGCGGGGTGAATAATCAACGAGGTTTGAAGCAATAAAATTCAATTCAAATATATTCATGCCTTCTCCATAACGTCATACTAATTTTCCATTGCTTGTCAAAAGTATTGTTGTTCAAGAAATATAATCATGGGGAAAACAGAATAAGTTGATTTCTCTCGGAGACTGATCTTCAAATAATTAATCGAAATATTTTATTCAGCAACGATGTGGAAAGTGGGTTCATTGAAATTGGAAGAATTCAACAAAAATAAAGCAAAACACCAAACGTAAGTTCACTGTTGGTATATACTGGAAATAAAAGCATATACAATCAAAATTGTCAAAATCTGACGAAAATCGTATAGATTTACAAGAGAGTTAGGTTTATATAGGGATTTTCGCTAACAGGAAAAGAAAACAAGGATACTCAAAGCTTACTACGTTTCAGCTAGAACACAGGCAGCTAGAATACAGGCAGATCTATACACCTTTACATATTATACATCCTAAACCATGTTCCAACATCTACTCGTTTTATGTTGGTTAAGCATAGGACAATTGCATATCATTATGCGTTTGATGCTAGGTCAAACTGTATCAAGCTTTTCTATCACAGAGAGATTTCACGTGCACTTCCTTTCGAACTGAGAATAAAAACAGCAGGCAACGTTTATTGACATCACACCGAATAAAGTGCCAACGGATTGTTTCTACCATTTTTTTTGCCAAAATGGGTGTAAGAATACGACCTAATCTAAATACATTGTGCAGCTGTCAAGGCCTGATTTTAAGATTTGTAATGAGAAATTTTCGTAGATGATTTGCTGCTCGTTGTGTCTGGCGGTTAGGTCCAGGCAGAGCATCAGGTTTCGTTGAAAGTGATCAATCTGCATTCGATATTCTGATTGGTATAGTATTGCATTTAGCCATTCATTTCATAGTATGGGTAGGATTACTCAAAACCGTCGTTCAAAAGGATTGACATTGTTGAGCATTCAAACACTTTTATCATGTGCTTGGGTGGTGGGGTACATAAATTAAAGCAAGGGTTCTTGAAAATACAGCAATACACCTCTAAGGCATTCAACTGAAAGCAATGCAAAAGAAGCAATCTTAAAGTCAAACTAATGCAAGGGATGTCTTGTCAACAAATTATTTGCCGTTGTTGCTGGGGAAAAGGGGACGGGGATTAGGTGAGTAGAATTATGGAATGCACCTCTCGTATACTTCTGATTCCAGTTTCCTGAGCCAAGAAAACGGTGGTAGCCATCCCCTGTTGCCCCTGATCTTGCACATGGCTTTCGTGCTTACTACAAACGAAACCCCCTTACAGGCTTAGTCTTTACATTAGGTGAGCTTTCTATTGGATTCTTTAGAGTAAAACTGGACTGCAGCGGAAATCAATTTGTTAAACTAGAAGGCCTTGTTGCCAAAGTTAACATCCAGAATCACAGCTGAATACGATGTTTTGTTCAACTTAACAAAATTTACGATTGATTATAAGCAATACAGAGAGTGTAGGCTGCACTTTTTTTTAGTTTCGCTGGATCGGCAATTACTTTATATCGATTGACAGGGCATTTTGTCGAAAATGAATCTCAGCACGATCGTTAATGTGAAATTATTTTTCACAGCGTTCAAGTCAACAGGAAAATATGGCAATCAACTGACCAAAAAATTTGCTCTAAAGGCAATCTAGGAGAATTCACAGATGGCGATTAAGAAAAAGTTGCCTTTTTGGCAAAACTGCTGATTACAAACAGTATCGAAATTCGAATTGTGTCAAAATAACAGCACATCTAGATGCACTAAGAGCCACCCAGTGTAACAAATCCGTGAAGATTTCCACATCGCAGCTGACAGGTAGGCACAATAATTTAAACATGTTAGACAGCTTTAATGGTTTTGATGTTTGTTCCAGCGCAAGAAAGAGATCATCTTTCCAAGAAGCAATTACAAAGCATGCCAAAATTCTTGGTACACTTCAACAACTTTTTTAATATTATATACCGCATGTCAACTTCCCCCTCGAACAATGTTGTTTGGTGGGTCCATGTTACAAGGTTTTGTGTGGTTCATACAGAACTCAAAATCCAGGTAGCAGTTAATTTCTTAAAAGAACACTCTAGCAACAGGACGCTCAAAGGATTTTTGGCAAAGACTGGGCCTATTGCGAGTGTACTATTCGTGGACAAATAAGGGCATTACCTTCAAAACATTGCTAAAGCCCATACACTACATTGCTAAAAATCAGGGTTTTTATATACAACCTTAAAGAGGGTCTTACAAAAAGTCCAATTTGAAGTAAATTGGCTAAACAATTAACTCACGATCCCTCTTCGTCTGTCCAACAATTTTTGCTTGGAAATTAGGCGACTGTTCTTCATAGTAGCTCGCCTTTCCTCCCTAGAAGAACAGAACATAATCAGGTCGTTATAATCCCAACTTGCTTTAAAGGCTGTAGCAGAATTGGCTATATTCTATGATCTGAAAACATTTGATACGCGAGAAAGAACACTTGATATGTAGAAAGTTTGAAAGAAGAAAGTTTTATGGCCAATTTTTTTATAGTTGGATTCTGAGGTAGAATCCAGAATAGTGGTCTTCCTTTCTCCGGACAATTTCCTTAAACTCCGAAAACCATTTTCAGAAGTGTTGCACTTTAATTGATTTTGCTTTCGTTGGCGTTCGTTACGGACATCGACAGTATTACCGCCATGCTGATGGGCTTTGTAGCCACGTGTTACAGTTTTCCATGTTTGCTGTCCAACATAGACTATGCCATACATGCACATACACATTAAAAGCCAAGAAACAAAATGTGGTTTGAGTCGCTTTTTAACCTCATAACAAAAAGTCATACAAACAAACCTCTTAACATCTTGCGTTCTTTTCATCGTTTTGACATCTGTCCTACGTGGTTCAGCTGCATTCTCCTTGTTAAAATACTTCTTCTCCATACCGAGAAGTTTCCCGCGGTGCGGTTTATAAGATAGCGGTTTCTTAAGACTTTCCTTCAAGTCAAACTTGTTGGGTGTTTTCTTTGGGATATCAAGCTTTGTCAGTGGTGATCTACAAGAATAAATATATGACATCACAATGATGTGTTGCAACGAAACAACTCAAGTTGTGGGTGTGAAAAGTGTTCGCCAGAATGCTTCACCTTACTACTTGGCGCCGAACAGTATAACAAAATCAAACAATGAAGATAAAAGCTTTAACTTTTGCTGTTTTGTTCTTTTGGCACAACCTAATTCTTTTAAAAGGAAATTGTACCGGATAAATCATTTCTAATAAATTGGAAATATTACAAATCAAAACACCATAAGTTGTCACTCTATTATTTTCTTTTACCGTCTTTCTTGAGTGAAATTGAGGATGTGGTAATAGTGAAAAGGGGGTCACATTAAATATCTGCCTCAAAAGAGAGCTTATTTGGGAAGGGATGTTATAGATAGAGAATACAGTAAATAAAGCTTTTACGATACTATAACAATTTTTTCCTTTAAATTGTATATATAGCAGTTTATCCATCTCAGAACTAGACATGATGGCGAATGTTTAGCGTCTCTAGTTTCAGATCAAAGTGAGAAGATCAACTGTGAGTGAACTTCTCTTTGCCGACGATGCAGTGCTAATTGCTCACAGTGAAGAATATTTGCAAAGGCTTGGGCATAAGATAAGTTTGAAGGAAACTATGATGATTATGATGCCACATAGATCTGCGGAACTAAGTTAGAACATTACTTGGATCAGAATAGGCTTGGCAGTGTCGGTAAGTTCTGCTGCCTTGGTTTTACACTAACAATGAACTTGGATCTAAATGATAAAATATCAGCAAAGCGGCTATGAATTTTGGGTTATTAAGGAATTGAGCAATAAACTCTCTACTAAGGTCAAGATTCGGATACATGTGACTTGCGTATGTTTTCTTTGCTGTATTGTCCTGAGAAATGGAAGTATGCAAGGAACATTTAAAAACTACATATTTTTCATGTGATATGTTTAAGAAAGATTTTGAAAGTTAAATGCCAAGAGAAGATTCCGCAAACGGAGATATTAAAACGACCAGGGCTTGCACGCGTGGAAACTATGATAATGCAGAAACGGCTGAGATGGCTTGGGCACGTCAAAAAGATGAATGATAGCCGTAGTCCCATGACAATTCTTTCAGTGAAACTCAAGATGGCTCCAGGAAGCAAGGACGACCGCTTTTTGAGATTTAATGATAACTAGAGATATGAGATATGAGCATGCCCTTATACAGAGAAAGGCGGAGAACAAGACCAGAACAAAACGGCCTTTAACGGTACTTGATGCAAACAAAGACTTCTTTATTTGTGAACACTCAAACAAGCGCTGTCGTTAGACACATCAGGTCTAGAAGATTTATCGTATATACCATGATCTCCAAGATCGAAGGTTGCATATACAACTTTACCATTTTAGACAATATAATATTTGGTTCTGCTTTGTAGTAATTTTTTAACTTGTTTATAGGGACCCAATGATAAAGTTCAATTTCCCTTGACATTATTATTGCCAGAGCGTTGCCAGAATGTGCTACAAATGTGCCAGACTGTGTTAGGTGTACCCTGGAAAGCCATGACCCCCTTGAATTTAATGGCTTGATTAGAATTTGTGCGACAAACGTGGAAATTAATATTTTTACCTGAAATCGAATACAGTCTTGCGGGATGCGGTGCGGTCTTTGTGCCAGGAGTTCACTTTTGATTTTGCACTTGAAAGATCCAGTGTTGATACTCTGCTTGTTGCTGATTTCTTTTCCTAGAAGACACGAGGGGAAAGTTGCTCATAACTCAGAAAAGTTCGGAAGGGCAAGTAGGCTAATGCGATATTAGGTTGGGAAATCGAAAAGCAGAAGATCAACAGTAATAAAACAATTCGAGCAAGAAGCTAAGCTAGGCAAAACACATATCCCTTGACAAAAGAGAAGTTATAACCTCATTGTGTTGGTCAAAGAAGATTCTAGAAGATCTTGACGATCATCGATCGTTCAGTTAAGATTTCTCTTCCGATAAAGCAACATCTAATTTTCAACCCTTAAATGGAAGTAAATCAACCAAGGGTAGGGGGGGCAATTAATGCAACAAAAGAGACAATATATGTGCAAAAACGAACCGAAGGGTATCGCATCTGTTCAAAAGACTACGAGGAAATAATGGATGAAGTGTGAAAACTTTTTTGTTGGCAAGGCAGGATAAGATGGGTGCAAATTGATAAAACTGACATTGAATTAAGAGCCAACCTTAGACATGAAGTTAGCTCGTGGCGTGAAGTTTGTCTTTGGTGTGTGGGTAGGCTTTGAACTGGTTGCATTCCTGGGCGTTTTTGGAGTATTGTGAGATTTCTTGAATGTGGATAGAACATCCAAGACATCACTAGCTACCGCCTGAAAAAGATTGAGATCAATAATTCATAATCATTTTATCACAAGCATCGCTTAACTGAATTAAACGAGAAACCAGTTGTTCATGGCTCCTATTATAAAATATGTTTTTATATATAACTGGTATGTACATTGTGTTCAGGTAATATTTTATAGACAAAAGTCCCCTAGACGATAAAGAGAAGACTCGAACGCAAAACACATCGAGCAGATAAGTTATTCTGAAACTTCGAAGGTGGTCTGGGCATAGCGGTCCACGTGTCATTGCGGTGTCGCATGGCCGGAAATATTTAATGTTATATTTTTAGCTTCGTTCCCTGAGAGCAAAAATTCATGTTTATGAACTATAAATACCTTTACTGAAGATTTCAAGAAATTTGCCCTGTCTGTTTTCTTCTTGATGTAATCATCAATGCTCTCCATTCTTAAATGAGAAATTTCACAAGGTAAATCAATTAATTCAACTTATATATAAGTATGACATTTTTAAATTGATTTTTGAAGAGATGATTCTTCGAAAATAATGTCTTGATGATAATGGAACTTGATGATAAAAATGAACATGTAAAATAAGCATTATTTGAAAAAGAGAAATGATAAATATAATATTCGAAATGTAAGGTTTCACTTCATTATATATTTTTAAAAAGAATTAATTACTGACATTAATTGTCATCAATGTGTGGCCCGAAACACCTCAGAGTAAAATGAACCATCTTACAACCAAATGGCACAACAGTGATATTATCTGTAAGAAATATTACAGGATACTGTAATAAATTAGCAATATTGGCACGCTTACTTATTGAAGCTCCTGTTATGGATTCTCTGGAATTTGTCTTTTGCTGCAGATCTTGGTTTTTCATCTGTAAAGAGAAATTCAAATTTGAAGATGATAATAAGTATATATCTGATACAAATCAGCTCAGTGCAATTTGTGTATATAGTCTACTCTAAGGAAGTTGTGACATTATGAATGCAATGAAGACTGTTTACTGTTTGTCATAAAGTGCTTGATACCATATAGCTAATATTCTACATGCTTTGGTATGTTGAACAGGAATGTCCTGTGCTAACAAGATGCATGTCCTGTCCTGTGGAGACATGATAAATCTATACCTGACTTTCTCTACTTGATGACTGGTTTAAAACTTATGATAAAATGTATGTCTGCATGAACAACCTTCATGCTAACAAGATTGTTAGAGAAATCACCCAGCAGCTTCTTAAACTTGGTATTCTATGATTTACACTTAACCAAAATTTCTGGCAGAGAAAACTTGCAAGTGTTTTTAGCACTTTAAAGGCATTGAATCATGGTAAATAGACATTCTCTATAGGGATTCTTTTGGTTTCAGCCTGATCGCTGCAGTTTCATGTGATAGTGGCATCCGTTGTTGACATTTTTCTATTAATGGAAACTGATTTGTTAATCTGCACTAGGTGAGTTCATGTGACCAGTTCCAGATCAACAATAGCATTGCAGCAAGAAAATCATGACTCAGCAGATTTGGTACATTTGGGTATACCCTCTCCTTTTACCATGACTCAATGTCTTTAATGGTGTTCTTATTGCTAAGAGTTGGTTTGAAAGTTTATCCAATGAACAAATAAATTCCTCTCCTCTCTCAGACGCTTCCTTTTTATTCCTAAACAAAGCACCACAGTATATAAAGGGGCAAATAAACAAAATGATCAATTTATTACATTTAGAGGATTAATACCTTGAAAGATTGACTAACTTCTTACCAAGTTGAAAGATTGTACAAATATGAAGTGTGTTATATACCTTTTAGCTGACAAACATGAAGTTTCGGAATTTTTGTGCCTTGCACTGAAAATGAGAGCAAAAGCGTCATCAGTAGAAACAAATAATCTGGAAACATATGCATAATGACCAATTCAATAAAGTAAATAAGGGTCTCAACATTTTGAAATAATATATATATTTGAAATTATTTTTTCTTTATAAGAGCGAATACCCTCACACATCTAAATGAGATTGCGTGGCAAAAATTTTAAACCATGAGAAATTTCTAAAACTATCATTTATTCCTTTTTTGGTAATGATGAATCTAAAATAAAATTGATTACTTCTAATTTAAAAGAATAAACTCACCATTTTTTATTGTGATCTCTGAATCTATTCTCACGGATTTCTTGCTTTTCGGTTGCTCAAAGTTATGTATGATTTCAGGAATAGGTAATTTGGGTTTTTGCACAACAATGTTATCGTTATTGTTTATTGTAATTTCAATTGGATTTTCTTCTTCTGTTTTGGGTTGCGGAGTTACCTTCAGTGAAAAAGGAAAAATAAGAAGATAAAAAATACAACACATATCTAGTTGTTGTGTTTTCAATTGGGATCATACTTCTTAGAACAACTGGTTAATGAGCAATGTCTAGACAGATATCTTTTAAGAGAAAAAGCCATAATAATGGTTCCTTATTGGTCCAGATGTTTTCTGACAAATGAGGCCTGAATATCATTTGATTATTTGCAATGAAATTATAACCAATCATTGAAGCCTAAAAATTAAGTTCTACAAAGTAACTTCTGTTACAATTTCAGTGAATTCCAAAATGTAAAATCCGATTTGTGTCCTATCCAATGCATATAAAGATTTGCATCAAATAATGATAGAGAGGGGAACTGGGTACTCAATCAAAGCTTCAGGTGAACACAGGAGACTCATTTACAAAGTGGCAGAGAGTAGCAGCAAGAAGTAGCAGCAAAGAAAAAACAAAAAATTGGAAGTTTGTTTTAAAACAATCCTAGCATAGGTTTGATAATTAAATGACAGTCATAGCTTATAAGGTATTGATAGCAATAACCAGAGGTGGACAGGAGCTATGGGGACAAAACTCCAGGTAAAAAAGATTGATACTTTATCCAGCATATTGTAAGTGACAACAAAAACAAATAATCAGCATCAAAATAGTTGTTCCAGTGAATTTTAACAATTTGGTTCACCGGACCACAGTTACCTTTAACATAATTAGAAGATAACAAAGAGCAACCAATTTTGTAAACAACAGTTAAGATGTTAACATGAGTGACCTTGACTAGGGGCAAGGAAAGGGTTTCGTAATAAAGGAATCTGCTGGAAGTCGAGGAATGGAAAGACTTAAAGATGAAACTGGGTACAATGCTGACAATGAGAATGGTCTGAGCGAAAACGATGATGTCTTGAATAATGATGTCTTTCACCTGATGACTTCGATGCTAATGATAATTAGAGTGGTTGGGAGGTTTCTGATTTTACGTCATTGGATGGCTTGTGTGGCGAATGGCTACCGTTGAAAGATAAGGCATTTGAACAATTGTTATCTTCTCAACTTGATCCTTTTAATCTTCAAAACATGCTCATTATGTGAGAACCTCACAGTTTTATGCAAAATATATATAAATATAAGTAGATAGACGATTAGAATTTAGAAAATGGCATTATTACCCCCTAGAAATGACGTAATTAATCATCAAAACCTCGTTTTTTCTAACAAAAATACACATTAATAAAATTAATAAAAATTCAGTGAACATATATGATGAAAATAAGCCCCTTAATATATACATTTTTGTTTGTGATGAATGTTTGCCTGAAAATATCTCAAGAATAAAATACTGATGACGTCATCATTTATGACCCCCCTACACTTTAAAAAAAAAATTTAAAAGACTTAATGTATGTTGTATGTTCTAAGTAGCTAAAATCATTGAGTAATTTTAAGGCTATTTGTTTTTGTACTGGATTTTTCACCTAAATTTACTAGCCCCCTGGGAAGTTACAAAATGTTTCAAAGTCTAAAAGTACTCTTTATATGCTAAATAATCAAAATTACTTGGGAGATGGTTAGGCACTTGGTTAGATTGTTGTAATAATTTCCCTGTCTAATATCATTCCTCCCACTGAGAGGTTAACATTCAAAGCCAAGAAGACTTAAAATGTGCATTGTAGAAGAAAGGAGCCAATGACAACTCACAGAAATATTGTTCCTTTGTTCGTTTAGGCTTGAAAAGTGTTGCAATAAATCTTTTATGATATCAGCATTCTAGAAGGAAGGACATATTAACAAATATCACCAGTACCAAAAACCAGACTGAAATGCACATATAATACAATACATACAAGCACATATAATACAAGCGTATAATACAAATTATATATATTTTACAATAAAGCAATTTAAATCAAAGATTAACCTTAAGGTCAATATTCAATACCTTGTGGCCAATATTAAAGCATAGACAAATATTATTGATAAAAAATTTTTTTGTAGCTTTCTGTTACTTCTTTAATAACATTTACTTTAACTGTAGTTCATGTTTAGCTTAGGGTTAGTGTGTAGAAAAGACCTGTAATTGTAAACTATGAAATAATATTTGGCAGTAGAAATTTGAAAATTGCTAACATTCATTCGATCTTTTCAAAGACATCTTCAAATTGAAACCAACGTAGAAAATTTGAATCATGTACACATGTAGGTTTGACACAAAATGTGGGAAGAAGAGTATTGATTAAAGTTGCTAAAGGACAACATCATTCTGGTCAAAATGTGCAGGTATGCCCCCAAAGGAAGTCTACATCAAACGGTTTTTCCTTTAAAACAAAACAAGGCATAATTCATTGTTTAGTTGTTGTACAGAATGAATTTTGAATACCTAATGATTTAGAAACATTCCCTTGAAACATCATGTACACAGTGCATTTATATGGCTTGATGCAACAACACCCAAAAAACATTACTTTTCTATAAATAGCTATTCTATTTGCTAAAGAATTAGTCAGCAATTTTACGCATTTTTGCTGTTGTAAAATCATTTTCCACTGAAGCAATATTAAGGATTAATTATGTTTAATGCATTAAGGCATTTAGTAGACAGCTAGACAAGAAAACCCTAATTTGAACTTTTATTAACGTGCCTACGCCTAGCAATCTAGGATAGCATAATGGCGTGTTCAGCTAGGAATAAATGAAACACGCTTCACAGCATTGGGTTTGATAATTCTAACTCTAGCTTTTTCTCTTATCCAAGGAACTTACTTATTCATGTGGGGCACTTTCCTTCATTTGCGAGCATGGCCTAAGTAAGGAGCTCTTCGTAAAATTGACCGCAGTTTCAAAGACTTTCGTCAAACTTATGAAAAAATATATAAGCATGATGAATATATAATCGCTCACCTTTTTGTTAGCTTTAACTGCGTATAGTTTCGCAATTTTCTGAAGTTCTGGTCTTTTCAATTTCGCGAGTTCGCCCTCTGTCATCGCCATTTTGAGTTTTCAAATTTTAACCGCCAAATTTTGTTTTGAAGAAACGAACACGCTTTCAAAACAATAACTGTGTCCCAGGCTGCTGAAGCGCGACGTGTTGGATTCCTTTTTGAAAAACAAAGCAGTGACCACCTGGGGGGGGGGGTAATCTTTAGATAACTTTGAACTTAGTTAGGGGACAAGGGATACACTCATTTTTATAAGAAATTAGTGCTGGGCAATCTAAAAAATTGAGAAACTACAGTACGCGAAGCAAAAAGGTAAGAAACAATTAATTTTTGTGAAGGAAAAAACTCAAAGAATTCGTTAAAAGGTAAAAGACAACTTTATGGGCTGATTCTTTAAAGATTTGAGAACACGACTTCTAAAAATTTGATTTCTAATTAATGTTGTCCCTATTTTCAACTGAAATCTCAATATGACAATGTGAAGAATCATTCATGTATTATATTAATACCAAATTTGATGATTTCGTATACAGAGTTCGGCCACGGAGCAATGGTTCAACCCATTACAATAATCTACGTTTATGAAACTGAATTTAAGATGGCCATACCAACTATCCATTCCTTAAAGCTACAGAAGAGGGCAATCCTTTCAATTCCTCAGAAGTTTATTGACAGTTTTTATAGTTGATTCTCAGATGAGCTGATTTTGGGTAGCTTTACATCAACAATTTTGGGATGAAAAGAAGCCTATGTATTTTTCTCACCTTAGCTTTTAAAACACTTGGATTTGCTCAAAATTAACTTTCTTTCACCAGTTGCGATTTAAATATTTCAACTGCATTCATTTGCCACTGCTATTCGCAAACTGAGCAAAATAAAACGAACATCAATATCGTCTTAAAGATGCGCACCTAGTTCACCAATGTATAAAGCAGCACAATCCCTTGCGTTAGACAATATAAATAACAATGGGCCTAAAAACATCCCTGTCTAACCCCTATTCTGCATATGCATAAAAACTTCAGTTACCACCTGTTCTTTTGTAACACAATCCACGTGCATTTTAATTTATCGCTCATCAGCCAGAATTACAATCCCAATTGCCTTTTTTTTACAATCTCAATTTTTTTTATCACTTAATCATATCAGTCAATCATTTATTATGCCTTTGAATGCTCAAACTTACTTTTTTTGTAGTTAGAATTATTTCTGGTTATTGAACTGGATCCAAGATGCTGTCGTCTTTGACATTCCGGTAAATACAATACACAGTAATTTGAAGTACAAAAAATAGTACCTAAGGCTGTTCCTTGAAAACCCTCCCCAACTTGGAAATTTCCTAGCATGAAAAATTAAGTAAACGAACCGAATTTTAAGAAAATCTTGAGAAACAAAGAGCATTGTATTTTCTAAAGCGTTTGAAAACACGAGTACTTAACAATGACCATTGTTTCTTGTAAAAAATAAAAGTAGACTTTCTGAGGTTTCAAAGGAGAAAGTTGCAATGGATATTCATGCAAAACAGAAAGAATGATTGCCAGCACACCTAAACAGGTGACAAATATCCTGCGATTAAAGATAGAATAATAATTGGAAAGATCCAAAAACAATCGTTTAAAGCCGGGACGCCGGAACGACCAAGGGCAAGGGGGGCAGACTTGAGTAAAAGGGGCATTTCAAAGATCAACTCTCAGCTTCTACTAATTCCTTCTACTAACTGCCATTTTAGTTCAATCTTCTGTAGATATCTTGAAAATTGGCTAATTTTTGAATAAGGATTTATTTTACAAGTTTTGAGAAATGTCGTCATGAATTAAACACTATAATCAGAATTTCATATGAATCTTTCTGATTATTACATTTGGCCGACTTCAAGAGCACATTAATGAAAAGGGCAATAGGGCAATAGGGGCCTATTGCTCCTTCAAAGGGCAATATGGGCGGTTGACCCCCCGTGTCCCCCTTCTCCGGCGTCCCTGGTTCAAAACGTTCTTTGAAATTGTATGCTATAACAAACAAGTGTAGGTAGCCGGAACTTCTTGAGCAGCTAATTGAATAATTGAGTAATTGTTGTACAGGTTTATGCCAATGATCGGACAGTCGTACTGTCATACAGTTTCCCAAGTCATTAGATTCAAGAACCTTCCCGCTACAGAACAAATTAGCGGCGTGGTTAAGTTTCACGTACAATAGCCACAGTTATAAGTTGTGTTCAAATAATAAAGAATCGTAAAAATAAGCTGGCTGCTCCAAAACAGCGTTATAATGATGTAAAAAGGCCCTTTGATATAACATTCTTCTCCAACGATTTAAAACAGGACTGAATAAAAGAATAAAAGGACTCACAATAAAATCGCACTTTTTGATTCATGCTGCATTCTGTCTCTAAATTCATGCAATGTGTACATGACCATTTCGAATACTAAACTATACAAAACATGATAAATAAATAAATAATTTACAAATAACACGCACAAATAATCCCAATAATTTACACCGTAAATAAAAAACAATTCCATAACATAGGTCAGCCATAAGTTAGGTAAATATCTTTGAAAATATCTAATACTAAAACAACTTAAGAGTATTGAAATATCAATTGGTAGTCCTTAACTGCCTTGTTTGGTTTTAAGGATATGTGTAATTATATCTTGTGTTGCTAAATGTGGCTAGGGGATAATATATAACGAAATACTATACAATGCTATTGCATTTACTCGAGGCTGTATTTTATACACTGATTACCTGGGGATGTGCCTGCCGACAGGGCCTAATTTTCGGCTGAAAATTCTGGGACAGGATGATTTATTTTTTCCAGCACAGCTATGCCCATTGAAGGTCAGATTTTTCATGTAAATAAAAGTTTTGTCCACTTCAGAGAGTTATTCAAACATGAAATTACAGAAGAGGTTAACTTTCAATATACGAGCTCGTAAATTCAAAAAATGCACTTTCTTGAAAATTGTGTTCAGGCCAACCAGCAGCGTCCTGGATCTTATTCAAGGACAAGAATCGTGTTTTCAGACAGTAGCGGAAATTACGGGGGTGTGGGTGGGGGGGGGTGGATGACCGCCCCCAGGTTTTGCCAAATTGTCGGTTTTGTCGGCAAAATTATGTAATTTTTCGGCAAATTTACTTGCTTTTGTGGACATTGCCCCCCATTTGAAAAACGAATTTCCGTCACTGTTTTCAAAACTTGGTTCGAGGACAGTGTAGTAAAGTTTCTTCTGATAGGCAAATCCTCCTAAATTTTTTTCCATGGTAAACCCCGGAGTAATTTTCTTATAACAACAGGCCTAAATTCGCAAGGTTGTCTTAAATTCAAGCATATTCTTCAATATTTCAACGTGTAGGAAAAGTTGTATTTAAAAATTGATCAACTTAAGGGGGGAAAACAATAATGGAAAAATCTTTCAAAAATGGCCATTTCAGGAAATACTGCCGAAATTATGGCGAATTAAGAGAATTTTTTTACCACATCATTTCCTGAGCAGGTGTGTTTCTTAAATAAAATATTTCATCAATGTTTTTTGACTTAAGATAAAAGCGATTTTAAAAAAACCAACAAGGAGCAAAAACTACTGCTGTAAAAACCGACCTGTAAAAGAAAGATTTATATCCACTATAAACTTAAAAAAACCCATTTATAAATAACTTCTATTATTCAAATTCCCACTGATATTGCATGGTTCTTCATTTTTAACATTTCAAACAATATTTACAGAAATGAATACAATAAATAATAACACGGTGCTATTCATTGTCTGCTAAAACATTCAAATACTTCATGAACGAAATAATTTCTGATTACATATACCAGACTGAAAGCTGCAAGATCGGAACTCGTCCATGGCAGCCTGGCAGATAAAACAACAACAGGGAAGCTTGCAACTAATGCTGCACCAGCATCTGCAGCCTTCCTGTTTTGCGGAGATTAAAGTTTTGCAACAGCCCTTTCTGCAATGCAAGAAAAAATATATTAAAACATATAGGAAATATTTTAGAAGAGGGCTGAAACCCCTAGTAGCCGGGCCATAGACGGTGTGATAACATTATAAGCAAAATTACTTTTTGAATTGTATGAAATACAGAAATCACGCCCTAGAACACTAGAAAACCATTAATGTCACAATATTGATGTCCCTAACGCGTTAGGCTAACTCACTAAATCTAGCATAATAGCTTCTTTTCAATGACTGCAACCTTGATGCATCCGATGCCAGTAATGCATCGAAGCTGATTTTCACGAGGCGAATTTCGCATCGAATTCGCTACGAATTCGTCTCGAAAGTGTCTTGGTTTCCACGAAACTGCGAATTCGCTGCGAAATTATATATTGATTTCCCCAAAACTTAACTTTAAGGCGCCTATTTTAAGAATGGCACACATGGCGAATGTTTCTAATAGTTTGGAGCCCATGCAATTAACACGACCAATGCTGCTTCGTCAAATGTGATATTGGCAACTGAGCCAAATGTGACATTGAAATGGTTTCAAACATCTGACAAGCATTCAAACACAAAAATTCGTTTCAATGCATCCAAATTCAAATTACTCCTTGGGCGTTTTTTCATATACCTAAAGCGGCTATTGCAATGAATTTAATATATAGTAATTGTGCATAACATTCTTTGATTCATACAATTATGTCTGAATTTGTCAGAACAGTACAATTGTAATGCCATTATTAGATAATTTCTTGATTAGACAGGATCAAACTGTATATTAATAAAATACAGTGAAAGTTAATTATAACAACAAATAAAACAGGAGTGTCATCTAGCTGATTCCTTTCCTTGTCGATGATGTTATATGTAGATAAAGAAATAAGGCCCTACGAAGAAGCTCAGATTAACGAAGAAGCAGCTCATAGGAAACTAAAGTCTTAACTGATAGAACGCCAACTAAAACTGAACAGCAAAGATAACAGCATCGTAGGCTGATAATTAATCATTTTCCGTTCATATCAGTACTTTTATTGATTATATTTTTGCTTAGCTTTTCAATTTGAATAACAGTAATAACATCAAGACAAGGTGTTTTTGTGTCAATTTTTTCGCTTTCTCCTCTTTCTATATAAATTCACCGTCGTAAGAGGAATCGGTAACTGCTACTCTACGATAAAATGGATGTTGCCTACCAAAAACAATTTTGTATTCACAGATCTGAGTGCTTGCCCTGCTCCAAGTCTACTTGGATGCTGTTATAATCCGGCCCTACAATTAACCTTCGAATGTCTGGGTGACATTAAAATAAGCAGAATATAGTTTAAAAGTAACAGAGGACAGAGGGTAAAGACATCATTACTGTGCTTGAAAGGCAATATATAGCTTAATTAGAAAACCTGTTTGAAATTATTCAAAATAAGATACCACAAAACCAACCAGAAGGATATCTAAATTCCATGTTTACCCAGACAGCTTTGCTCCGCCTAGATGTTATTGCTATGATTAGATTCCAACGGTGTGTGTATGGTTTTCGAGCAGAGATGCCTTTCATTACCGGCATGATAATGCCAAAAATGATAAACAACAAATACGTTTACAGTGTAAGACTGGAATATCTCTTAAATAGCTCTCAAGGAGCACGATCGTAAACTTGAATGATTACATTATGCTCATAACCTTGCTTACGACATAGACTAGTCGGAATCCGCCCAATGAAGGATTTCAGGTTTTGTGGAGCAGCTTTCAACCACGTACGTGTGTGCATGCACATGCACAATAGAAACTACTAATTATTGCAGAAGAAACAGCACGCCTTTGCTGCGCCAAAATGATATTTTATAGCGATTTTGGCGGAAACTGAATTATAGGACAAACGAACATTTTTCTGCTAAGGAAATGATACAATTTTTTGAGAATATATGTTAAATTGAAATATCTATGTTATTCAGATCTTCTATCAGCTCTTGATAAATGACGATAAAATGAGCCCAGATTAATTTGCCGTTAAAGGCTTCAAATGAGAAAAAGGTTCTAGCAACGAAAAAAATCAGTTTCAAAAGAATCGCCTATTATTAGTGAGTGTGGTTTTTGAATGAGATCTTATGAAACTTTATAACAGTAAGCACGCCATTGGAACAGCGACAATAAAAGAGATTCAAGAAAGGGTGCCTTTCAAAGGACTTTTCTTATTTCGAGTCAATGCAAAACCAAATTTCGCCTTGGTTAAAAAAGTAGGGTAAACATAACAATGCTATTTATTTACAAACCTGTCCTTTAGGTACACCATAACTGAAACCATTGGCTTGCTTCAATTTGCTTTTATTCTCCATCGAAGTCAAACTCAAGCCATTGGCATTCTTATGCTCTTTTGGGTGCACGGCCTTGCTTTGTGCCCTTTGCGGTTGCACCCCATTGCTCTGTTTTGCTTTCTCCTTAGCTTTTTGCGCTGCTAAATGATTTGCTATTTGCGAGGCCAAACTGTTGCTGCTATCTACATTACCATTCATGCCTTGATGTATATCATTCTCATCCTTACGATCTCTTTCGTGTACTGCAACATCAGTTCGAGGCAGTACCCTGTTTAATGGATCGCGCAATCCCTTTTCCTTTAAATAAGCATGTTTCCGATCATTTTCATAATCAGGATAGCGTTGACTATCTTTCAAACTTTCGGAGTTAGTCCTTATAACTGGGTCAGTTAAACCTGACCTTCCAGCGCCGTACTCTTCAATACCATTAGGATAAGCACGTTGACCGGTATCAGCAGGCTTTTCAATTTCCTTCTTACCTCGATGGGGCTGTGCGTTTTGTAAGTAACTGTAGGGTCTGTGATCATAGGGATTAAAGACATTATTTGTCGATTCACCTTGCTGTGACGTCAACTTCTGTCCAGATTGTATTGCCCGGCTTAAGCCAGAAACATTACGATGGACCATTTCGTCAGTAGGAATAGCTGTCTCCCTTGCAAGATAGGAATTACTTTCGATCTCGGAACTCTTTGTTGGAAACTAAAACCAAAGTAGAAATCAACTATCACTTAAAGCATAAAAACAACTTTATAAGAAACTTAACTGCGCTGATATTAGAAAAGTTACTTCTTCGAAAAGTTGGTTCTCCGGCCAGTACTTGAAGTATATTAACAAGTAGCCTTGTCCGTATCAGTTTTCGGACATTGATATCAATAATTCGAGGTATCATTTCAACGGACTGGATAACAAGCCTTGAAGAGTACTGTTTTAAAAAGTAAGATTGTTAAAAAATATCATTTTTAACCAAGAAAAAGGGAAAATCAATAAATCTTTTGTGACAGGCACTCTGCCCAAAAATGCTGTCATTTGGGGGAGTTTCATGCTAAAGTGGCATTTTAGGGGATCAAATTGTTGCCCAAACTGGACCATTCGAATACGATCTTTATATATCTAGTGTAAAACAAAATTGAAAATTTTTAGTCATTTCTTATTGTAAACCATACCCATTCGAAATCAGTGAAGGTCGAAGGCTCGTGCTTCCTCGTTTCTTTGTTTGCATTCTTCTCAACTAAGGATCGAAGAGGGTAACCACTTCGTTGGCCTTTCCTCCAAACGTTGTCATCCAGGTCATTACCATCAGGAGTTTCTTTTATACTTTTCCTTGATCTTTCACGGTGTTTATAGTTACTTAAGAGCCGATCAGAACCTCGTGATGATGTGACGTCATCAAGTGTGCTCAGATCTGATCTTTCGTATAACCTATCTACAAATTGACCAGTTCCAACATAAGGCCTATCACCTAAGCCATTAGCCATCCTACTCGCTTCACTATGGGCATCCCTGTGGTCTGACATTGCCTCTGGCTGTTTTGCGGCTTCACGTTTGGCTCTCATGGGCCTTGGGCTGACAGACTTCGTCTCAAACTGCTCCCTAAAATACACATACACAGAAATTATAAGCAGGGACGGACTTCCCGGGAGGTATAGTGGGTGCGATACCCCCTAATATTTTTCTGTCATTCGGTGAATATTTCCTTGATTCGGCAAGAAAAATTTTTGGTAGTCAGTAGTAATCAAACGACGCTTAAATGTTGCTCTATTTATAACCTCATCATCTTTATCTTAGAGGAAAATACCGAATTTTAAAAACGGGGATTTCCACTCGGCAAATGAAGGGTGTGGCACCAAAGTTCATTCATTATCTAGCACTCCCCAAATCCTTACCTCTCAAAGTCGTCCCTAATCATCAGCTATAATCCAACACATTTAAAGTGAACTGATATAATACAAAACAATAAAATGGAAATATAACGCAAAGTTTTCATTTTGATTCAGTATATATTATAAAGTTGATAAAAGATAAAAGATGATATGATATAATAACATAACAATTCATTTTAGAATGATGTTATATAATAGAATATAATATTTAGTGTATGCTTTTCTGCTGTAGAAAAGACAGAGTCCAATATAAAACTAAACGAAGGACACGGAAAAAATTTCAGGGCGGGGCAGTCTAAGACGCTTCTTACAATAGAATTGTTCAACAAAAGTTAGCAAGAGTTGGGATTAGAACAAGAATTAGACTAGAAGTTGATTATAAAGCTTGTTTGTGGCGTTGATTTGGAAGCGGCAACACGCCAACGAAAAGAGAATGCTAAATTGGTACCTTGCCCATCGGTATTTGCTTTGAATCGTATCATCCGTCCCATCAAGAACTGCCAAAACACGCTCGCGAGAGCCGACTATGGTGAGAAAAACTCATTACTAAAATAGGGCGTGCAACTGTGAAAAGTCGTATTATGCACATGACAGTCGTATATAGTTAATACGTGAAATGAGATGGTGCACGCGAGACATTCTCAGGGATTTCATGTCAGCTTGTCCTGGCCTAGCAACAAACAAACATCTTCAAGATGTAAACCTGCTGTGGGTAGCAAAATAAAACAGGTTTAGGACTGTACAAAATTGGGTTTAGAACTTTATTTTCAGTAGAATCTGAAATGAAAATTCCACCAATATAAAATAATCTAATACTAATTCGGTGAAAATATTATGAATAGCTTGAGCATGTATGCTGGAGATTTTATCAGTCTTATTTCACTGATCAATAACCCGCAAAACCCATTTTCACTTGAAACTATGACGTATTTACAACACGAATGAATCAAAAATATAGAGAAAAGCAAATAATTATCTTTAAAACAGACGCCCTTTTGATTGAAACATTAATTATTTATGTTTACAACTGGGCAAATTTCAATTCTAATCAAAGAACTACTTTGACTGCCCAAGAAGTTAGACACATCTTGCCACAATAAAGACGTCATTGTTGACTGTACAGAAGTAGATAGATAGCTCTATGAGAAAACTTACTTTTTTGACTGATTGCCTCTTTTCTGTGAAAAAAGAGAAGAAAAAATTCAAAAATGCTTCGGTGTCTTAAAGCAGGCTAAATGATATTCAATAAAATTGAGTCATTCTAAAAAACTAACATTTTATGGAAAAACATATTTTTGAATTTCTACTCTTTTCCCTGGAAATTTAGCAACGCTGCTTAAAGGGATCGGAGGTCAAATGGAATCTGAGGAAACTATTTCCGTTTTATGCCTCAAAATTCTATTTTTCGATGTGGTTTTTAAATAAGTATGAATAAATTTATCCCAAAAGCTATTATACATAAAGGTCAGTTCCGGAAAATGTCCATAATTTGCCTGCTGAAAGCACTCCACTATGCTTAATCAAGTTCGGCTGTTTGTAAAACTGTTTGGTTTTGTTAAAAAAGTTTGTTTTTCTCTGCTTTAATTTCTGCTCTAGAAAAAAAATCTGTGTTTATCATAATAAAAAATTTCCAAAGATTGAATTTTCGACATATCAATAAACTCTGCTAGAAACTTTCACTGCAATAACAGTGCCAAAACATAAGAAACCCTACTTCAAGTTTTAGAGCAAAGCTTCTTATAAAAATTTCATTATACTCCCTATCAAAGTGAATTTCTTTTTTCGTATTTCCTTTCTTACTAAGAAAAATACACATTTAGTGACTCTTAGAAAAAATCAAGCAACAACAAAGCAAGCTTTTGATCTAACTCTTTCGACAGGAAATTTCAAAAAATTTCAAGCAATGCCCACAAAAGGATTTTGCAAGAAAACACCAAAAACGGATTGAATAATTATATTGAATTTACAAGCTGCGGATGACGGTCTGATGACGTCATACGGTGAGATCGACGAGCATTGCATACCATCAGCGAATTATGTTGTTGCTGTGGAATAACTCAATGCTATAAAGAATGAAGGGTAAAAGACATGCTTGAGAATAAAATCAAGAGAAAAATTCAGGTATTTACTTTGCTTTTTCTGTTGCATCTCGCCGTAACGAATAGAGTACCTTTAACGAGAAGAAGAAAAAACGATTAAACGATCATTAAGCAAGATAACGGAATTGCGTCTTTGGGCAAGAATGAAATCAAAATAAAAATAACGCATGCTACAATAAAGTTATTGACAGGACACCTAAAAAGTCATCTACTTGAAAGGGGTTTGTCCCATTTAGTACTACTGACAAAGCACTACTGGCGACCTCTAAGAAACGACTGTAAAGACATGCACATTATCAAACTCAAACAACTTGATTCTCCGTCCAAATATACAGTATAACTCCGATAACTTGAACCTCCTAGCAATGATGAAAATGGTTCCAATTAACGAATATTCAAATTAACTGGGGCTTATTGGAGGAGGTTCAAGAGGGATGCAAAAAGAGTTCAACTTAATGAAAGTCGGAGTTTAAGGGTCTTGGTCAAAAGGAATATATACTGTGTGATCAATACCTTAAAGTAATTAAAGGATACCTATGCAATAACACTGACATTCTAATATCAAAACAAAGTTTTTCACCGCTATTGAAGCAGGCTTACTTTATACAATGCTACCAAATGCATACGCAGTATCTAATTGAAAGGACCCAAATTCGTAACACTGTAGGTCCATTTAACTTTTTCCACACGTAATTTGATAAACTTTCAAATTTCTATAAACTCAATTTTTTTTGTCCCTATAAATATTTTGACGACTTTCACGGAATTTCTACTTAGCGCTCATAAAAATTGAGTACTAACAATTTGAGGAGAATGTGGGGAGGGGGATTTCAGAAAATTAATTGAAGTGGGTTTTCCTTACAAAGGATGGGCAAAAATTGAAGGCATAGCTTTGAAGGCAAAAATTGAACTCATTTTCTTCCAGGCGCAGTACAAAGAGCTTTTGTAACTTTTTGGCAACGCCAGAAAAAAGGCTATATATAAATTGTGTAAATGATACAGAGATGAAATGTATATATACTGTGGCCGAGTTTGAGATATTCTAGACAAAATAGTGGCGGTTTGTAGACGAAAATAACTAACACAGTCTTTTACTAAACTGTATCATGCAAATCGCAGAGGAAAGTTTGAAATTCATTTATGAAATCTCTTACCGGGTAATTCGTTCTGTGCAGCAAAGAAGTGGAATCAGCTGTTGACATTTGGATCTAGAGCGAATAAAGGGCGTAAGATTTTGCCACATTGAGGCAAAAGAGAATAGGGAGCCTGTATTAGTCTTGCTTGCAAATCATAATGAGTGTGCTTCACTTTTAAGTGTGGTTAACGATTGATAGGATATATAACCTAAAATATCCAACAAAACACACAGCATTGAGTATGTTCTAGCCAGGTTTCTTGACCAGAGAAAATTGATACTCAGGAGGAGGAACCTCCTTACGTAAGAGGCGGAATAAAGACCTCAGATAAATAGGGATCATTTGTTCAGCTAGCTTTCATTATCATGTATGGCCAGCACGCCCATTTGCCAACAAGGAACGCCAATTTTACCAAAAGAGAACGCCCAAGATTAACTTTTGGTTTCAGAATCATATAGTCAGAATACAAAAATACTGGGCTGAAATATTACTCCTCCCACAATATTTTCTCATCAAGTTGGAACGAACTATCAAGTCAGTCTTACCGGAACTGGGAGAAGTGTCCCCAGTCCCCTTGTGGAGCGACCATTGTTTACAACGAGCAAGAAATATAACTCCAAGTAACGGATTAAAACGTTCAAGATCACCTGAGCCAAAAAGAAGAACATTTTTGTATCCTGCAGGGCAGTTTGCCCTTCTGTGTCTTCTACACTGTCATCATCATCATCATTTCCTTCCTCCACATGAACTAAACAATATTAGATTCAGTCAGTTTATGAGAATAGGAAATATAACGTTATAAATAAGTTTGAGAGAAAAAATCCCAAAAGGAAATGTTTCAAAGACAAAGTAGGGGAGGCAAATTGAAGGTTGATCAAAAAATAGCAGTAGATACTTTCATTTGGTATTGATTATACTGATTACCAATTGCCAAATAGCAACGATAATTATTTACTGTATTCAAAGATAAATATAATCACTTCCGCATTCTAATGAATGGATAATTACAGTATTCTTCTGTAATTGAACAGAGAAGCATGCAGTTTCGTATTAATTGCACCATTACCTGCCCTAAGTATAATCGATGTAACACCTACAAACATGTCTTTTACTGACCAAAAAAGAAATCAAGACTAATTGAATAATTTTACCTGGATGGAAACTCATCAAATTTGGTTGTCGCAATTCTCGGTCTCTCTCTTCTGTCAGTTTCTTGAAACGTTTTCTTGCTAGGTAGCCCCGCACAGCTGCCATAATAAAGAGGATGTTTCAGTCTTTTGACATTTCCTATCGATTAATATTTCACCTCAGATTCAGGCACTGGCTATGAGCTAAATGTTTGTGTGGCCAGGGTTTCCTTGGGGAGGGACAAGGGAAGGTGAGGCCAAAATATTTATGTGATTATGTTAATTATGTTAATTAAGTTAATATCGATGCAGTTATGTCGATATGCAAAGTATGCGGTTTTTCAATACACGGTGAAGCTGTCCACACCAAATGACCCCTTCTGAATAGCTAGGACCTTATTATTTTGGCGAAGAGAATAGCCGAGCTAAGAAACAGGAAACATGTAGCAAAAACAGTTGTATGGGCTGTCTAGATTCGTAAATTAAGATTAGCTATTGCAAAGGCTGACAAGGGAGAAAGTCAGTTTTTTCAGGGAAACAATATTGACAGTAAATGAAAGACAAGTCGAAAGTTTATTACAGTCACGCTATTTACATATCATAACGGTTAATAATAAATCTAGGAGTGATTAAAATTAAAGCAGCTAAGATTTAATATTTCTTAGTTAATCGAGTAACTATATTAATTCTGAGGCAGATTGGATTAGATTTGATAGATTAGATCGGATTAAACTTAAGCGAAAAGGATTAATTGATAGCTCTCGGTACCAAGGTATGTTTGCTTTATTATTACCAGGTTACTGTTTACTAACCTGGGTTATTATCGTAATTGCTCTCTTCCGGTCCTAAAATCGTGACATAAAGTATAAGCATTGATTAAGGGTTACGAACAATATTCATATTAGTTATATCGATTTACAACTCCTCATTAGCCTTCGTTTACGATAATCTAAACGTTAAAGATATATTTATTGGATATATTTTGGCGGTACGAAACTTGAAACATTTTTCAACATGCTAAAAGGTTTTTCGTCTGATACTCCTCAGAGTATAAAACGAAAGAATAAGGGTCCATTAAATATTTATTGAATATTAAGCAGTACAAGAGGAATGTGTTTTAAAAATTTATTTTTAAAAGATGCTATCAAAATGCATTCCTTCGAACTTTCTCGCTAATAAGCAATAGGTAGATATATCTTAATTTAAGCTAGAATTTTGAATCTTTGATTATGATGAGAATATATATCTTTATAAAATGATAAAAATTGAATGTACAGTGATCTAGTGATCAATATTCTTAGTTTTAGCATCGAGAATATTTATTCAAAACTTTCTAATTGAATTGTCTCTACAATTATTCCAAAGACTTCATTTATTTTATATCTTTATGTCCTAAGCTTTTACTAACCTTGGTTTTTATCGGTAGACAAATTGTCAAAGCCTATAAAGATTAAACTGAAATTAATCAACTATAGTACCAGTATCAATATTAGAAATGAAATAAAATTAAGTTGACAATCAAAGCGTTAGGTTTTAGGATGTTAGGATGAAGGTGTAGGTGTTAAGATATTTATTATATCATTTTCGTTCATTATAATGAAAAATTAAAATCAATGGAAACAGGCAGTAAAGCCATCAGGTTTATGGTGGGAAGTTAAGCATCATGACTGTAATAATCAAAGATAATGTCGATGAAGAGGCAAGAAAGGGGTAACGATTAGAATCTGGGTAATAAAGGGGTACTGTATGTTTCGGAACGTATCAAGGACAATGTATGTTTCGGTAATTGCAGACCTTGAGTATTATTCTTCTTGGAACCTGCAAAAGCCTTTTCATTTAGTTTTTTCTGTTCTTGTAGTGTTCAAGTAGTTGGAGCAACTCGGGAATCTCGTTCGTTTATAAGAAAAAAAAGGTTGCGAGAAAGGCCAATGTGATGTTTGGACACGAAATCTAGCTTCATTCAGCGAAATAAGCATTTGGTATCGCAAAATTTGAAATAAGCAAATAAAAGCTGAAGCACAGATTACTATAGTTCATTTCACATCTGTATTTTGAACCAGCAAAAATTATAGTGGTGCACTAGAAAGATTCTACAAATGATCACAGAGGCACCTTTCAGCAGGTAACATTCAGAAAAAACCCGGCACTTGATGATGATAAATATTCGCATAGAACTTAGACCCCTTTTGAATACATAAAGAAAAAAGAAACTGGAGAAAATGCAATAAATTCTAATGTTATTGAACCTATTTTAATAAAAATCGAAATTTGATTCCATTGTAAAGAGAACAAATGAAAGTGTTTGTAAAAAATAGTTGATTTAAGGCTTCACTTGGAAATCCATTAGACTACTTTCTGATTCAGTGTAATGACAAAAGTCAATCTCATAGCAATAGAAAATCAATAACAAAGTTGTATAAATTTTACAGCTTGACATTGTATAGCATATATCTGCAGACCAGATGTTACGAAATTTGGTCCCTTGCATATCAAAATGAACAATACATGAGACAGGGTGCGCTAAACATTTTGTGAGGGCTTTAGCGCCTGTCGTCATTTTCCGGATGATCTATATTGAAATTCTAGAGATTCATAGTTGATATAAAAATGACACCGCGGAGGTTGCAAGAAAAATGGCAAACATTAGTTATAAATTCTTTAAGAAAGTGTGCCCACCTGACTGGATCCTGACTGCATTAACCTCACGCTCTTCTTCCTTTCGCCTGAAGTTCAAATCGATTTCTCCTTTCATGTATGCATAATACCTACGGGCCAGCCATCCTCTGATGTCTATGAATATCAAAAAATGTCCTGATAACATGAATACTGAATTTTTTTGGTTAATAAACGCTTCAGCTGGGTGTTCTGTTATCACAAAGATAAAGACAGAAATGAGCTTACTCACGTTTTTGCACAAAGATCACATGCTTCACATATTCTCGTTTTTCTTTTTTGAATCTAACTTTGTACAACCAAGCTTTAACATCTACAATAGCAAAAGAATCACGATAAAGAGAAACGACAGATGTATAAAGTTCAACGAAAACTGAGCAGAGACTTTTCAACCTTGGCATCATTAATAGACAAAAAAGTATAAAAGTATTACTTTCTATGACAAAAAGGCCTGAGGTTCAAATACACGTCCCTCCTACTCAAAGTTGATAAACCTCCGATTAAAATAAACATGGCCTAGATTTCAATGAGGGCAAGGGAGGTTGGCATTTGGATATCAATTGATATACCCTTATTATTGAGATACCCAAAAAATATCAATTGAGATACTCTTAAGCTAGCATTGGTTCGTATGCTAGTCTCACACATTTCCCCAGGATTGTAGCTAGGTTGCAAGAAACATTTTTTATGGTAATTGATACAAAAGTAAACGATGAACAAAGCTATAGACAGGGAAGGACCGCCCCAGGAATGGAATTGAGCGAATGATGTTGCGAGGAAATCATCAATGAGCAGGTTTGTTGGCCTTATGAACCCCCTTCCTAAAAAAATCACACATACACGAGGGAGTGAAATAAAAATTTGCTATTAAATTCCTATGAGCCTAACGCACATTTCCAGAAAGAGCAAATATGCGATCTCAAGTCTTGTGAAAGTCAAAATAAAATCTTCAAAATAAAGTCAAAAAAATAAAATCAAAAAGGCAGCATACATCTTTGCACCCTGACAGCATTTCGTCTGTACTGTTCCAGAAGTTCAGCAAGCTTCGTTATTTGAAAATATTTCAAGAAAACCTGCAAAAAATATTAAAATAAGAAAACTTGATAATTTTGTTGATGATACTGCACTTTAAAGTGTTAAAAATTGTCGTCTTAAATTAATATAATCAAAAATAGTGAGATTTTTTTGACAATCAATGGAAGTTTTGAGCTAATAACATCTGGCAGTCCATTAGTGAAAACAGGCTTTCCATTACTGATGAAAATCGAAGCACGAATAATTACCTTTGTTTTTCCGATTCTCCAATCCGTTTCCATGCCAGAGTTTTTAAGTATGTTTCGACAAGTGTTTGCGTCACGTGGGGGATCTTCATCAAGATGATAGACCAGGCATTTGTACCTAAAAGATTGTGCTCTGTATTACTATTTGTTTCAGAAAATGACATTAAGGCACAACTGCAAAATGTTGATCTTTCCTATTTCCAATCGAGATTTTGTTGCTCAAGGTGATTTACACTGCATAAATTTTGCAAAGTTTGGTTGTATAGCAACTTTTTTAAATTTCATTTCAAATTTCATAAAAAAAACACTTTGATGAAAATCATCCAAATGCTAACACGGCTATGAATTAATAAATTTGGTCAATAAAACTTGTCATAAAAGTACAATAGTTTTTTATAGTAATGTTTTTGTCATAACCGTGAACATCTACGATTAATGCATGAAAGAACATAATCAGAGCTGCAGGGAATTTTAAAGATTAGATTTTTGTAATGCCAAGTTGGTCATTTAAAAGCAGTGTGTCCATAGGAATGACGCTGCATGCAAGAGGGCTAGAACTACTGATAAAATGCTTACATGAACCCAACCCACCAACCTCCCTCCTTCCCCTAAAAACATGCAAGTAAACACTAAATTTTAATGTCATAAAGACCGTTTAAGAACATATGGGCGAAGTTTTCCCAAAAAGCTCAAACATGTGACAGATTGTTTACTTGACAACGTGAATGCATGAATGAAAGCATGTCTTACCGATGAACAAAGTCTCCAAATGGAATTCTTTCAGAATATCCCTATAGAAACGACAAAAACAAGTGAATCATTAACCAGAATGACCAAGCAAACACCTGTGTGATGGAAATTATATTTGTACACAAACTGGCAACAAAATTAATTGATTGCAGGGGAGGGAACCAAATCGAGACCTGTCGCATTTATTCAAAGATTGAACATATCATATGGAAATATTTAATTATGTATTAGGTGAAAGGCAGTCATGGCTGCATCATCTTGTTACCATCAACAAAGTGGTACCACAAAGATGAATCACAATTTATCAAAGGAATGATGATATGGGATTCAAGGTACACGAAAGGCTAAATAAAGACAGTAGGCAGTTGAAAAAAAGACAAACATAAGAATGAATAGATGACAAAAACGAACAAAAAGTAGCAAATTTTGAGCTTTTAACGCAAAAATTCTCCATAAATTATTTGCAAAAATTTCTGTTTCAAAATTAACTAATTAACACAAAAACAAATTAACTAGCAAAAAACAAATGATTCAGGAAAATATTTTGAATTTGTCAACAAATTCTTATCCCAACGTACAATTTGGCTTCTTTAAGAAAAAAAATGACAGATGTGTAATGAAATCTTTTCAAACTTGAAATTAATCCGAATCAAGGATTTTTGATAGCAACCAAAGAAATTAGCAGTTCGTATATCTAGTAATGAAACCTGTACATGCTAGATCCAGGGCCTTGCGATCGCATTGAGCATGAAACTTGGAGTAGCTATTCGAAAACATCCTGTTCTACAAACCATATTGCATTCAGATTACACAACTCCTTATATTACTTTGAATGTCTTTTAGAAACAAATGCTTCAAGCACCGTCCTTTTATATAAGAAATTGCGAAAATACTTGTAACAAATGGCTTACTAGGTAAGACTTTGATATGCGAGTATTTTTGGCATCATACAACCACATTATTATAGTTGTGGAAGGTTCAGAACTATTTTAAATAGCCATTTTTACTCATGTACTGTGAGAATAAATCAAAAAACAAGTAAAAATTGATAGATAATTACCTGGCGACGAATTTGCGATGTTTCCAAAACGCCAGTGTATCGCAGCTGAGTTGTCACTTTCTGGTCATCAAATACGTCAGGGATATTTTTAGAATTAGGTCGAATACAGCGAATGAAGTGTGGGTCAGCATGAATCATTTTGGCCATCAGAGAGCGCAGTGAGTTCTGCGGGAAAAACAAGGATCTATTGGTATGCAATTAATTTCAAATAAAAAACCCTAAAATGACGTACATCGTGTAATGTAAATACCTAGGTCAACTGACAGTTAACACGTATCTTTATCGTCTGTTTTTATTGTTTAAAATTTGAAGGTTTACTGAAATGACTAGGCCTTTTAGAAATACATTCTTGTCAAACATGATTGGACGATGAAATATCGCATTCATTGCTATACATCTTCTAAAAGCCGGTCTGATAAATTACATCAAACTGAAGGAAAAGAGAGGTTCAAAAATTCACAAAAAATGCAATTAATTCAAAGACCGCAACCTAGTTTATAAATACATAACAAAGCTTATAAAGCTGATGAGCTCAGCTGAAAACTTTTAAAAAAGAAGAAAATTTATTCCGAAACTCACTCGAAAGTGCAGAGACATTGTCAAATGAAGTTTACTTGTAGACATATCCCGCACAGCTCGTTTGTTCTCCATGAAATCAGCCTAAGAAATAAATAATTATCTAGTTAAGATAAAAAGGAACCCTGTAAATCATTGTACTAAACTTTTTCCTTATCTGTCAACAAGTTTCCAAAGGATTGAAAAACTTGACATTTGTTTTAAAGTATAAAAACTCAGAGCTGTGTCGCCTATCACCCTGTTTTAATTAGCTTTAACTGGAAAGCGAAAAGAAATATAGTAAAACCTCCAAAGACGAACACTTTCAACTAACAAACACATCTCCTACAATGGACATCATCTTATAGCGGACATCACCTTATAATGGAAATCTCTCTTCAACGGACATCTTTATAAAACATACACATCTCTCTACAAGGGACGTCTCCTTACAACGGACATCTCCCTACAACGGACGTCTCTCAACAACGGACACTTCTCTTGTCGATACATGGAAAGAGAACCCTTCAAGTTCTTTGACAACAATCGGTTTTGGTGATTACAAAATACCTGAATGTCTTTCAGCTATATGCAGAAAACAGCACACAGGGCGATTCAGGAAGAAAAGTTCATAAAATAAGAAAGATTTTCAAACAGCTTTCAAAGCAGGGGAGCCCTACGAGAATCGGGCTTGTTTTAGGTCAAGTCTCTACGGTTTAATTTTGCCATTTGTTAAATGATATTACATGAAAATAGACCTTGGGGCATACAATTTCCTTTTAAAACAAAACAGCACCAAAATTAGAATCCTTTTTCTGCAGGGACCGAATCGCAACAACAGAGAAACTCACAAAGACATAGGTCCTCACCTTGAAGCCGTAAGAATCGTTGGAGGAGATGCTTCCACGACGTTTGCTGTCATCTAAAACAAATATGACTTCTTACATAAAAAGTCTGGAAAAACCTTTGCCTTTGAAACTTGCCTCTGCCTTTGAAACTTGTTATTCAACAAGACCGTATGCGAACGAAAAAATACACCGAGAAGAAGTCTTTAAGAAGAAGATTCGGCATGATCAACTTTGATGATCTACTAAGTCAGGAGGATAGCCCCCACATATTTTATTGAAAACCCAAATTCAGCCAACGAAAAGGTTCTAGTTAACATTTTTCCAGAATTACTTTTTTCCTAGTTTTGGATACAAATCAATTTTTCATGTACACATTTTTTTATAACACCTCTGGAGGGACCATTGTGAAAACAAGATCGTATTGACCTTGTTAATGCTTTCCCAGCCATTTTTAACCTGGGGTGTTTTTAGTCTATATTTTTAACTTTTATCTGTAAATTTTATATATCTGTAATTAGATCTTTTTCTTTTTCTTAATTTTAAATTGTAATTTATTTGATGGCAAAATTATACATACATACATACATACATCAATTCGACGATAATGTAAACAGACGTACAGGACACACTCATTACAGATTTTGTTTATAATATTCCAAAGGGGGTGTCACAACCCTCACGGCCCACTGTATCAAGGATAATTTTTCTAATAATGGGCAACAGTGCGATACATTTAAGAAGGAGGAATCAGAATTACCGGCTGAATCGATCGATCCTTGAAATATAGTTCGAACCAGTCGATCATCTACAAAACAGTAAAGGCACAAATCATCAAAGAGAATGCCAATGACATAAGGACTGGCTATCATTATATTTATCATTAGTCATTCAATCTTGCTTACTAGCATAATGCCAGCCTAAATTCACTTGCTAAAATCCTGGACAGAGCTAGCATCCAGCATCTAAACCTCCCTTCCTCCAAATACCCTTTTTAATATTTAACATGTGGGAGAGGGATGCAAAATCTCAATAGAGTCTGACTGGGATCGTGGTTTTGCACTTTTTGCTTTTATCAATCATTTCTGATCGACCCCCCCCCCTCCCAAATACAACCCCTTATAATAGAACCAAAAAATCATCTTCTTTGTGCAGTTAGAGCCAAAACATCTGCTACATGCAATATCCTAAAGAGCACAATTTGTAATGAAGAAAGGTTTCAAAGCAGGTTATTTGGAAGTATGAAACTTTTCATGAATGTAAATGGCCAACAAGTAACATTGGAAACTCTGTTTGTAGGAAGTAAGGAAAAGCCCATTCAAAAACGTTACTAGACCAAGGTTGATTGGGAGCAGGTGCTTTGAGAACGTGGGAAGATAAAATAGCGGACCTTGTGTTCGAAAATTACAATATTTGCAGCTAACTCAATAGGAAGCTAAAAAAAGCAAAAAGTAATCAGATAGCAGATGAAATGATCAAAGTTTTTACTACCGCTAGTTCTCAAGAGCTGCATTACATCAGAAGACAGCGTATCTCTGTTTTTCTCAAGGAAGCCAGCTGCATCGTATGTGACCTAAAGAGTGAAATTTGAGTGAGAAAATACCTAAAAGTATAAGTACACACTATAATATAAATTATGGATGGTAATATAAGGTTGTAATCTAAATGGCTGTGCTTAAAAACTCGGACAAGAAGAATTGAACTTTTGCTTGAACAGCAAACAATACGAATGCTAGGTTCTCATGACCATCTCGGTTTGGCTGTTCATTGAGATCCAGCATCGGTAGCATTGTTACAGGCATGGGATTTTCGCTAAAAAGTGTTTTGCATTGAAATTTGCTAAAAGTAAGAGAGCAGTTTAAAAAAAATGGAAGACAGATCTAGAAATCACTTCAGAGCCTTAATTCATAACCAAAACACCCATAACAATAAATATTCAGCCAGAATCCCAAGAATCAGACAGAGGCAGGTTAAAAAGGTTTCTGATTTTAAGGTTCCAGGATTTACAGCGAACTTCTGACAGCCTTTGCCAAATAGACTTGCTCCTCCTTTTTAACCAAAAACTAACAAGATTTCATCTTGACATTTAACCGTGAAAAATTTCAGGTTTCTTGTAAACAGATCTATCTTATTAAAAATTTATTTTCTGTAATATTTTATTTTGATGTTTTGACACTTTAAATTATAATGTTTTATGTTATATTCTGAGGAGTACCAGACGAAAAAGCATCCAATGTGCTGTAAGATATTTGCTTTTTTCAAAGCCATTTTCAAATAATTTATTTTGAGGTGTCGCAGCTTTTAGATACAAGGCCCTCACTGATAACACTCGGTATTTTGAAGAGATTATCCTGTTAAAACATTGTTATTTTCAGTTTGCTATTTTGAATTAGTTAAATCCAACCAAACATGCTAGTTGTGAGTGACACTTTATTTAATAATGACAATATAAAAAGTAATTTATTTAAATACAAAAAATGAACAACACAGTGAGGAAGGACGTTTCAAGCATGTACTCGTTGTCAACAAGGTATCATGACTCATGACTTGACGAGTACATGCTCGAATCGTCGTTTTTCACTATCTTTTTAGCTTTTGGTTCTCAAACCATTGACCTACTATATTGCTGTTCTTGGTTTGTATTGTAGTCATGTCAATACAAACTACCTGTGATAAGTGAGGTTTGTACTTGCTTTTAGTGGTATCAAAATGAAACTTTCTTGATTATGGATTATTTTTTTGACCTCTTTTAAAGAAGAAAAACTTCAATTTCAGGAGCGTGAGTAGTTCGCATGATAGGTAACGCGTGAGCCTGAAAAGTAACGACTTCCGACCAAAACAGCATAGGTTGCCCACTTTGGTTTGCAACTGTGATTGTGTTAGAAATCTACTCGTGTTTAAAATCAATCAAAGCACCAAAATTTAACGCATTGCCACATCTATGAGCCGTATTTAGAAAGTTGTAGAAATTTTCAAAATCCCTGAGAAATCAACTCAGAGCAGATATTAATGACCAATTTCTACAATATAACAACATTTGACAGTTTAACGGATATTATATAACTTTAACAAGAGTAAGTAAATACTCTAAATAATGCTAAAAATAAAACCTATCGATTACAAGATGTTTTGCTTATATAGAAAATGAATATTTGGTGTTTTCGTTATTGCTATAAATAATCTAAAAATTTAATGCAGGAATTGAGAATCAATTCTTTAGAAAAACAGTTTGTTATTCTGGGGCATTCAGATACAGGGAAGAATTGCATAACTTGGTGACGTGGATTCTAAAAATCTCAAAAAGCGGAATGCAAACACTGCACATATTCCACTGCTTTTATCTTATACAATATGCGACTGATGCGGCGTTTAAAGCAGGCCTAATGAGCAGGCTTGGAATTAGTGTACTTTCCTTGATTCCTCATTCTTTCATAGCAGTTGTTCACAAAGTCAACTGAGCTCCTTCCATCGTGCTTCTGATATATGTGTGTTACGCCCCCCCCCCCCTCCTCAAGGGCTGATTTTACCTATTAAGATATTATTCGTAGGCAAATAAACATACCTGTCCGGCGTAATGATTAATCACAAAATTTGATGTCGAGTCCTTCGGTTTGCGAAAGTAGCCTTTACTCATGTTGTCGCAGAATTTTTCTGTCAAAAAAAATACATTTCAGAAATTATTTAAAGCTACTTTTTGGCAGTTAGAATGGATTCTTGTTAATGTGTCATGAATAAACTAACTTAAATTTATCCCTACTTTTGTTACTATTTTTAGATAAGACAATCAGCACTTATGCAAAGTCGATATTCATTCAAATTGTTTTAAAATAAGCTAATTTCACCTCTTCGTTAACAATTGTTTGGAATAGCTATCAATTAGTTTGCTTACAGACAACCGTGAAACAGTAATTCCCTCATTTGTCTTTGCACTGACTATGTTCCAAGAGCAAAAATTCTCAAAGTTATAGATTACTTGCCTCTAAAAATACAGCAAAAGAAATTTTACAAAAACCAGTTAGAGTCTATTAATAAACGATTAAAATCAGGCCAAAAAGAAGTATTTTAGGCCACTTAAATAAGCGCCATGTGAACTATAGTTATCAAAAATTATTCATGTTTAAATGATACAAAATAATTCCAATTTATATTTTTAGTGCAGATATCAAGTGATAAAACACAATGAAGACCCAAGTCAATCTAAAATGATGGTATACATATTATTTTTAGAGCAACTATCAAGTTCAAATTTTATAACCTAAACCCTAAATTTCTAAAAGAATGAATTAAACCCACCTGGGCACAGCTAGAAAACCTAGGATATTATATACAGGCTTTTGCTGATGTCTCTTTAGGTCTGATAAAGAATCTCGGAAACTGAATTATAGACGATCCAAAAATTAAGAAGATGAAATTCTTACCAACAAGAGACAGCACTGTAGCTCTTGGGAAACGACTTTCTTCATCTAACAAAGCAAGAATGCCCATCGGTCGCTACAAAAAGAGAACACAAACACTGGCATTGGAAAATGTTAAATATTGGCATGAAAAAAGACCCCAATTAATATTATTTGCTCGAACGTTCAAAAAATACCCTGAGTAATTTCTAGGACGCAACTAAATTCTTTATTTAAAACAAACTTTTCGCTTGTCGACCATAAACATACTGCATTTTCTTTCCAATAAATAACTGTAGTTTAAATAACGATGCTTTTAAAGTACAATACTTTTACAGCATTAAAATTGCAGTTTTTGACAAAAAGAAATTTGCGAATTTTTTCTGCATATCAGGGCTACTTAAAAACAACCATATTTTACAGCTTTTTCTGAGCAGATTAACCACTTCGCAATACAACATCTATCCGACCTAAAAACTTCAATGAGGATAAAAAACATACCTGTAAAAACATTTCCAAAATGGCTCTATTATTTTGAAATGTGATGGTCTCAAGTGGTATGCCTTCACTGGCATATTCCTCAAACTCCCATTCAAACACGTGCTGGTTGAAATAGAACTGGAGCTGTTCGTTTGCTATGTTGATGCAAAGTTGTTCGAAAGAGTTCTGATCAAAGTTTTCGAAGCCAAAAATGTCCAGAATACCAATTTTCTTATGAATCGTCCTAGGGCTAAATTCAATAAAAACATCAATCGCAGTATTTTACCCATTTTGTGAATAAATTTCAATTATAAATCCTTACAGTTAAAACATACCAGCTAAAAATTCAATCCCATACTTCCAAATCTCCAATGAATAAAATATATGCAATATGTCTATGAGGATACTTGTGGGTTACCCTGTACAGCTACCGACACAAAGCTATTCCACAAATATCATTATAATTTTACATTTTGGTATCTTTTCGACTTTGCTGCATACAAATAAAGATATGAGCTTCAGTTACCTCGTTATATCATCTGCACCTAAAAGTATGTTAATTCTTTTGACAATCCAGCTGAATAATCGACTGTACAAGGCCTGAAATGACAAAATATTACGTCATCCATTGGTTTCGAGAGGAAACTCAAAAAATTAGACTTGTAGTGTTTATGAAACTCAAAGTCATAGCTTCGTTCTATAACAGCAAAAGGAGGGTGATGGTGGGAACTATTTTACCAGACCTACAACTCCCACTTCACCCCCCCCCCCCCTCAAGGCTAAATAAATGAAACCCTGGAAAATAATGAAATAATGTAAGCAAATAATCAAAAATTCACAAGATACTTAAGGGGTAAGAAACAGGATCACAATGGAAAAATGCTTGAACACCCCTAAACCTATAAAAGCTCCACTTGTAAATAATATCTTCTACCAAATAAATAAATAAATAAATATGCGTGATCTTGAACTCGTCAGATTGTGTAATCTTTATTGCTCTTTAAAATGGAGACCACGACACCGATAAAAAATGGGTCTTAAGAACGGGAAATATCCCCTTCCATTTCAACGACACTTACTTTTGCAATGGCATCTCGGCAGTCGCTGCTCTGCTCAACATTGTTGTATCGTAGAATAGTTTCGCCTGAAGGAAAAAAGTTAAATTTGAAAACCAAATACTGCAGGTCTATGTCAGTCGCCTTGAAGATAAGCTACCTTGACACATTTGGTTATTGCCTCCATTTTCTCATTTTATCTAAACGTTTATCAAACAAAACCTATGACTTAAAACTTTTTCGCAATTACGCTTCGGGACATACAATCTAAAATGACAGAATATGCAGCCTTGTATCAATAGAAAAAATAGTGAGGAAGTCTGAAAAAGAAAAAGCCTTTCAAATTAAATTTGTTTTGGAGACAGGAAAGAGGAACGCTGGCTTTGCTTTGGAAACAGGTCTGCTGTAGCGTCAGTAAAGTGAGGCAGGAGCGAAACAGAGGCTAATGGAGTAAGGCTAGAATGCCCAGAGGGTAAAAAATAGACGAACCTCGAGTCACTGCACTTGCTGACGTGATTGCATCTGAAAGGTCTTCAGGGCGGACACAGAGTAATGAAGCCACTGAAAAACATGACACGGCATTTATGGTCGGCGATTTGATGCATATACAACAGCTTAACAAAACATTGACAAATAAAAGGAGCAAAATATAAAGACAAAGGTTGAGTTATACAAAATGATGTCACTGTGAAGATACAATAACTAGGTTGCTTTAGAAGCATAAAAAAAGCTTCGTTGTCGAGTGACTGAAAGAATCGTAAGGTGACATGGATACAAAAAGCTTCAATAATATCTCAAAACGTACGAAAATCAAATAAGCAAAGAATACAGGAAATCTAGAACTTAATGTAGACAGTCTTATGTGTGGTGTGTGAGAAAGCAATAGATAGACCTATGAGACAAAAAGTAATATGTGAAATGGTTCAAGAAGTCGAATCAGGGGATCGTTGAATAAAATTCTTTCTAGATAGAAAAAAAACGCGATGTTAAACATAACTTTAATTTCATTTTATTGACAAACGGTCTGATTTCACCGCTTTGTCTTCACAGTTTTATTAAAAAGCCAATGATTTGTGATTTGCAAAGTTTCTTTTATTCAACATTTACTTTATAAGTTCTTTCATATGATTGAAAAATTTGAGACAAAGAAATCGTATCGCAAATTAAACTCAAGAAGGTTAATCAGTCTGGGAAATGTTTCCCTAAAAGAAATCCTGTGGCATGGGAATATATCTCGAGAATGGAGAAATCATGTTTACTTCCTTTTAAAGATAACGTTATAACCGACATTGTATCTGCAGTTATGTGAAATGCAATTGAGCTTGTCCCCATAATCCCACGAAAATGAAACGATAATTAAATGGTTTACAGAGAGATTTCAAAGCAGAAAGGCAGCAACCGCCAGCAACAGTCAGCAATCGACGATTGGTGACTCATAAATTTTAGAGAAAACCAATAATTATTCATTCATTTTGTGATCAAACTCTTTCCTTTGCTTCTTGCTCTCAGAAAATTTTGCTTTAATACAAGGCATTATTTTTTCTAGTTAAGATAAGCATTTTGTAGACAACCACTGGTAATTTTTATAATTTGAAACGGTTAAAATTCTGTAACTTCTTTGCGCTTTATCTGATCATAAAATGTAAAGATATTTTATAACGGACAACGTCAATGCTAATTTTTGTCTTTCCAAGTAGCAAAAAAAGTAACCAAAGTTCCTTATACTAGTAAAAGGAGGTAAAAGGAACTTTAGTTACTATTTTTGCTAAAAGGAACTTTAGTCCTTAGCCTAGGTCATCCTCAACAAAAAAACCTGTCGACAAGATTAGCATAAAATCCTTAAGCTACATAAAGAAAAAAACCTGAAACTTACGAAATGAAGGAGAAAATTTTTACATAAAGCTATTCACTTCTTTTTACCAAGGGAACTATTTTACTTGACAGTTAATAGCAGCCTTCTGCTTTACTTCGCAATTAAACGGAAGATTTATCTACTTGTTGATTCATTGTAAGAATGAGGCATTACCTGTGTTGAGTATTTCTGTGTTCTGAACAGATCCTCTTTCGCCATGATGTGTCATTGACATTGAATCATCGGCTACGATTTCGATGTCTCCAAGGTGTATTACAGCAGCTAAAATGCAGTACAGACTCTGGACCTCCTATGACGTATGAATAAAGATTAAAAGGTTAACCAAGAAAAAGTAAAGGCAGAAACTGATGACTTGCCAACAAAATTTTGTTATTTGCCATTCGCGCATTTCAGAATTACCAGTTTTCAGAAAGTTGCATTGAAATGACATTTTGAAAATGTGAATGAAAATCAGGATGATATAAATATGGATTGACTAATAGGCCCGTACCTCTTGCGAGAATCCGATGATATCGAAACATTTTTGAATTGCCAAAAAATGTTCTTGCATTTGAGGAGTACAGGCAAATTGATCCAATGTTTTGTCATCTGTATTTAAGTATCTACAAAAAAGAATTCGAATGGTACAATGTTTATAAATTCCAAAAAAATTTCCGCTCACAAAACAGGCAAATAAAACAAAGCAGTTGAAAAGGCATAATAAGAAAACAAAGGAGGGAAAGAACCAAGAGGAGGAATAAAAAGAAGAGAGAAAAAGAAGAAAAGGAAAGATCTGGGAAAAAATGAAGGCAAATATGGAAGAAAAGAAAGGAAGAAACAGACAATAACAGAGTGATGCTAAGAAACAGTGGGTTTTGAGGTGACAAATGTGATGTCTGTTCTACACCCAAATGCATGGATAAAGCAACTATCGGTTTTTTGTCTGACATACCCTTAATTTCGTAACTCAAAAGTGATAGTAAGGATGCCCTTAAATGCTAAAAGTTCACTGCAGCAATGAAAAGAGGGGCGAATCACTCCATGAAAATCTTATGCACCTTTGGTAAAAATCGTATTGTTTTATCTGTAAATCTGTGGAAAGCTTACACGCTATCTGCATGAGTGAATTGCCCCCTAGCATGATACATCTTTTTAACGGAGCCATTGACTTTGAATCGACGTTAATAACTACGACGATCAAGGCTACAATGAACAATGTCCCGGCACGCAACAACTTTAAGAAAGTATTTGTCATATGACTGTTCCCACTCTTGCCACTGTGTGAGTAAGGGCTTCATGATTTCCTGTTCAATAATAGTCTGGATTTTGTTTCATTTCTTTTCGTGATCAACTCGAGCAAAGGATTCATGTGGTTTGCTGAAACCCACGCACGAATCCCATTTTGATTAATCATCGAGGATATGGTAATAATTTTCCTCTTTAGAGAATCGTGTAGTATAAAAGAGTATGCTTTCCTTTGAGTCACCGGTTATTACTATGATAATCCAAAATTAATGAGAAAAATTAAGCTTCGGTTATCCAGTTAACAATCAGTTCTTATGGAGGATTGCTGACTACTGGCTCATATATTATTTCGGTTAATTTTCACAAAATCTGTTCTACTATCACTTATTTCTTCCCAAGCCTATCAAGTTGTGTAAAATGCCCCCCCCCCTGGTGTGGGAAACCCTCTCTTGCAGCAGTGCGGTGAATGCTGCGATGGGAACTCTGCGCACTTCGTTAAGGAGTGACCGCAGCTCAGCTGGTAGAGCAACGGCATACAGTGTCACTAGCCCTGTCCCTATCGTTTCATTTTACCACATTTTCTCTCCGTTTATTCAAATAATGCTTTGAAAACTTTGCAGACAAGAAGAACTGATTGTTTGTCCTGCATATTCAAAAATGTGCCTTTTCTGCCACCCAGGAAACGATCATTTTTTATATTGCCCTTTTTTCAGCCCTGGTGTTGTTGCATTTATGTGAAAAGCTCTCCTGTGAAAAATCATGGGTGAGCTGGGATTCTGAATCCGGGGAAAAAACTAAATTTAAAAAAAACAAACCTGTGCTGGTCATTCGAGTTTAAATCAAAACTTCCAAGCTTTCGATGGTAGTCTAATCCCGCGATGAGATAGTATAGAATATGGAAATTGCGTTCACCCCTGTAAAATCAATAAAACGACAAAAGTTATTACAATTGCAATATGATATAGAGCAATATACAAGAATTTCAGATTAAACTACAAGGTAGAAATTTCTGGCCTAGCTTGATCTTTCAGGGTAGTGATGAAAAAGAAAATCTATTGAGGAAGAAAAAGATGAAGAAAAATGCAGGTGCTATTTCAACTATCATCCGGCAATTTAATACACCAGCTAATGATGATGCGGACCAACTAGGGATTTACTGACCAACTCGTGAAAAATTGTGGGTTGTAACACACCCAACACCCTCCGTTAGCTATCCCCAGCTTTTTTCCATGCCTAGGCCGAAAGAATGCTTGTATAAAAGTGTCTGCCAAGCTTCTACCAATATCATTACTGGCTGAGCTTCTACAAACAACATTACCAAAAAGGCAGAGGAGTTGAAGAAAATTGAGTTGCCGTGTCTGAGTGCAGCTAAAAGGCAACACGAAGGAGCACACTCGTCAATGTCATAAATCAAAACAGCGCAACTCAACAACAAATACCTCTTCACGTTAACATCCGAATTCATCTTTGAATTGCAACTGGAAAACATGGGCGGTGCCAGAGAGGGGCGGTGCCAGAGGGGGTGGGGCTGGGGGCTTCAGCCTCCCCACTTTTTTGCAAAAAGTGTTTTTCAGAAATAAAAAGAATAAAAGAAAAGAAATAGAAGAAAAGAATAGTGCGATAAACCCTTCTATTGCTTAATTTCAAAGGAATAAGCCGAGGTCTACTGGGCCTTATAAAGCAATGAATTCCATTTGAAGGCTGGAATTAATCAAACGTACTAAAAGCATGCCTTAAAAATAACAAAATATTTTGAATGATTGCAAGAAAATGACTGCAAGAATTATTCTGAACTTTAAGCTAATCTAAAGGACGTGGTTGCAAAATAATTGTCTGCTCGCTTCGCTCGCAGGGAGTTCTATTCTTTTGGGTACTTCTAGAGCCTCCGAGAACTTCTGGCCACCCCCCTTTTAATGTACAAATAGCATAACGATTGCCCTTTGAGATCAGAGGCCTTAAATATCGTTAATCTTAGTGCGTTTTTCAAAAGTTGGTTTTTTAGTCTAATAATGCTATCAACTCGAGCGAGCCCCCCCCCCCCCACTTTGAATTTTTTTGGCGCCGCCACTGGAAAAGAAAAATAAAGTTCCTTTTTTGGTTGACTGACTGAAGTCAATAGATATGAGATACGTCTTATTTAAATTAATTAAAACTGTTCATTGTAAAGGAAATCAATATTTGACTTTACTTGCCTTGCTTGATGAACAACTCTTGATTTTTCAAGAAGAAATTCGCTAAGTTGAGCTAAAAAGGAAATAAACAAAGATCTAGATTTAGGGCTTTCGTGTTGAATGTATAATTCTAACGACCTAGTAAAGAATATAATGAAGACAATTATGAAACAAAGGCAATGATAGTGATGAATATTGCTGTTAATCTTGCAAAAAGTTCAGTACGCATCATGTATTACCTTCTCCGCAATGACAACAAAGCTTGGACTTGCCAGAGCTATTTTCTTTTTAAATTTAAAACATTTTTCGCTTAAACTCCAAAGAGTGTTGGACGAAAAAAATATATTTCCGCTTTCTGAGCTATTTTCAAATTAAAATTTTTTATTAGCTATAATATTAGGATTGTAGTAGTGTGATTTGGTGATAAGAGGTTAGGGAGTTACAGATTATTTATGAAATAAAGAGATCGAGAGATCTGTAATCGTAGTTTGATTTGAACTGAGAACTAACACTTTCATGATTAAAGATGATGACGAAGATGATTGATGGTGATTTATGGTGATTTATGGTTATTTTTATGATTGATGCTGATTGATGATTATTGATGATGATTTACGGTGATTTTTGATGATCGATGCTGATTGATGCTGATTGATGGTGATTGATGATGATTGATGCTGCTTGATGATGATTAATGATGACTGATGGTGATTTATGATTACTTGTGATGATTTATGATGATTTATGATGATTGTTTGATTATTGATAATGGTAATGGATACTATACCTTCAATCAGATCTCCAGTATGCGTAAAGCTCAATTCAAGAAATTTCCCAAATCTGCTCGAGTTTTCGTTTATATTAGTAGCTGCATTTCCAAATGCTTCCATCAGTGGATTGACCTATTGGCATAGAAATTACAAGGGTCAAAATATTTCTTAAATCTGCACATCGTGCGAAGATATCAATTTGGCCAGGAAAAGATCACAGCAATTATGGTTTACCAGAAGCAAATTAAAAAGCCAGAAGTAAAAGGATAAGGAACTTCAACTAATTTCGGTTTCCTGAAACCAGTTATTGGTCTGGCGTAAACATGAAAAAGAATCACTATTCATATGAAAAATAAACACGAGATTTAGGAGGGAATGGGAAAGGTTAAATTTCAGATATCTTATATGTACAATTTGTTTGGAATATGAACAGTTCAATAAACAGTTTCCATAAACAGTTCAATAAAAATAAGTAATGTATGAGAGTCACATCTAAGGATGATCCATAATAAGCATGATCGATTGAGGAGGATTCATAATTTTATTGCGTACACAGGACCCTGTTATTCATGCACGCACAATCTCATGAGTTTGTTAGTTTTTGAATAAAAAGCGATATGGTTAACTTACTTGCAGGATTTTGCTGACCAAGGCAGGGTTTCCATGTTTGCTTAATGTAGCTAGTTGCTCAACAAGTAGTTGGATGTTACAGTTTTGCCCGCGCCACTTTCTCCACTTATAACACAACACTGGAATGTCATCAAAATGTAAATTAGGGATGTAAAAAGCTGGAAATAAAGAACTACCAGAAAGCATGTATCATACAGCGTTTTATATAATGTTAACTTTGAGCTTTTTTTAACAATGATAGTACATTCAAAGTCGCCTGTTCTACATCCGTTTTTATTTTCAATTGTCAATCCAAAAAACATTTTAAGAGTTTGCAACTAATTTCGCAAATTATACGTGGCATAGCCAGTTTAAAATATCTACAAAAGAGGTAGCACCCCTTTTTTATCAAGATTACTTTAAATCAGCCAGTTACTGGCTTCACCTTTCTTATAATATCATTCTGTCATTAATTTAATGCTCGAGTAATAATCAAAACCCGTTCTTTCTTTTGGTTATGAAAGGCAAGGATTATGCAGCAGTTGTTAGCTTATTAAGAAAGGATCTCTAGTTTTGCTATGATGCTGATATTGAATATCTTGTCGGCGGAAAGAGAGATCAGATTAAAACCAACAAGTTCCCTTTAAATTCTCCTAAAGTATCTCCTAGGGGTATTTTGAGATCCTTGTGTAATTTTCTTGAATAAGTTTTTGGTAAAATGCATTTGAGTCTCACCTGATTCTTGTTTTTGTGAAGAACTGCCAAATGAGCTGACCTTGCAACTTGATAAACATGGGGTCGCAACCGCTTATCATTCAGTGCTTGATACTGCCTGGCAACCTGTTGTTAAAAGAAGATTCAACAATGAAGATTCAACAAACAGGGACACATCCTCATTCTAGAAACGCTTCACATACAAGTTCGGTAGGATAGCAGTGCAGCGTCAATTCAACACATTGGAAGGCTTGGCTAATAATAGGATGGGAGATAAGGAAGTAGGAAACATAAAAAAGATAGAGAAAAAAGGTAGGGAAAGCCAAAGGCCAGAAAAATAAAAATAAATGGCAAAGAACATAGAAGCTGAAGTTATATGAAACATTGGGATTAGGGATAGCCACTGAAGGAAGGATGCACAACGAGGTAGGCAGCGATCCGCAAAGAAGACAGAAGAGAGAGATGGATAGAAGATAGATAAATATTTAACATGGACTAAGCTAGCACAAGGAAAGATAAAATAATGTGAATTAAATACTTTGAAATAACATAATAATAAGATCCTTTTTACAGAGACTCAAATTCCCCTAAGGACTCTTTCACTCTAGGAATGTACACGATTCAGCTGCAAAATGAAGCTCATGATAATATGAAAAAATTCAAAAACGCAGATTTCCATCTCCCTAAAGATTTTAACATAACAACAAACAATTCATCTTGCAAAGCGACAATTCATTTTTTGAAATATTTAACTTATAAGACGATAATTATTGTTTCGTGCCTACTACATGTTTGAGCACAGATAAAAACAAAAGTGGGACGATCAGTCCGAGACAAAGAAGAAAGCTATTGGTATTTGAAATAAATAACAAAGAAAAAACAAAACATAACAGATATCTTTCTACAGCTTTTGTCATGATTGCATGAAAAAGAGTAGCTTGGTAAAAAATACAGTGACTGCATTTTCCCGGGTCAGTAGAGCGGAAATGGAGAGTGGTTATGACAACAACCTCTTCTTTAAAACCGCTATAAATTGTACAGTTTAATTAAAAAAGGTATAATATAATTGTAAAAGAAAAAAAAGTTTAGACATAAAGAATGACAATTCATCTTAAATTTGTCTAGTTCAACAATACATGGAAACGACTTTAGACTGTTAAACCGTGCTTAAAATTGAATCTTTATTACTCCTGGTTACACACCTTTTCGTTATAAATTTCCAGATGCTTGAATGGATTAACAGCAATCAAAATATCTCCGATGTAAGTGTAAATATGATTCTTTGCATAACGTTCACGAAGGTGGTCTAGAATGGTGTCCTAAAAAAGTCAAAAAAATATCTAAAAATAAAGTTAAATGGCACAGTTTGGTTTTATTTGTACCTGTAGTATGCTAGCTGGAAAACGTTGAATAACAATTGAAAAGCATTTCATAATGAAGAATTGTCCAATCAAAGAAAATCTTAAAAGTTTTCGGGCAGTCACCATCGTGTGCCCCAGTAAAAGGAAGACAGGACTTTTATGAAGAAAATTTAGATCTAATGAACTGTCACAAAAACAATTTCAGAGGTCACAAAAACAATTTTTTTATGGAGGCAGTGTCTTTTTAAAAATATACAATTCCGGACGGAGCTTAATGGTGGGGTTGAGTTCTTTTTCTCACTGTCTTAAGCCGTCATCGATTACACCTTTGCTGCTGGATGGACAGATGGCGAATACAAAAACCACTGCTTAGGCTGGAATCTATATTCAAACCCGTAACACCAAGGTAAGGTGTTTCATCCGATCAACCACTTGGCTGCAACGGCAGTAGGACATTGTCGCAGATTTAAGGAGGTTGGGTTGACTCAACTGTTGGAACTTTTGCAGATTTGGGGAGGCTGGATTAACTGGATCTACGATATATTTTGGATAAATTATTAGTTTTGGACATTTTGAGCTATTAGGACAAGACTTTCCCTGGGGAGTTCCAGCAGCTCCCATTTTATCCAGTACACAAGCCGAATACAGTCTAACATAAGCAGCACTTTTGAAGCAATATTTGTGGAACCAACAAATTCCATGTAGTAATCAAATTCCATGAACGCAAATAGTGCCAACCTCGTTTAAATTCTCCAACTCGGCCAAATTTGTTACTTGAGCCATTTTGCTTTTTGTTGAAACGTCAGGCAATATTTCAGGATAGCTGTGAGAAAGTGTGAAAGCAGTTCATTAAAGAGGAAGCATAAAAAGGTAACAGATGGAAAAGCTTAGAAAAACGATAACAGTTTGAATCGTTAGTCTGTTATAGTTCTTAACAGGCCCTAAAACAAGGCTTTTTGTGAGTTGCACATTGCTTGGTGAGATAAGCTGGTTGGTGGTCTGCTACGCTTATACTAAAGGTATAAATGTCACCTGAAAAGCAACGGAGCCAAGAAAATTCAGATCTTGTTGAGATGCAACAATAACAGTAAACAAATTATCATGACGGAAATCTTTCAACGATTCTTGCAATAACATACAAGAAAACTCCAGCATTCAACTCATAAACACTGCTTATTCACAAAGTTGGTCTTTCATCAAAATCACACATTCACCCAATAACAAAAAACACATAAACAACACTCCTTTACTGAGACAGTAAAACACCGTTTTACATACTTAGCATATTTTTAATCAAGCATCATAAGATTAATTGATAAATGAATGACTAACCTCGAGCTACTATCTAACGTCTGCTGCGAATACAGTTCATCTATTGGGTTATTGAGTTTCAGAAGGGCCAACAATTTACGCTGTGTCTAGGAGAGAAGATCGATCGATATTTCAAATATCTGAAATGTCGTACTGAGCAAAACAAAAATAATTTGCTTTCAGGTACAACAAAAAATATCTGAAATGTCGTGCTTTTGAAAACATGTTGTTTTGGAAACATTTCGGGCAGCAGAAAGATAGCAACAAAGGTGGTTGGTTACAATCGAAATATTGGTTTGCGGCTGCGTTTTGCATTAAAATGCTTCAGTGTGTAATTGATTCGAGACTGTGAGAACGTAGCTTTCACGGGTAGCTTTCACGAATGGAGAAACAGATAAAAAATGACTACAATAGCACATTCTTACAATAAAACTTTGCTTTGACCAGCTCTTTAGACTGGCCTTGTGAACATCCAGAATCTGCCTTGTAAGGATTTTAAAAAGAGCCTACACAGTTCCACTTGAATGCCCCGCAGTGGCATTAAGAAGTCGTTTATCCAGATTAGTACTGAGAAATGGTATTAAAATTTCTGACTTTCTCGAAATAAAAAAGCCTATCAGTGGTGGCAGTGGTTTCCTGAGCGTGACCAACGGCAGGTTGAACAGTTATCAGACCCTTCAACGGGTGTCAATTAAAGACCTTCTCTTGATGACAATCTTTTTTATGATTACATAACAGCTAAAGCTCAATTGCCAATCAGTTCTGCATTTCTCCATAGCCCTTTAAAACGACACAACTTTAGCAGCATTTCATCACAGCTCATCTTGCACCAAACAAGAAGGCTTCAAAATCATAAGGGCGGGCTAATAATGATCATGATTTAAAGCTTCGATAAAAATGATCAGAAATTAGAAAAATTCGTGTTTCTATGCTCCCTTCGAAACATAATGAAAATCCAGATGGATTATCTAAAAAGAGCGTTGTTTAGAAGCCCAGAGTAGACGAAAGAAAAGGTTGACAGCAAGGGAAACTTTTCAAAATCTTCAAACTTTTGCACGATTCCTCTGCAACACATGCACCACATCAACCTCACCGTGAGCTGTATTTTGATTCAAAAAATGGTAAATTGGAAACGATTCTTACCAGTACTGTCTTTCTCTGAATTTCAGCAATAAACGAATGCTCAATCAGTTCCTTAACGAATGGCCTTTTCTCGAAATCTTTAACAAGAGACCTGTGAAAAACCCAGTTTTAAGCATAGAACAAAATAAATGACGCCTAATATTATTTCTCAATGTAATTTAGACGTTTAAACTTATAACACATTCTAGCAACAATGAAGAGTTAAACTTGTAAGCACAAGGAAAGGAGATTCCAAAAACAAGGTGTACATGAAAGTTTGGTATTATTGCAAAAGTTCAAGCGAAACTAATGCCGCCGCTGCCCCCAAGATACTCTTATCAATTAGATCAAAACAAATCCAAAAGTATACTGACGCTAAAATGAAGAGCTTGCATACAACCACCAAATACTTTCTACTTTTCATAATTTTTACTTCTAAAGGAATGATCTGATATACTTTCAAAAAATCAGTTAAAGATCTAAAAGGGGATGACAATCTCTTCGAATCATAAAAAATCGCATTATTTCAAATTCGAATTATTGAAACATGGAATCTCGTGCAACAGAATGCTTATGACTGGAGAGATCCCTGAGTATCAATCTGTCTGTATTGCAAAACCTGCTTTGTGAAACATCACCCACAAGTTTTCTAGTCTCAATATCATGATAAATAATGTTAGCAAAGTATATCTCAAAATTAAAGTCACATTGCAATTAATTTCAAAATCATTAAAACAAGCTGGAGCTTGTCGTACCTAGAGATGAAGTCCAGGAAAACCCCTGTCCACTTTTCTGGTCTCTTCACAGTAGGTGGTGGGCTCCTGGAAGTGAGCAAATGGTTACTTGGACATGGTAATGCTGTAAATTATCTGCCTTACCCAAATTATTCACTCGTTATGATACAATGTCGATATTTGCATGACTGGATAGCAAGGTACACACGGCTCTTTAAAATCCTTTATCTGACACCTTCTAACACATACACTAGCAATTTAAACTGAATAATTTCTTTTTGAAAACCAAGCAGCAGATACGACCTGATAAACAAGGTTTCCTTATAATTATTCGACTAAGCAAGTTTCTGGTCATTAATATTAATACAAGGGACAGAGTAATGTTTGCGTGGAAATAAATGATTAATGAGCAGATTCATCCAATAGACATTTTAAACTTAATAACGAACATATCAGATAGCTGTACGATGCAACGCTTCATTAAAGTTTCATGTGAAACATTCCCCCGATGAATCATCGTTTCAAAGTAATGAATGATTACGAGACCTGGACCAGAGCCACTGGAAACATACATTACTATCCAAAGCTGGTAATATTGTCAACAAATGATGAGAAATTAATGGAGGTTGGGTGACTGGTGCCTGCTTTGGACTTCCATTGATATCATTTACGAAGAGAAATTGACAAAATATGGTCATCAATTAATTATCAATTTGTAACTTTTGAAAACAGAAAATTAAGAAACAATGTTCTATAAAAGATTGAGTTGACAAATGCAGCTATGAACATTATTTATATGTAGAATAGCTTTGCTGACTTCATATGGCCATACCCTATTACCCTGCTTATAGGTACACCTCATTTAAAGGGGCATAAGTCGATTTTTATCTTACGGTATTTGCGAGAAAGATTCAAAAACAAATACAGCTATTAATAATATTTATATGTAAAATAGCCTTGCTAATTTCATATGGTCATATAACTAAGGAGTTACAGACAAAGAGCGAAGAAGACTTGATTTCTAACTCTCTATGTTCGAAAATCTTTCATTTTTTCCAAACTTTTGTCTGTGAAGGTTGATACTGGTTATTTTTAAATTTCTATGGAGATCTCGAGCCCTACCACTGGCTATCAAGGCTTGCAAGAATCTTAAGTTGAATGCTGCACCCTTTCTATGCAGTTGCAGATGGAATCAACGATCTCCGTGAATACCAGGCTTAACAACAAATGCCCTCTATTACTACGTAAAATAGAAATGTGGAATCCATTCAATAAACTGCTAACAACTTCCAGTCACCTTAAATGCAAGATTCGATTCTATTAAATTCGATTAAATTAATTAATTTCAACAGGGGGTCTCATAAATACGTATGTCACACAATCAAGTAGCCAATTGTAACCTTTTGACAATCTGTCTACGTGGTAATATATTTCTTCTCTTTTATGACAATATTTCACGACTTCCTCGAGAAAAATACGAAGCCTTTTAAGGTTCATCTTTGGAGAATTGATTTTTTAATAAAACGATTTCAATCAAACTTCAAGGCTTTCAAACCAACATTACATATTCCGTTTTAAACGTTTTATCTGACAAACAAACATAGAACAATCGAACAAATTTTAGGCCCTGTTATGTAATTTTTAGAATTAAGAAATTTGTCTTCATTAAGCTGCAAAGATACTTATTCTGTCTCAAACCTGCTAAAATCACTTACAAACACCATAATGCCTTTCTACAGAAGAAAATATTATAGCATATTGCATAGCCGATCACAAAAATGAACTATTCTACGGTTTAATCAAATGTAAAACAATATAACAATGAAAATGCCATAGACCCGACTTGTATTCTAGACTTGTATTTTAAGGAAAAAACTAGACAATTGGCCAAATATTCAGACTGTATTTTATGACGTCAAGCGAGGGAATGGGTTTTTTCATGTAACATTATCACGCCAAAATTTAACATCTTTTTGGACCACAAATCGCTTTGGCTGGAAGAAAAGCCAAAACCTAGTGTATTTCCTGTTGGTTTCTGGGAGTTGGTTGGTTTCTACAACTATCTCATAGCAAAATGAGACTCAAAATTACTCAATAACCAAGAGCAAATTGAAAACAAGCTTACGCTGAGGTGCGATAAATGTAAGAACGATATATCTTTCATGACCAGGTATATATATATTGTTAACGCTATTAAAAAACAATAACTGTATTATGTACATCCAACGTTTTTCTGCAGCACAAAATTGTCTCGTATTTAAGTTATAACTCAAAACCTAAAAAACATCACCGTGAACCACCTCTCAATATACAAAATCAGTCAAAAATGCTGAAAAATAGGTAAGAAGTGGCAAATGAAAGATTTTAAGTTATTTTGTTATTTTGGCTTGCTTTGTAAAAATATAAACAGAGACCAGGTTGCAGAGATTTGATGGGAGACACCCTATGCTCATGTGCCCATATATCGATTCATTTATTACAAATTAAACTGTTTTCGCAAATTCAGTGAAATTTGCTGATATTCTTTCAGGTAATTTGATACAGATCAGAAATACTAACATAAACTTTTTTGACGCAATCGTTTAAAAATTTTTTGCAAACAAGTTATTGTCGGCAGTCACCACCTTGTATCTGAAATTTTCAATGGATTTTCGAAAACAGAAGAAACCAAAAAACATATTTCCTTATCAATGCTATCATAACATTTCTAGAACAAAGACTTAATCACAAAATAATATATTGTTATACAAAAATGAACGGTGTAATTCTCACCAATGCCTGAGGGTTCTCTGCAAGATACTCGAGCTGCAATAATTCTTATTAGATTGCAGTTAGAAGATTAGATAAACTGCCAGCTCACGCAATTACAACACAAAGGCATATCAAGCAACATCTGATACAAAATGAACACAGCTCTTCTACTCACAAAAATTAGTGTCAAGGAATGCATTTTTTAGATAATAACAACGTTTTATCGCTATTCACCAAAGAGCCTGATACCATTAGGTTGTTTGTATCCCATTCCATTTGAAAATACAAACAGCATTGTAAACAACGGCAAAAACATCATAATTACCTGCAGCACCTGAGTATACGTATGAATGGAAGAGTAAACGTTTGTAACCTACTCGGTTTGTATTCAGAAAACGGCGCTATTTGGCAGGTAACTGACACGGAGCAGGCACTAACACAACATAAACGTCAACATGAGTCATAGTAGCCATAAAGATGGGGCCTCGTGCTATGAAAATAACATCAGGGCTGCCGCTAAAATATCTTTTTTGCTTTCTGCTCTTTAGAATGACAGATGATGTATCTGGAAAGTGGAAACATGTTGACTAAATGAAAGTCAATCAAGGTAATCATCACTTTGAAGGCATCTTCTGAAAACGTACATAGCTGAATCAGCATAAGCAAATTATTCTTTCATCCTCTCGTGTTCCAGAGAGTCTGGGTTTGAGTGACGTATGTTGGATAAATTTCCACTCCCAATTGTAATTTTTTAAAAGAACAATTTCTACCCTCGGTTTCGAAAGCTGGCTTGTTATAAAACATACAAGATTGTGTACTATGATTTTACATAAACGGAATATATATGTACACACGTGCAATTGACCACGAGTGTTCTTGATTTTATAACGACAATCATACACTGTGGCTAAAAAAACATCACCTTTGATATCTTGTAACATATATAAGTGACAATGTTGCCAAAAAGCTAAATGACTATGGGCAAGCTGAATACTGATAAAAATTCGAAATACCAAACTCTATTCTCACTTTTCAGTCAACATGCGTCAAAGAAAGATCCTCCTTTAAACAACAACGCGCCCCAACAAGCAATCAAAAAACTGTCATTAAAGCCAAGAGCCTCTTCAACCTTTATTTCATACTTAAAGGCTACTAAATGCAAAAGTCATCCTGTCTTTCACCCTTGGTCTGCAAGGCATCAAACTAGTCGTCTCAATAGTTGCCATAAGCCCTTTATGCGTCACAAAGTGACATAAGATCCCTGCCTAAGCTTTTTCACGGCCAATAACTATTTGGTTTCTCGTTGATATTCTTACGTGATACTCACAAGCTACCAAAGTATCCTCAATGCGGAACCTTTGGCCTATAACCTATGAATATTTGAGTGTCTCTTCTCCTCTTCATCCCTAAGCATTAGGTTTTAAACCGCGACATCTCTTTACGCTAATTAGGCGATTGGTGTCACTAACATACAGATTCTATGTCATATTCGTGGGTATCGGCTATCTCTTGTTCAACAGCACAATACACGAATTAGCTGGAAGGAAAACCCACCTTTCCAGGACGGAAATCAATTCAAAACTGTTTTATGAATACACCTATTTCGTTGAGAAAAGAATTTTTGAAAAACTATAGTAGTACACTAAGGGAATTTTAGGAGAGATATTGAAAGCAACCTAACGTCAGTTCCAACGTCTGCAAAATTATCTTTCTGATAAACGAACTTCCAATTTTTAAAATAGCAAAAACCCAGCTAAAAGTGTGAATTTAGGAATCAATTTTTAAATTTACATATAAAAATTACGAGGTACAAAAATGGATAAAGTTGGCACAGTAATAATAACACACTAAGAATGGTGTTAGGTGAAAATGACTCTGGAAAATCTGTCATTCGATAATCAACAAAATCTAAAGTACACTGTCACAATGACTCTGCATTAAAACTTTTCAATAATTATTTAGAAGAAATCAACTTCAGTTATTACTTTTGAATCAACAGTGGTAATATATTTGCTATTGAAGAAAGCAAATCCTCTGAAAGAGCAAATAGTACCATAGTACGCATTTGCAGGGTTTCAAATTATGAATGAAAAAGAACCGTACCTTGGAATGCTGAACAATGCACGCATTGGATGCTGATCAACGAGAGGTGGGTCTCCATCTGCCAGCTCTATTGCAGTAATTCCTAAAGACCATACATCACAACGACCATCATAGCAATAATCAAGCTGCTGCTCACAGGCAATTACTTCAGGGGCCATCCAGAACGGTGTGCCAACCGAGGAGCGACACCTAGCAGAGGAGCTTTGCAGCACTGTTGATACTCCTTGAATGATCAGATCATGTTTATTTGAATTTAGTTTGATACCAATACTAGTGTTGTCTATTCCAGCAAGGTGCAATGGAAGCGAAGTTTTAAACAGACATGCATTTGAAGACAATGGGGGAAAAGACTAGTATATTTTAAAATATAAACAAAATGTTTCAGGCAAATTAGTTTAAATAAATCATCAATATATGATAGTAGAAAACTGCAAAATTCCAAATATAGTCCCATGAATATAGCCTTCACTAATACAGTCCCACCGAATATAAGTCCCCTCTTCCAAGGAAGAAAACTCACTTTCTCGAAGTAAGACTCCCGCAAAATATAAGCACGAGGCTTATATTTCAAATTAAACAAAACAACCACAAATTTCTCCCTTCAACACAAATGCACACTTTTCGAGAGAAAGTACAAGAACAACAAATTCCATGATATAACTTTCTCTAGTACATTTTCTACTTTCAGTTTGTAATGCTTGTTACCTAAAACAATGTATATAAAAGGTATCCAATGCCTTCTCCTTGAGTCCATGTGCTATATATAACCATCTTTCTGCAATGGTGGCAACTTGATTGCAAGTGTCTCGAAAATATGACCGATCATTTCAATTAGGTTTGAAAAAACTGAATAAAGTCCCTGCAAAAACATGAGCCCCCCAAAAATATAGGCCCCTAAAAACGGCCTTAAATTTGTTATTTGCCCTGGGCTTCTATTTGGAATTTTAAGATACTATTTTAAAAACAAAACATGCTAGGATAGAAGAAAATAAAATTTTTCTTGAATTCTCTGCAACCAAAGAGCCAGTGTTATATCAAACAACCTTATGCCTGAGCATCTTGCGAACTAATAGTAAAATATTACAAATGTTTATTTACTTTACATTACAAGAACCTATAAATAGTATTTCCATGTTTAAGTGCATTGCCATTAGCCTTCAAACTCAAATTTTCTAACTTAATGAATTCTCCAAAAAAAATGAGAAATTTAGCCACAGAAAGCAGGATCCTTAATTGTTCTATCTAAACCACAGAACTGTTTTTATAAGGGTCTTTAAAAGAAAGCCATCCCATTGACTTGAGCTTGGCAATAACAGAAGAAGGTGATAGCATTTGACTGTTTGCATTTTTGAAAAATATGTTGAATGTCTTTTTGAAAAACTATTTGCATTGCTTGATGTGTGTATAAACAAATTGCTTAGTCTATCCAATAAATTTCAGCAAAAACCTTATTTTACAAGATTGTTCTAGCCTAGATTCCAATTCTCTAGGCTAATCAATTCTCAGCAACACTCTAGGCTAATCAAGAAGTGAAAGATTGATGATATAAATGAAAAGACTCCAAACTTACCAAAATCAATGAGCTTGATACCTGCATCTGCTTTTAGCAATATATTTGAGCCTTTGATATCCCGATGAACAACATTACAATCATGAAGATACTGCAGGCCCTGGCAAATCAAATAATGTACCTCATGTTAGGATATAACTGCATCTTCTTAACAACATACTTGAAGGAAATGAGGACAAAAAGAGGCAGCTCCCTCAATCTAGTCTGCGACTTTGTCATTTCATTAAAATATCTATTGTCTGTTAATAATATTTTCTATAATACTTGGACACAAGAATTCAACTTTGAACCAAATCCCCTAATATAAATTCTTACTTGATGATTATTTTCATTTCAACAGCTCCCTTTTACATTTTATTCAATTTTTTTATGTCAATATTCAAAATTATGCCAACATTTTTTCCCTAGTTCCCCATAAGTTTGATGCTGCAAAATCTCTTTCAAGTTTCTGAAGTCCCTGGTCTAAATGGAAACTTAGCACATAAACCTTTGTGTGATATGCTTCTATTCTGAAACACACACTACAGTGAATTTCCAATTAAATAATTCCTGAAGCAACAACTTCCTTCATCAAAAATATGAAAAGGCTTTCAGATCAACAAGCAGCATTTCTCTCTTATACAATTTGTAACTTTTCTTCCACAATGTGTCCTGTAAACAAAAAACTTCTATTTTGAGAGTTTGTATGACACGCAAGACTGCATACCCTCATCCTGTTAAGATGTTTAATCCCTGATTCCACTATATCATAAGAGTGAATGACAACACCCAGTATGCTGGGGTAAAGCATTAGTTCACTTGAACTTTATTCTACTTTTTAGTAACTTTATTTTATTTTACTTCACTTTGCATAATTTTAGTAATACTTTTTGCATCACAGAATCATTTACTGTTTTCTAGATTCCTGTTCCTTCCTTTGTTTTGTTCCTGCTCAACCTTTCTATACACATTTTGATAGGAAGTTCGGGAGAAACCAACAGTCTCCCTAAACACAGTAATATGTCTTTCAATCGAAAATTTTTACATGAAATAAAGCTTTAATGTCTAAACATAACAGGGAATTTTCCAAACACTTCTAATTGGTTCAAAAATATACAAAAAAGGCCTTATAGATGTATGATTCATCAATTTCTAACAACTAGATACAAACCTTCAACACTTCAGATAGAATAAGAGCGATCAAACTTTCATCAAGAGACCTTCCCTTTTGTATCAAATTCTTGACAAAGTCAGATACTGACCCATACTCACAGTACTAAAAGGAAAGAATGTTTAAATTGAAACAACCCATTACTGAATAATTGTACATTTCAATATTTATAATATGTCCAATAATCCAAATCCTTTTTTCAGAAATTAAAGCAGTGATGGTAATAGCTGACATTCATTCAAATAGATAAAAATAATTAGATTTCTCTGACTATAAACTTAGCATACTTAGTGACCTGAATATAATTTTAACAAAACTTTAGCAAAAAATGTATTGAATTTTACTTAAGAGGCATATAACCATCCATACTCATTCATTGGTTGTACGATATTGGAAAATGAGCACGGTTTGCTAAATGGAAATTTAATGACCCTATCTAGCTTTCATTAACGTTTGCTCCGCTCCCATTTAACAAAGTAAACGACCCTGCCTACTACAATAGCCCGTGGGCTTTAACCGGCTTTTGTATTAACACAATGTTAATATTTTTCGCAAACAAGACTGTCGGATACCTCAGTGATAATCCAAAGCTGTTCTGTTCCGGATAAAGTTAGCAGGAACTGTGCATCAATAAATTTGATGATATTATCATGTTTAGAATATTTTTCCAAAACAGCAAGCTCTGTCTTTAATTCTTCATTCTTGTTCTGGTTAAATTCTGTAACTTTTACAGCTACGGTCGATCCATTGTTTTTGTTTCTTCCTTTGTAAACTTCTCCGTAAGTTCCTTTTCCAATCACCTCAATCAATTCCCATGGATTTTTGTCATCCTCCCCTTGGCCTGCTATTTTCTTCCCCGACACAGTCATCACATCTCCAACATTTCATCACTGCAGTTACTGCACAACTTGGCTGTCATTTCGAATTAAAAATCTCTTAGGCCAAAATTATAACTATAACTCTCCAGTTCAGGTCATCGTGAAAAGCTGTCTTCCGTATTTTGGTAACGAAAAATTCTAGGAATGTAATGTTTTCCTTCCTTTTATAAGCGCTTTAAACCCAACCAGATCTCGAGTGGAGAATGCACGGCAAAAGTAACTACCTGCAAGCTGCGAAATACTACTGACACCAAATAATCACTACAGTTCTTGAAATGTGATGGCTTTTCTTTTTGAATCGGCGATTGTACAAAGCTTTGTTTTCATGTGCAAGGTGATTTCATAATTCGCAGTTCGCACGCGAGTACCCTGTGTCCACCTGCAAGCTGTTGAGGTGAATTTGTGGGTCAATCGTTGGTCAAAACGAAGTGCTTCGATCTTCCGTAAAAAATGTTCCCCTAAAGAAAGAAAATTGATGGTGTTTCAATCTAAAATGTACACCACGTAACCATTTTTTCTCTGTAACGTATTTTTGTTTCCTATCCTAACATTTATGTGTGTATATATATGTTAATGTCCTTGGGGTAGACACAGCCTTTTGCTTCCCGGGGGTTTCGTCACAGTAGTATTGTAAAGTAGTTCTTGCATTTGTTAGTGGTGTAGTAGACAGTAATATGTATTGTAACTTTTTACAGGATAATATAAAAAAATAATTATGGCAATCAGCAGGGACACTGGAGAGGGAGAATATGAGGGGGCAGCAGTTAGACAATTTACTATATGCTGACAGTATATCGAAATAAAAGGACAGTTACAAAAGAAGAAGTAGAAGCATGGAGTTTTTTCAAAGGCCATTTACTGAAGCCTGTTTTATTCCCCCTTTGGTCGTTCTGGCGTCCCCCATATCTAAATGTTAAACAAAAATCGAAAAGATAGACCAAGGAAGTTTAATTTCTAAACAATTGCCTTTGTGAGTGATATATTTTGCAAGAAACAAGGAAAACTGGAATAACTTTTAATTTGATCTAAATAACATTCTGGCATGTCTTTGAAGTGCTTGTTGGAAACGATAAAGTGGACGATCTAAACATGTTTAAAGATTTAAAAATTACTATGATGTAAGTTTTGATGCAATTTAAGGCCTACATTTGATGCAAGTTTTCCGAAGAAGACGATCAGTTTTTTCTGATAGAACCAGACATCATAGCACTGTTTTAGGCACTGTATTTTGATATGAAAGAACTTGTTTGAAAATAGGGACATTGTTCTGTCTCTAGTTTTCAAAACAAGCAAGCTCTGAAAAGAAAATGCCTGAAGTTCTATGAAAATGAAAATAGTTTCTAATGAAGTTATAATTGAAAAATATTTGTAAAGCAGATGCAAAAGAAAATTTTGTTTTTCTTCATTCAACTGTAAAATCTTCAGATTATGATTAAAAATTTCACTATTTCTGTGCTGTCTCACAATACACTCTTTTCTTTTTACAAATTTTCTTTTTAAGAACAAATTAAGAAAAAGCTGAGGCTGAGCTTCTGCAAAATGCAATTTTGAAGAACCTTTTATCTCAAAAACGGTAATTTTTTACCATGTGTGGGTGCTTTTTGGTGAATATTCAAATTTGTCGGCAAATGAAGGTTGTCTCACTCACTTTGTTGGCAAAAGAGGTAAGAACACCTCTCTAAATCGAAAAAGCTAGCATTTTCACTGCTTACACCCAAAACTAGCATTTTCACCGCCCTAGATCAGTTTCTAGTTTAAAAATAACTACAAAAAAACTCCTCGAAGATTTTGTACCCTATATTTCTCTTGGTATGGCTACCTTTAACTTGAAAATGTAACCTCACGCCATTCGTGACATTTTGAAGTTGCCTAATACCAGAGGCGGATTTCACGCTTTTAAAGCGCGCAGTATCAGTGAGCTGCGAGATTCAAGATCACTGGCTCTCTTCCTGTGCTTTTGACAGATCAAACACTTTCGCTCCGAAACACTGGAAAGGCGTCATAGCCAACATGTCTTCTAGATGAAATATAGTTTAAGTCCGAAAATTCGACAATCTGGTGATTCAAACATTCCTACTGTGAGCAAAACTTTCTTCGTTACCTTATGCTCCAGTTTAGGTAGACTTTCCAAATTCCGGTAACTTTTGCAGTCCCTTGCAAGTATTCAGATAAGCTTGTAAAGTGGTAAGAAGTGGCTGGGATTCTTTAAAAAAGAGAAAAAAGAGAAATAGCATTAACCAGTACGTTTTCTAGGATCCTATGATCTTTCGACCAGGGGCGGACTGGCTAATTTTTTTGGCCCGGGCAAATTTTGATCAAACCGGCCCAAAAAAATAGCAGATAAAAAACTCCACGGAGAATGCAAGTAAATGTTAGTCTGTAAGGAAAACAAGTTTTTAAATTCAGTAATTTTGTGCATGGATGAATGCTGGTTAACAGAACATGTTAAATATGTCATTTGCTGACTAAATAGTAAATAACCAAAAAATTTAACTACTTGGTTTGACTTTCTTTCTAAATACAGTAACTTATATGTTGATAATGTGATCGTTCTAGATGTCATCTAACAGGTGTTTTTCTAAGAACATTAACATGAAGGACTCCAGGTTTGGCTGCGAAAAATTACCACGTAATCTGTTCTTTATATATTTAAAGTGGAAAAGCTTCTATCACACTCAACTTGTGACAAATAATTTTCTAATCCTCCGGAAAACCACAATGATTTTCAGCAGCCCAAAAATATCGATTTGTCAATTTCTGACCCCAGTTGAAATTTTATCGTGTAGCACCATACACATTTGGGCGGGGGTCCATTTGACTTATGATAGTATATGCCTAATAAATTTACCATAAAGCCCCGGCAAAACGACTGGACATTTTCACTGAACATGCACTGGACAAATGTCCAGCGTAAATGTTGCGTCGTTTTGCCACCTTGTCCAGTCTTGTTCAGCGATGTTGAATGTTGTTCAGTCGATTTTGAAGGCAGCCAAAAATGTTCAGTGGACAGGATTGAATTTCTTTTTTTCACTGATGTTGTACATAAATTGTTCAGTCGTTTTGCCACTCTACTGAACATTGTCCAGTTCGCGCACGCGCAATCGATTAATGGTTTGGATTTGGCGTCAATTTATTTCCCATATTCAAATCTTCAACAAACTTTCCTAGTCAACACCGCGAACTTTCATTAGTAACGACGAGTCCTCTGATCAGATTGGCTTTAGTTCCGATAAGGAAAGCGATGTCAGAGAGCACAAGGACGGTGATTTTGATGAACCTAGCAGTCCTAGCCACTTTTCAATAATACACTCTAATTCATACGATAACACGGTTAGGGCTCTGAAAAGTGTATTTTCAAAGGTAAAGAGATGCCCTGTTGCCAGTTTTCCCACCCGCATTCTTCAATAGGGAAAAAGTTCATTGGACAATTTTCAGTCGTTTTGCCATAACCAATATTTTCTTGATGTCCATACTCTCTGAACAAGTGAGCAATGTCCAGTGTGCGACCAGTGCAAATGTCCAGTCGTTTTGCCGGGGCTTTATGTATCGCATTGAAACAGGGATGTTACAGTATAATATGGCGCCAAAAGGGAAATACCGTCAAGAGAAAATATAACAAAATGTCAATAACAAAAATGAATTGATAATTTTGATGGCTTTGGAGTACTCGCGTGTATATTTATTCTTTCCCACAAAATCTCTGAAAATTCAAGGCAAATAGATCAATGCGTGGGTATACTTCTTTGCCTCGCATTCACTTTTTAAGCTAATTTATTTTTTTGCACTTTTATCAACCGGCCCTTAAACCGACCGGCCCTTCGGGCGATCGCCCGAATAGCCCGACCAGCCAGTCCGCCCCTGCTTTCGACGATAAATGCACACGAGAAATGTCCCAAGTTATGACGTAATAAGGTGTTAGGTCTTGAAAGATCTTTTGGTTTACTTTCCGCTGCAAAACAGACTGCACCAGTGTTTCTCGTGATCGCTCTAAAATGCTTCACAACCGACTCCCGTTGGTTTCTCAACCAAAACTAGGTATTTCTACGTTGGTTTTTAGCTCACATGGGAATTAGCAGTAATACTAATGAGGATTAGTATTAATCAATTGTTATCCCAAGCAACCACAAACAATGTTGTGAAAAGCTTATGCAAGACATGCATTTGCGAATATTCGTGTCTTGTCACAATACATACACAATGTTAAGTAGTAATGTCTTTTCCTGGGAAACAATAATACGAGATGGACATCAAATTGAAGATCACATCATAGGTGCTGGAGTTTGTTTAAACATTGCAGAGGACAAAACTTCCAGAAAAGGACTATTGAATCAGCCATATTCACCAACTAGATGGTTCATGTCATTTTGGAGTACAAGATAGTATTTCATGGGATCTTGTTGCTATATAAAGTTAAATTAATATTTTTGTAATATTGCATTTCAGTAGTGATAATACCGTACTCGCTAAAGTCTTTGTTCGTTCTCTTCTGTCCCTAACTGCATGAAATGCAATCATGAAACAAAAGTCATATCATCGTAGCTGCCTATATTTGGTACGTGGTTACAAGGGAAATCCTGTTGATCACTCTTGTTGTGACACTCAAACCTCGAGACAAATCCCAGTGTCATTTCCACTCTCTGAGAGTCCAAGGGAAGAATTCAATACGGGGAATTTTCTCTTGTTTATGCAAAGCACGAAACAACTGCTCGTCTTAAACCAAAACAATGCCTAATCGATTCGTTTTGGAAATGGCGAGTCCCCTAATTTTCGTATAAAATGGCTCTGGTGGTAGTTGAGCAAATCCCTATTTGTGAACCAGTAACGCGTGAAGTAAGCAGACCACAGCCAAAAATCTCGCTAGCAGACCACAGCCCAATCGCTGGATGCTTGGATTGTCAGTAGTGTATATTACATGGAAAGGTAGTTGGACCGCAGTTACTTAAATTATAGTCATCTAGACAAGGAAGTAGTTAGTTAGTTAGTTAGTTAGTTAGTTAGTTAGTTAGTTAGTTAGTTAGTTAGTTAGTTAATTAGTTAGCTTAGTTAGTTAGTTAGTTAGTTAGTTAGTTAGTTAGTTAGTTAGTTAGTTAGTTAGTTAGTTAGTTAGTTAGTTAGTTAGTTAGTTAATTAGTTAGCTTAGTTAGTTAGTTAGTTAGTTAGTTAGTTTAGTTAGTTAATAAGTTAGTTAGTTAGCTACTTACTTAGTTATTTTGTTTGTTATAATGTTAGTTTATATGTTAATTTGATGGTTTCGTTAGTATATCAGCTGGTTAGTTAGCTAGTTAGTGAATTAGTTAATCAGCTAATTAGTTAGTTAGTTTGCTTGTTTGTTAAATTGGTAGTTTTCCTTAGTTTTTTAGTTGGTTAAGAAGCTAGTTTGTTTGTTTGTTAGTTAATATGCTAATTAGTTAGTTAGTAGGTAATAAGCTAGTTGTTTAATTGGTTAGCTGGTTAACTAGCAAGTTTGTCGATACTTCATGTTTCAAGTTTGTTAGTCTGATGCTTCATGTTTCAAGCTTGTACGAAATCCGTTTCGAAGGGTCAATAAAACGTTTACTTTATGATTCTTGACACTTGTCCCTTGGATGGTATTATGCTTTCTATCATGCTTTTAAAGATATGGGTTCTAGAAAGTGCAAGGCGTGGTGGAATAAGTGAATGCAAACAGTTTGATTATATAATGGAGTTTTATCAAAAAAGGCCACATTGATATAAAGTACATAGATGAATACGAGTAGAGAGGTGAACAAACAAGCGAACTCCATGTTTCCACAAACAAGAGACGTTGCAATCACAATTCATCTACACTAAACTTGAATTCTAAAATCAACAGCATTGCGAAGAAGCCTCATACTTGCCTCATAGCATATGAGCGTATCATGATCGACTAGGGGCTCTGGGGGAATAGCAGTGACGGCAGCAGTCTGTGGCGGCGCCAGGTACTGCAGAGTGAGGGCAATGGGCGTGACCTATGAGAACACGGGCTTTTGCCTCATTTCAGTGCTTTATACCAGATTGGCCTCATTTTAGCGCAAATTTTAAAAATGATGACGTACCCTTACCCAATGCCTTTCAAACAATATTTACAATTATGTGGGCCATGCTTTGACACAAATAGGGGGGCAATTACCCCCTATACCATCCATTGGCGCCGCCACTGGCCTAAGTTGCTGTCGTCGCTTTCCTTATTGGCTTCAGAATTCAATAGTACAAATCGTTTATCGGTTGTCATTTTCATTTGTTGACCTAGTTAAATTGTTTCTTTAGTTGTGTTCTTCGTTAAATGTCAGTGGGAAGTCGTGGAACATCTTGATTCCCAAGGAATTGTTCTGGTAGTGTTGAAAAGTAGTTCGTATCATTTAGACTGTTCAGTAGTTAGTTTTTTTGCGAATTTGATATCGAATGTTAACAGGCATATGGCAGTTTAGGACAAATTTTGCTGAAAATTGTCGCAACTTTCCTTTTGTTAAAGCACAATACGAACAGTGAAAGGCTTACTCACGCTGAAGACGGCTTCTTTCTCTGATGCTTGTAATTCAAATAATAGGAGGGCTCTCATGGTAAATTCATGTAGACCCAGTGTCACCGCCAGTTTTACCCTGCACTGTTTGGTAAGAAGATTTTAAGGACCTTATAACTGTTGGAGAATATTAAGTAGACTGATATTGAATCGAGCGATGTTGGATCCTCCCTGACTGAGAAAAGGGGTGTGTTCGGGGTGTGAGGTATTGTTTCATTTGTTTGTAGGAATGCAAGTAAAATCCTCCATAAAAGAACCAGCGATTTTCTGTAACAGGCCAAAATGGCTCCAATTCTTTTACACAGTGGCTCATATATTGAAGGGATGTAATTGGCAAAAGATGAGCCTTAAGGATTTTAATCTGCAGTTTCTTATGAGGGTTTTATTCCTATAGGACCTGTTTGTTTTCTGTGTCAAATTCAACACATGGACATTCGCAAAGACAGTGGTAACATGCTTCTAACTCATTTTAAATATACTGGTTCTAATTAAATATGTACCCCTTTGTGACACTATAGTGACATGATTTTAGTAGAAAGTATCCAAGTTAAGAAGTAGAGCCATGCTTGCAAAATAGGTTTTACTTTCGTTTGATGCATTAAATTGCTCATGGGCATAAAATTTTTTAGCAAGTAAAGAGTGGGGCGAAGATAGTTTGAAAATATAAAGTAGTGATTTTTGCCATGACTTTTTTCGCAGAAAGTCCTGATAACCATTTTGATGTAGGTAACTTTGACAATAACAGCTAGAATGCACTTGTCCATGTTCCCAATCAAGTCCAACGAAAGAATGGAAAGCCTTACACCAACGACCAATATCAGTAAAGCCAGAAAAATCCCGACTTTAGGGACCCAGCCGCCTTTAAGCTCCTTCACCTTCGGCTATGAAATTTGCATTGTAGCTATTTAGTCGTCTCGGAAAGACTCCCTTAAAATATTAAGTTTTTGCAAATACACTGTATAACAAATTCTTCATTTAGAATAGGGGTTCGTTTTCTATTTAGAAGCCTTCCTTCGGTCAGTGCGACTGGGATTTATGTCTCAACCTTAACTGAGGACTTGTTTTGGCAACCGGCCTTCAGTTTTTTATAGTGAGATTTTGCAAAACATTTGATTGACTGATACGGAGTTTGTATAAGGCATTTCATTCTGACATCTACATTTTTGAAAACGATCAAGAAAAATTCGTAAAACGCCTCTTCTCCAGAAGCTAAAATGATACTCCACAACTCTTGAATAATAACAAGAAGAAAACTAAGCAGTGAGTAGGGACAAGAATTTGAGCAATAGTATTCATCATCATTTCTTGTCGCTTTCATCTTAGAGAAAGTTAAATCTACATTTAATAAGCATTGTGGCTACCGTTTTAACCGAACGTTAAACGGCAGTACGCACTTGCAAATTATGATAGCATAAATATCTTAATAAACTCTAAATAGAGACAAATTCTACCAACATAAGAAGACAGAATAAACACATATATCAAGAAAGGACTTAATTTTTCCTTGAAAATTCGATTCTGCAAGATGGGGAAAACTACCTAATATAAATGAAGCGTAGCGGGACAACAGATGATAGATATAAGCACGGGTTACTTTCCAAATAAATTCGGGGGCATTTTATTTATTTGGGATTAGCTCGTTTATGCCTGTTTCAATGAACAAAATTAGATGAACGTACGTTTTTCGTCTTGATAAAACAATTGAATCAAATCAACAATCCCCTTTAATCGAACCGGTTGCTTTTGCTTGTTTATTTGCTGCGACCAACAGCCAAAACTATAGTTCTAGCTTTGAGTCGTATTTTGTTAAAGAGAAGGCAGCATATTTACCTAGAAAATTTCCTGTGATATATCAAAGGTTTACCTCCAGGTAATATCAAAGTTTCACCTCCAGGCAAAACTTACGAACAGACAAATATAACCCATTTATTAAGTCTTAGCAAAACGTTAATGAACAAAGAATACCGCGAAGGGAAGAATCTAGCACAAAGAGTTGGTACAATTTTTTCTGCACTTAAAATGATGACAAATTCTGGTTAACTTTACCATGTAAATGAATGACATTGGATTTTAAGCAATAATATTATTCTATACAGAATATATGTAATTCTTTTCAATTTATACTGTTAAATATGTCAATGGTAAAATTCTCCAATCACTGATTTTATCAGAGGCCAAGTGGAAAAGCTTGCAGATGTGAAACTTGTAATGATAAATAAATATGTTGTAATTCAAGGGGACCACATCAATGCTTAATCTAACTTGGTAAAAATAAAAGGAAATTGTGACACAGAACAATTTTTCCAGCAAATAACTGGAGCTTACAACTGGGCTAATTTCATTGAACTACTCCAGTTTCTTAAGGCTGTTTCTTAAGGCAAAATTTTGCAAAATGCAATTGCTTCCTAAATGTTTTGCTTTAACTACCAACTTTTCTTGTTTTTTTCTTCAGAATATCCAGATTATGCTTCTTACAGCAACTTTTTTAACTAGTCTAGATTAAACTATGCATGATAAATTGCTGCCTTTTTGCTAAAGGAAATAAATCCTTGACAAGAATTAATCTGGCCACTTGACAAGAGTGAAATTTAAGCAGGTATCCATCAAATGAATCCTGAATTCTGGATTCTTCTGTGAACTAAGTGAATAAGCTATGACGCATCTACAAAGTGATTGAATTTAACATTGACATTAACATTGCATACAATTTACAAAACAATTATCCTTAGTTTCAATGAAATCCAAGGATGAAATAATGACTTTTGCAGGTGAAGTCACTATACAATATTTTATTACAAAAACTTTAATGGTGCCAAGAAAAACCCTGTGGTATCGCATTTGTGATGGATAAATTATTGTTATTACAACAGATTTCACTGCCCAAATACACAAAAAATTTGCAAAAGAACAATAAATCACATGGAATTTGGCAAATATATCCAAAAAGTTTTGTTTTTCTTTCAATATCAATAATAACAGGTTACAAGCACTGATATTGTTTTATCTAGATTCTTCTCAGTATCTTTTGAATGTTATTTACTTTTCAGAGATTTTCATGACACCATTAAAGCTTCAGTGCACTGTAAGAATCTTATGATCTCTCTAAAAGAAAACCAAAAACATACGAAGAAGTTTTTGGCAAAAAAAGCTGATTAACGTTTGTACATTTGTTGTATACTACTTAATAAAACCTAATGTTTCCAACAAAGACAAGTGACACAGACAGGCTGGGATTGACCAAGAATATTTTTGTACTTAAATTTACAAAGAGGGCTAGAAATAAAAGGGAAAGCTTGTTTTTAATATGAAAGATAATTGGAGGATTTGTTCACAAAACAGTGAATCTGCATTCAAACATACCACAGGCTATTATAAAAGCAAACATTAATTTGATCTATGTGCAATTCAAAACCTAAATATTCCTTGTAGCCTTCCTGGTGCAAGCAAAATGGAAGAGAGGGCTAGCCAAATTGGCCCTACCATCTTAAGGTCCCTACAAGACCCCCAGGTCCGTACAATATGATAGCCTCTTAGTTTTTGTTTTTAACATTAGAATATGTGATAAAAGACTACCCTTTTGAATGAATTCAACTCTTGACTGAGATAAATGGCTTAAAACTTGACCTGTCTTTATCAATAATGCTTATCTTTTCACTTTTTCATGTGACATTCACATTAAACGAAATCAGACAGTCTTATAGTAAAAAAACAATATCAAAACACAATGTGTATCATATGGTAGACAAATTTCCACATGAAACTTAAAAACATAATTGTGTTTAACCTCTAAATCTTCTTTCAATACAATAAATCACCAGTGGTACAAGCTTCTTAACTTAAATTGGCTTAACTTTGTATCCTTAATCTTATATTGGTACTTTGATCTAGACAAAAACACATATGACCTTAGAGGCTTCTTCAGCTACACTTAACAAGCTTTTTGAAATCTTATTTCTAGGTCTACATATTTCTTTGATCTTTCATTTGAAAGTCTAGTGAAAGGTGTTCATTATACAACTGAAACTGTGTCACCTGCCTCAGGGAAATTAAAAATTGGTTAGCCTGTGTTTCTAACTATTAGTCAATATTAGAATAATTGATTGATACTTCAACCGTTCCTAGGCCTTGATTTGAGAGTGTACAGCTTTTTCTGGGGCAAATCTAAAATGGAAATCAAATACCACAACTTACCAAATAGAAAGTTGTGTTTGCTTTGATTTTGAGTTCATGGGCTTTATAATTAGCTAAATTTCAAAGAATTTGCTGGTGGAACACAGCGTTCCGTATTCATTCAATACATTTTCTAACATCAAATCAAGGGCCAGGAGGTCTAGGTGCAGCTTTGTAGGGAGATAAAATGAGGGACTGCTAAATAAAAATTGAAATAAGTGTGCACTTTTAAGTTTTCCTGCAAAACTTTATCTTGTTTCGAATCGATTACCTTTAAAAGTGACTCGTTTTCTCGAGGTATTCCGACATGTTCGCCTTTCCATAACTGCCTCCGGACAAGAATATTTGGTCCCAGGCTCCGTGGTTGATGATACTTTTCCTTTGGTAGTCACGACATGACAACTTCCGACGCAACGTCGCTTTAGGATACTTATCGGTTTCAGTAATTTCCTCCCCGTATTATGCATTGTAAAATGAAATGCATAGATTTGGGGTAACTGGTAATGAAGAGGGTACCAGTGGCGGGAATAAACAGGGGAAATTCGCTCGAGATGGTTTGACCATCATGCGTTGTGTTAATAACTTACGCATTCCGACAATACCACAGGTGAAGACCCAACTGCTTCACCTTTCATGATCAGATTTCACAGCAAGTCGTATCGCAACAGCGCTTTCAGTGTCATGAAACTGCAAAACGCTTTGCAAACAGTTTCCCTGGTCCTATCCTCAGTTTCGCATACAGCATTTCTCCTATGTGGTACATAGCCTATTTCGTCTAGTATATAATTGGTCCAAGTTCGTTTACTCTCACATTCACAGTAAGTCTGTGGCATACAGTCGACAAGGGTACGCAAATGTGCATTCAAAGTTGTAAATTTTGCTTTCTTACAAAAGCTAGGGTCAACACAACGGTGTTCATTGTAAACAAGCTTAAGAAAACATTGCTCTTCCTCACTTCTACTGCCCTCAGCTATCGAGCTTCGTAAGTCTGATATTGTTCGCAACAGACTGCTGCCACGTAAATCAAACACACTATCATCAAGTTTTTCTGAGTACGACGTAGCCGAGCTGCCACGCTTTGTATTATTTCGTCTAGAATTGTGCGATTTAAAAATCCTTGGTAAACAAAAACAGCGAACGCATTCCCCGTTTGAGCGTATTGACACGCCGTCCGAATCGTATTGCTGTTCCTGTACAAAACTATTATCTAAATTATAATTTAAATCGACGATGTCTGGTTGATCAAATCCCCGATCGTCATCTGGTCGTTCCTGCAACGGTGGTGTATCGTTTCCCACAAAGTAACCACTCTGTAAACGTTCATCGTTTTCCTTCTGTACATTATCAAAATTCCCACTATACTGGTTCATTGATAAACTCGATACATTGCTCCTTTTCGATCCAATACTTTCAAATGATAAAAATCCACTATCCGATTCTGAATTTCTTGCCTCCGAGTAGCCCTCATCTCTTGGTATTTTCCGTGGTTTCAACGTCCTTGCACTGCAGGCCTTCTCTCTATCAAATCGCTTTCCTTTCGGGGGCTCACTGCTAGCTCTCCTTCGATTTCTACGTAATAACAAACAACTGATCGAATTTTTAGTTTTCTTTGCAGAACGACCTTTTCTACTAGTGTCTCCCATCACAATAAATGGTGCCTACATAACCATATTGTTGAGCGCGAGCTGCGTTAAACGACCTTGTGAAATTGGACCTGTAATCTCTTTTCCCTCAAAGATCAACGTCCAAATGGTGAAATTTCCCGCTGTTAAAAGTCGACAAGGCGCTGCTCATACTGAAATCCCACTGTTTTAACTAAGTGGTCGTGGCTCCGATAAGCATGACACATATTTGTATACAACTTTATAGTTTCCTTCATTCGCGAATTTGGTAACTTGTCGTACATTGTCGAAGGCCATCCAATCTATGGACCTGTCAACCCGAACCTAACCGCTAACAATCCTCAAGTTCTTTTGGCATTTTTCGTTCCCGCAGTTTCCACAAGGTGCTCTGTTCAGCAAATCCGCGCACCAAGCATAGTAGGGTCTTTGTGTGAACAAGAGGACATGAAAACAATCGAGTTGTCAAGAAAGATCAACAGCATAACAATAAATACAATCTTCCTGTCATTCGATGTTTGCGCAGGAAATGAGCCTGAAAGGAAAGCGCCAAATGCCCTTGAAAAATTCGCTATATTTCAAATAGTTGGTGGATTTCGAAGCTTTGCCTCAATACCATTCTTATTATCATTGTAGCCAATTCAACCTTTTTAGCTGCAATGCCCGCCAGGCTTTGGTTTCCCCTTTTTAATCAATTCGCTCCACGGTGGTGATTTCATTAAGAATAGCCAAGAACCTTTTCTGTCCAAAAAATATTTGAAGTAAAAGCAATCGGTATAAGGTGGATCTAGCTAGAAACATCAAGACTGACTGGATTAGAATAAGAAATTATCTTGAAAATGGGGTTGCACCTTATACCTAACCCTCTCACTCTCTCCTCCTAACAAAACTTACCCCCGTTCCACACAGGTTTGCTAAACTTTTTCAATGTAAACTTAAATTGCAACTGTTGTTTACTAAATAGCCTTGTTTATTTAGCGAAATATCATTCGTCTTGCCTCATACTGTGCTTACGTCAGTGCATCCTTTAAAAGTGGGCATTCCATAAGAGATTTTGTCCGCTGCAATTTAAACAAGAAAGTATTAATTCTGTCGTTCTTTTCTACATTTGATAGAACCTAACCAGCAAGTATTCATAGAGAATTATTCTCTTCAAAACCTAAAAAACCTTTCAAAAGTGACGTCACACTAAATTTCATCTATCTCGACCCCTACCTTCCTAAGTTACAACCATTGTCAAAAAGTGGGTATTTTTTGCCCCTTCCCCCTTTTATAATTTCGCGTAAAACCGATAACACGGAAAGGATACAATTTAATAGAACCTATTAAATATCGTGTTATTCGTAACTAAACAAAGTTTCCCTTTTTCACCTTTGCAACGAGAAAAGTTCATGGAATCATTTTTGAGCAGTGTATCTTCCTTTCGCTCCTGACCTCTGCATTCTGATACTTTCTGTCAACAATCTGGCTCAATATCTTTAAGTTTAGGTTTGTCCGCCTTAATGCCCTCCTTTCAAACTACATATCAACTTTTACTCTGGGAAAACAGCTCTGAATGTCTATAGAACGGCTAAAAGCATGACGTCATTCAAGGAAAACTTCCTTCCCCTTTGCAACAGTGTCACGCTTTGTGGCTTTCGCCATGCCCCTATCCTCTCCAAACAATTGGTGTCAATTTTCTCACTGTACCCGCCCCTGAATGGTAGCTTCATATTTTGTTAAGAAGAACTGGCGAGAAGACAGGGAAAGCATTTTTCCTCGTTCATTTGGTTCCTGGTATGTAACTGAAGAATTCTTAATGCAAAGTATTGCATTAAGTGAGGACAGGCTGTGAACAAGATAGCCATAGACGTAGGAAGCATTTCAAAAGTTTGGGGGCGCACATTACTAGAAAGTCATGTCTACCTACGTCTATGAAGGTAACAAAAGCACTATCGTTTCGAGAAACTTGCTTGCTTAATCTCTGTAAGTGTACGTAAATCTGTTCAGCTTTGATAAAACCGTAAGGAAAACAAAAGAACAACAGTATACACTGATAAGATGTTATTTCCACTCTTCCCAGTCACCCTTAAAAACTTTGCAAAGCCAGGACTTGTTTTTTACTATAAGAAACTTTTTCAAGGCGAATCATTTTTGCTAAGGCAAATAAAGAATTTGTGATTTAAAAAACATCTGATCAAAACACATATAAGAACGTGGAATTTAAAAATTAATGGAAAGAAATCATAATTCATAGGCCTTATGATATCTGTTCCATTGAGTTGGTTTTGAATACCCAAGGTTTTTTCTGGAGAGTTTCTAACCCCTTGTTACGATTCCCTAATTTTTAGAATATACACAAGTCAAAGATTTTACACAATCTTACCAGATTGCAGTGGTGTAGTGCCATCAAATAAACAAGGGGTGCTCTTGCCAAAATGTTGCGAAAAACAAAAGCAAAAGAAGAGATTTGCCAATTTTCGGCATTACCTGAGCCCCCCCTAGCTCTACACCCTGCCAGATTGTACACATCAAAGCTTACCAGTGCCTTTATACTCGGTTTTTTTATTACCCTAAATACCAGAGCCACAAAGGTTCGTGTGTGGAAATAGAAGAGAGAAGCAGAGAGGCGTCCGAGAATCTCTTATTTACCTTCAAGTTTTGAGAAACGCTTTCCTGATTGGTTGAAATCAATCACTCAGAACGAGATTGGGTATTGGTTAGCCGAGAACCCCTTTTCATCAACTCAGTCGCTCCTACACTTTCCGCACCTCTCTGCTTTTCGTGTGATCGAATTTACACCAGATAGTTTCCTATGGATGGTTTTCTGCGAATAATGAATGCTTATTTGCTCCTCAAGTTCTAAAATATTACTTTGGTGAAGTATCCCGTGTGCTACTCAAAGTTACCCAACGAACGGTGAAACCTCCACATCGTGGACTGGAGACTGTATTATTTAACTGCCCATGGAAAGGTGTCCACTAATACAGAGACACCAGAAAGTTTGTACAGAGACACCAGAAAGAGGTTCAGGATAAAATCTTTTCACCGTTGTTTGAAAACAAGGATAAGTTGAATTACTTAGCAGTTAGCCTTTGTGGCAAACTCAGACGACGGGGGGCCAGGGAGACATGTACACTATTTCTTTCCAAAACAAGTTTTTTGCAAATTGTTTTGTCATGCGTCTTGACCTATGTGGCTGGCAGTTCTCTTAAAGTTTTCAATGTCAACTTTGTCAGAAGGAAAGACAGAAAGTGTCATTTTGACAAGTGAACATAAATATTAAGTGTAATGAAATTTGTTTGATTCTAATATAATGTCAAGATCTTCATGCACGAGTTACCTATAACTTAGCATTAACGGATTATGCAAGGCAACTAATTTACCACTGTTGCACATCAAATGGAACTTCTTGATACAATCTTAAATATTGTAATCTCTATTCATCTTCTTAAGGAGTTGTTTTCAATATTTTGGCTGGCACCTATTTGCAAGAAAATCAATTAATTCTTTCGGTGAACCAGAATAACCGCAAAGCAAAAGCAGATGCCATTGTAGAAGGTTTTCAATAATTTCCAGTTACTTCTTAAATATTCACGAATCGAGTTGGTATGCGTCGTGTGCGCAAACGGTCTTTGTGACATTTGCTGTGATCTAGAAACCGCTTCTTTCTTGTATGGCGGTCAAAGATCATTTTCCATAATATTTGGCTTATATCTATGTCTTTCAGCCTACCACATTTGCCGTTTTCCGTGAAACCATAAGCCTTTTTACCTTTTACACGAAGGACCAACGAAGTGAAGTTAGAAATAGACTGCTCCTGAGATTACTAACAAGACTCGAACTGTTGAAAACTAAGTGTAAAACTGAAAAAAACCATCGCGACAAAATGGAAGCTATTCAAAGACTAAGAAGGAAATATCGAAACGAGGCTGATGGTGTATATACGTCAGAGTTCAAGACTTCCAGACCGACAGTGAAGGTCAAAGATCTTAATCGGCGACGCCATGGTTTAGATGCTTTCTTGTCCTGTCCAGGAGTGGCGGCATGGGGGGGCAAGGGGGGGCTTTAGCCCCCCCTAGATTTTTGTTAGCCCCCCCGTCGGCAGCCAATCAATTTTTGCTCTCTCAATACCGTCGGCACTTGATGGATGTGACCCGGATTACAAGTTGTTTGAATGACCAAAATAATCGAGGAGACAACTGCACTGGCTGGTTTATGGTTTCTCAATGGCTTTTCTTCGGCAATTTTACTATCATAGTGGCATTATATCCTGTCGCTTCCGTGAAAGCTGTGACTTAATTTCATGGTGCTCCTTCGCATGACCCACAATACCATCGTGCTCCTCTCGGTTGAAATCCCTGTTGCTGCTCATGCGAATTCATGCGAAACGTACCAGAAAAAATACTTCCCTAACCCTAACCCTAACCCAAACCCTAACCCTAACAACAGCAAAATCACGTTGTCATAAATAAACTCTTTAATGAATTTTCTTCTTAAGGGATTCTCTTTTCGTTTCAAGACATTATTATTGCCAATGAAGACATTTCGATCATGAGCACATTTTGAGTAATAAATTTTTCAAAAAGCACTTCTTGTCCTTTTTCATCAACTATTTTTCAATAGCATTGTTCACCGCATAGCTTCCGACAAACAAATGGTTTAGAGAAAACCATCGATCAACTTCTCCCAACATAGATAGGAAGAAATATTCAACAATAGGCAATATTTGCGCATTAAGTTTCTTACAAGGCACAATTTGCCGAGAAAATCTCGTGGACTCCGACACAGGTTGGAAAGTGGGGGCGGGGAGGGGGCAAGGGAGAATTTTGCACCCACAACAAACGATTTTGGAAAAATGCTCTATTGCTTGCTCTATATGCTTGCTTGCTCTTGGAAAAATGCTCTATATCGGTGCCCCTTTATTGGAGGTGCTGCTCAGGGGGCGTCGAGACTGGGGGGTTGTCACACGCACCCCAATAGTATCTCAATAGGAAATTTCAGGTAAAATCCGCTCGGTGGAAGAAACGCTTTAGGTATTTCAGAGACCTTCCTGTCATAAAATCAATAAAGGATCAAGCAATCTTAGGTAAAATTGTGCCTCGTGTCCATTTCTCCTAAAGTTTCTCAGTAGAAGCGTCAACTGCAATTCACTATGAGCTCCAGATTTGTCTTAACATTCATAAGGCATGCTAAGATGGAGAGAGGGATCTAAATTTAAAAGTAACTGACAACCTGGTATTTTTCAAGACCACGGCGAAATTGTTGTTTTTATCTGCTGTAAGAATTTTTTGCAAAAAGACAATAATTTTCAATAGGATTAGGAGGATTGCTTTAGTGAAATCTGCTTAAAAGAGTGAATTTTCCAGGGAACTAGAAGCATCACAATTCGAAAATTTCCTCCCCCTTCGGCGGCAACCATGGTGCCGCCTCAGGTAGTAACTATATATTTTGCCCGTCCCGATATAGAGATTTGACAAGACTATTAGGAAAGTCGGTTATTATCATACAGAGTTAGATTGATAAAATGTATTGCAGAGGTTTGTGACACCAGCTAAAAAGTTTCAGGCAATAATTTTTTAATCAGGTAAATTTGCATTCCACCCCCCAACGAGGCTTGCCTCGCGACGGCCCTGCCTGCTATATGGGGCAAATC